ACCTTTGCCAGATATTGATGTAACTTATTTTTAGAACACAATAGAAAAAACTGTGCCACAAAAAAAAATCGCTACGGACAACCAAATGACTCGACCGAGTTCAAACCTGTACTGAAGGTGGATCACATGTCCCCCTGTCTCCCCCCAAGCCCGGCGTCACCAGTGATGCCTCGTACAGTTATCGGTTAAAAAAATTGTTACAGAAGTTGCAAGGTAACTTCTGAAAATTATCTTCAGTAACCTAGGGTTGCCGCTAGGTGGTAATTCTAATTGCAAGATAAGAAGCGCCGTTTTTTTTCCAAAAACATATATCTGAATTTTTTTGATAGTAGTAGGTAATATTAAGAAAGTGTCAAAAAACTTGATACACGCATTAAAGCTCTTTCAAATCTTTGAAATCAAGAACATAGAAATAGATAACGCCAATCAGAAACTATGCAACTACCTAGGCCAGTCAACTTACGAACAAATGATATTAACAAAAAAGTCAGAAATCACGCATACTATCTACAGATACATGTTAATCATGAGTATTTGTAAGAAAACGAACTTCTAACTTTGAGATTAGGATTAACCCTCCTGTGGTCATTTTAAGAAGCTGAAAATAATGTCCATTAATTACCATTTTTGTAATATTTTTCGATAACTCTAAGTTGCGTGGTTGATGAGATATAGCCTGCGTCATTTATTATTAGCCCATCCAGTAATGAGATTAGAGGCTATATTTGACAAGTAGTTCTTCCTAGCCATTAACAATAATTTTCCCAACTTCTTCCCAGCAGCTACTGTGACTGACGAGGAGTATTTGTGCCAAATTATGTGACCCGACAATCCGAAACGAATGTCATACACTAAAATCAAATGTGTACTTGAACGCTTTTTACGAATGCCTTGTCTCATTTGCCAGGGATTGTAATTGCTAAAAATGTACCGCTACTCGTCTTCGATGATATGTCAGCAGGGTCTTCATTTGTTTACATTATTAACTTTATTATTGAATGAAAAAGTTTTGTTGTTTAATCAACCCACTGAGGTATTGAAGATGAAATCACAATGTACAGTTATCACATATCGTTGTGTTGCGAATTTCTATCGCATACAGTTATAAAGTGAAAAAAATTTCGTGTCTGAGCAACCATCTCCACTTATACTTTATTAAGCTTTAACGGTACCCGCAGTTTTTTGTCACTTGCTAATTGTGAGGATAAATATATAACAAAATTTAATAGCTATCGAAGGAAGATTCACTTAAACAAGTACTGTATTCTTTTGTAATGAGATACGTATAATACTTTGCTAATTCTAAAAATTCTAATATGGATATGAAATGTCCGTGTAACTTGTGAATATCACTATCATCTACTATCTCTTTCTCTCTCCCTCTCTTTTCCTCTCTATCTCTCTCGATTATTAAAACCGTATAGACACTATAAGAATGGGGAAGCTCCATTCATATTCCGGCAGCCACAATTTTCCGAATCAAAAAGTCAACAAATGAGGTTATCAAAGGTAAAAACTAGGTTGGTGTCTGTAAGATGCTACGTAACTAAATAAATGTCATTTCCGAGGAAGAGATATTTATTGAAGACAGCCCAGCCATCCGTGTCATTTTTGTAGTATAATCACATACCTGAGTTGTTAGATCACAGATCCTTACTTTCGTGAACACAGAACACTACCACTGCTACACCCTGAATGAGCACGTTCCAAACTGAAGTGATATGACGACGCTATGAGGTGAAATACCCACCCTAAATAGCAACATGTTATCCTTCTCGGGAAGAAACTATCTGTACTATCCTTTGAGGAGCGCCCTAAGGAAATTCTCGCATGCCATTTATCATAGGACGAGGCCTTATCTGCTATCTCTTACGCTATATGGGGTGTATTTATTTATTCTTCATAATGTGTAAAATATGGGCATACTTACGGTATCTTCTATTATAACATATTTAATAAATTTGGTATCGTTACTTACAACTGCAGGTGTTTGTATTTATTTAAAAAAATGCTCGACGAAATTCTATCAGTTCAAAATACCACAAAATATCCAGCATACGTTAATGAATGCAATTTTTAGGCAGGTTATACAGGATGTTGATTTGAAAACTACGAATTTATCGAAAACCACTGATTACAAGAAAAAACTCCGAGACACGTCAAGAGATTTGTCAAGGGGGACAGCTTTTTAACCAAAAACTACTTCACCCTCGACCCCCCTTCAGAATTTTAAACGGCAAGGCGTATCGAGTAATAGCTTGTTTGAAAGGTCTTTTGAAGTCCTTTATTGATTTTTCAAAATCAGTTGATTAGTTTTCGAGAAAATTAGAAAAATCTTTATTTATCTTAATTTGTTCAGATAGAAAACAAAACACAACAAAATATTTTTATTTCAGTAAGTGTTCAAAATGTTGCCTGTTAGCGTTTGCCAAATCTACAATCCGTTTATAATTTAAAACAGAAACTACCAACATAAACAGCAATTCGGAAGATTAGACAATGGAACAACAAATAACAACCAGATTTTATCCGCATTGTATTTATTGTTATACCTGTTTAGTTATTTGTTGCTAAGGGAAAGAGAGAATTTAATTTGCTGCCAGTTCCCTTTTTTGACAATCTTAGGATAGTGAACATTAATTTATTGATTCAGATTTTACTTCTAAAATGGTTTACACACTTGCCGAAAGAGTGGGAATGATTCTAATTTATGGTGCCCCTAATCAATGTGCTCGTCACGTTTAACGCCAGACATTCGCGGAAGATAACTTCACATAGCTATGTTTTGGACCTTATTACTAAATTTACTCAAACTGGATCTGTTGGAAATAAAAAACGTGAGCATCGGACAGTTTTGGATGAAGCCGCTCAAGTTGAAGTTTTGGGACATTTTGGAATAAATTCTAATACTTCATTACGCAAAATTGTTGTTGCGACTAGTATTTTATTAGGCTCTGTACACATAGTTACTAAACTCCATAAATGTAATCCATTCAGAATGAAAATATTGCAAGAGTTAACCGAAAATGATTTCAATAGACCGGTTGAGTTTTGTGAACAAATTACTGTAGCGATTAATGATAAACCATTCTTGTAAAGAATATCTGCTTCAGTGATGAATCCTCATTTCATCTAAATTGATTTGTTAACAACCATAACTGCAGGTATTGGAGCAATGAAAATCCTCATAGAATGGCATATCCAGAAGATTAGTGTATGGGCAGGCATTTTATGAAACAAATTGATGGGGGTCATTGTTTATTAATGGAAATTTGAATGGAGACATTTATTTGGATATGTTGGAAAATACCATCAATCCGCTTATCATTGAAACCATGGAAAAAGAAATCGAAGAGGATGGAAACCCTACACTTGATGAGGCTGAAATATATTTCCAGCAAGACGGTGCTCCTCCGCACTATGTTCTTCCGGTTCGGCAAAGGCTAGACGAGTTTCCAGATAAATTGATAGGGCGAAGAGGGCCTATAGAATGTCCTGCTAGATCTCCTAATTTGACTCCATTAGACCTTTTGTATGAGGTCATTAGAAATCTATTGTGGTTACTCCCCAACCTGAAAGTTTGGATGAACTTCGTCAACGCATCATCGAAAGCTGCCATAATATCCCACAACAAGTGTGTGATACACCTTCAACCCTCAGTGTGAATTGTCTTGACAATGGACCACCCGACTTGGATGAAAATTTCAAAGAGGATATGTACAAATGTACGAAATTTTGTCGAGCCCAACATGACCGCCAAAGTGATTTCCGGTGTGCATTTCGCTAGTTGAGTCTACCAAGCATAATGCAATTCGGACTTGACGTTTTTCCAAAAATTCTACCATATAATATTTTGGCTCTAAGAAAGGTCTTAAAGATTTGCATAGTGTATGGTAACAACATCCACATTAGACAAGTGTCACTGTCTACTGAAAATTAATAGTTCTAACTTTTGAAGATAATACCACCTGTACTTCTACCTTTCAATTTTTCTACCATACACTTTTTAGTATTCATTGTACGTTTAACGCACGAAAGTTTGATCTTCACTTCCAGCTTGGCCACTTATACCGATGAGACCTAGACACTATGCTATGGTCGAAACATACATCTTCACAACAAAGTAGGGGAGAATATACACTATAATCCGTTTATCGAAGAAATCCAAGCATATCCACGTTTACTTCACGTGATCGGACTCCAGAACGTCGAGCATGTTACATGGCGGGCGAGGCTGCATGCACTGCCGTGTCGTCTCCCACTCCACCTCCTTGATTAGGTGTAGGTCGTGCATATTATGGACTCGACAGATTCTGCCCAATAAAAACCATGATCTCCGTTCCCTGATAGGTATCAACGTGCTGACAACACACTGAAAACGCGCTGGTTATTGTTTTGGCTTAATAATAGACTTTAGACACAGAATCAGAAAGATGTAATAAAATGGCCTTAAGACATATTGCTATACTTTTAACGGAACGGTTACTCACGAGCAATTAAGGTTTGGGCCGAATCATTGATTTTAAGCGTTGCTTGGTGTTTCTGCCTGAAGATAGACTTACACTATTTTTGATGCTCAAAAAGCGATCTGGAAGGACCTAGCGCCATCTATGAGACAGAAGCAGAACACAAAATGGATTTAGAAATATACTTTGAGAACAGGGTGTTTGGTTTTGCTATTGTCTCTATTTCAATCCATTTTTGGCCCCTCTCTAATGACTATCTTGATTGGGCATCTTCGGGCATTGATTAACGCAATCCAATTGATGTTCAGCAGCAGAATCAGCAGGTATAAGACAAATATCGAAGTCTTCAGTGCAAGGGTTACCATAGTCTTATATCAACTATGAGTCAAATTCGAAATATTTCTGATTGACGATTCTGGTATATTTCTCTTGTCTTAGCGGAAAACTTGAAAAGGGTATTGATTTTTTTCTCGTCCTAAGCACAGGGTTTCTAATAAATATAGCTTCTTGACTCAATTTTTTCCATTGTTACAGGAACGACTGACATCCGGTGCGACCGGTCACAGCTCTCTCTCACTGAGCAGCGGCAGTCCCGGCAGCTACGCGTCAGCTTCGCACCACCGCTCTGCCGCTGCTCAGCTGCACCACGCGGCCGCAGCTGCCGCTATCCAACACCAGCTGCCCCAAGCCGATTTCCAGCCGCCCTATTTCCCGCCGCCCTTCCACCCGCCGCCCAGTCCCTCTACAGGGGGTCCCGGTGGACCGCAACAGCACTTGGAGTACCTGCCCGACCCATACGGGTCACTGTCCGGGTTGCATCATTACAATCAGTTGGGACTAAGGGCAACCAGGGATGGAGATGGGAACCATGCGCATGTGGTGAGTAGTTTTCGTTCTTAGTAAGGCCACGCTTAAAGAAACTTTGATAAGCCGATTTTTGAACTGCCTAAGGTTAGCAGAACTGAGAAACAATAAGCAAGCGGTCCAGTTCAGAGACGACCTCTCATGTACGGTACAGATCCTATACTTTGCAGGTACTTGCTGGAGAAAGACATAAGAGTCAAATGGCCAGAAAATAACAGAGTTTTTAATAATACTCAGACATTTGTACTTCCAAAGTCTCATGTTTAGGGCCCATGGTAATGACAAAGCTTTCTTTTTGATGTATAAGTGCCTAACACAATTTTAGAACATTGAGGGTGGCGAGCGCCAACCCACAGGTTTCAAAACTCAGTTAGTTTGTTGCTGGAAATGGTAAGGCTATATTCAGCGCACATGAAACTTTTACGAAAATATCATTTTTTCTTTAAGGAACCCTACTTGCTATTTTATAGAACTTCAAATTTGCATTTTTGGTGGTAATGCTCTAGAATAGAATACTGTTTTATGCGCTGTTTTTTTTTGTTTTTTTGCATAAAAGGATGCTCTAAATGATAAGAATATAACATACACTGTATAGTATCAAGGAAAATAGATGTGAAACTGTAATAAATCGTTAGCTTTTCAAAGAAAAAGGTTTAAAAACTAGCCGTAGAATAAGCTAAAATGACAGTTCCAAATACATACCTTCAAGACTATACTAGAGCATAAAGGCCAAAATTCTTGTTTCTTTCGGAAAAAAAATGAAGAAATCAGCAGAAATGATCATTTTTTAAGGAAAATAGATGTGAAACTATAAAAAATCGTTGTTTCTTACAAAAAAAGGTTCAAAACTAGCTGTGTAATAAGCTAAAATAATAGTTCCAAATACATGCGTAAATGATTGTATTTACTTGGTAAACTGTGTAGAGGAGCTGTGTTGAGATTGCAATGAGATCAAAGTTTTTACGTTTAAACAGTGGAAAATGCACAATGGCTCGCTTGACATAAAAAATACGAAAAGCACCAGCGGTCATTGCACATAAAAATACCCAGCTTCGATTAGTCGATTTGGACCACGTTACCAGGTCCACCCAATATATCATCGTCCAACATTACAGTTAAATAAAGATCAACGACCATTTCATCAAGTTAACAAAAAATTTGCAATGTGTTATCATTATTTAGTGACTGGCAATAGCTACTTTTTAAGTATTTTTTTATATACATCACATTTAATTAGGTATATTTTGAGTCATCAGCTTCACTTTAAATAATTCTTAAGTACATAAATACAAAAAGAAAATGGTAAAGCAATAATCGAAGTATTTTTGTGAAAGGCATTTTTCAAAAAAGTGTATTTAGCTATCGTAGGAGACGAGGTAGATTGAGTACAGTAAAACCTGCCGGCCACACCTACAAATCGCATTTTCACGGCAATCCTGTGCCAATTGCACATTTTTGCGCTAGTATATAAGTAAGAATTTGAACCAAATATAGGTATTACTATCCATGGTTTGGCAACATCGCAACTAGATGCAGAAATTATGATAATGATGGTGGTATAGTGATGGAAATATTTTTCTGAAATAAAAGAAATTACTTAACAATGTTATATTTTCATCATTGCATAATTGCATTGTTGCGATGAACAGTGTCACAGTAATATACAGTGTATGTTATATTCATATAATGTTTGAAATTATTTTGTGTAAACAAGAAAAAATCAGCTTATTAAGCAGTATTCTATACCAAAGTATCACCTACCACCCAAAATGCAACTTTGAAGTTCTATAAAAATGCAAGCAGAGGATTCCTTGAAGAAAAAATGATATTTTCGTACAAATTACATCCTGATCTTTGATTTTTAAATGAGAAGTGAAATATTTGTGATATGCGCTAAAGTATAGTTCAGCCCTGAAAGTATATGAAATTCATTACGGGAAATCACCACCGCGCCCGTGTTGTGTGTAATTAAGCCACATTACAGAAATAACGCATCAAACACAAAATATGTTCGCAGTGCCTCACATCTAGGCGCTGATTAGTGTTTTTTACTTGACATCGCAAATGAAATTTAAATGAATAGTAATAGAAAGTAATGTAAAATGTAATAACATTTTCACGTTTTCATTTTTTAACTCTTTCATCTTTGAAATTCAGCAAATTTGCATACGTAATTTCTAGGATGAGGCATACATATCAAATAAGTGTATTTGGTAGAAGAAGCTATGGAAATTATGTGGCTGAAGAACCGATCGATCGTGCGCGATCGAAAACGTTATAAAGGCAGCAGTGCACAAAATTTGTCATTTCAACGTACAACCACGTCTTGTGGCTTTAAATGTGCGTAAATCAATGCGGTTTTCATGCAGTATCGTTTATTTTATGTGTTTTTATGTGTCATTGAAGTCTAGCCCCCCTTCCCCAAAAACATCCCCAAAGTGGTGAGTAACGCGAAAAAGTTATTATTTCGTGAAAATTATAATGAAAAAATGCGGTTTTTGCGTTAATCGCATAAGACAAACATACCTCAAGTGTCCTTGAGTGGACATGGCATTAAGTCGTGGTTTACCTCCAAAAAAATATATAGATATAAAAAATTACTATGTTGAATCAGATCGGAAACCCGTAATTGTTGAAAATCACCTTACGCCCAAAATTTTTTCGCGGATATCTGGTCAACTTAACGTGCTCTAACAGCCCATGGTAGTCGTTTGCTCGAGCGGGGTCCGGAACATACTTTTTCAGGGTTAGGGTGGGTTTACATGCCGTTCGCGCAAAAAAAATTATATTTCAAACAAATTGGCTTACGCCCAAAATTTTTTTGTGCGAATCGTGTTTATTTAACATGTTCTAACTTCCCACCAAGCCGTTTCCCCCAGGGGGGTCCGGAACACCCCGATCCGCACTTCGATCAGAATTCGAAAAAACACCTGTCATTTTTCAAAATCGCTTTACGCCCAAAATTTTATCACTGATATCTGGTCAACTTAACGTGTTCTAACAGCCCATGGTAGTCGTTTGCTCGAGCGGGGTCCGGAACATACTTTTTCAGGGTTAGGGTGGGTTTACATGCCGTTCGCGCAAAAAAATTATATTTCAAACAAATTGGCTTACGCCCAAAATTTTTTTGTGCGAATCGTGTTTATTTAACGTGTTCTAACTTCCCACCAAGCCGTTTCCCCCAGGGGGGTCCGGAACACCCCGATCCGCACTTCGATCAGAATTCGAAAAAACACCTGTCATTTTTCAAAATCGCTTTACGCCCAAAATTTTTTCACTGATATCCGGTCAACTTAATGTGTTCTAACAGCCCATGATAGTCGATCGCTCGAGCGGGGTCCGGAACATACTTTTTCAGAGTTAGGGTGGGTTTACATGGCGTTCGCGCTAAAAAAATTATATTTCAAAAAAATTGGCTTACTCCCAAAATTTTTTTGTGCGAATCGTGTTTATTTAACATGTTCTAACATCCCACCAAGTCGTTTCCCCCAGGGGGGTCCGGAACACCCCGATCCGCACTTCGATCAGATTTCGAGAAAACACCTGTCATTTTTCAAAATCGCTTTACGCCCAAAATTTTTTCACTGATATCCGGTTAACTTAACGTGTTCTAACAGCCCATGATAGTCGATCGCTCGAGCGGGGTCCGGAACATACTTTTTCAGAGTTAGGGTGGGTTTACATGGCGTTCGCGCTAAAAAAATTATATTTCAAAAAAATTGGCTTACGCCCAAAATTTTTTTGTGCGAATCGTGTTTATTTAACATGTTCTAACATCCCACCAAGCCGTTTCTTCTCCCAGGGGGGTCCGGAACACCCCGATCCGCACTTCGATCAGATTTCGAGAAAACACCTGTCATTTTCAAAATCGCTTTACGCCCAAAATTTTTTCACTGATATCCGGTCAACTTAACGTGTTCTAACAGCCCACGATAGTCGATCGCTCGAGCGGGGTCCGGAACATAATTTTTTAGGGTTAGGGTGGGTTTACGTGGCGTTCTCACAAAAAAAATTATATTTCTAATAATTGACCAAATGTTTTTTACAGTGCTCCAGTGGATGACCACTGCCCGCACCAGTGACCATTTATATACCTTATTGAAGGCGATACTCAATACATTTTTAAAAACAAAGATATAGAGCATATGTTTTGTTGCGATGTGATCAGTTCGGCAATAGGAATTGTCGACTGATGACATCTCAGGTCGATACTGTAGTTATTAACAGTTATAAACAGACCCTGTTGCTTCAAAATGTATAATTGCTCCTCTAGGTGGAACTATGTTAACTGGCATTCGGTATAGAGGAGAACTGCTAGCGACATATCGCAAATAAGGGTCAAGCTGGTTATGCTGCTTAATGCAATATTGAAACAAATCGGATAAGTCCCGCGAACTGAGCAGCAGTCTGTTCCCGCGTTTTGTTTCGGATGCAATTTTGTGGTAGGTGGTAAATTGGGAAATGTCTTGCGGATGCCCATCTTTGAGCAGTTCTTTGTCGGTTTTAGATATCACCTCTAGTTGGTAATCGCGGGCACTACGATATTTAAGCCAGTTGTTTATTCTCTGAACCCCTTGCTTGTTGAAACTGCACATCATCACCAGCCCGACCAATATCGGACGCAGAAAATTTGAAATACTGAGTCGAGTACATTTGGCATATATAGCACAATTGTTCCGATTGCGCCTAAAAGAATATAATGCCAAAAAACACGCATATTTTAACGATCTCCCTGTCATTTTTTATTTCAGTTGATAGAATAGTGAAATTGTCGATTTCGGCCGGGTAGTGCTTACCTTTTGTTATCTTCGATTAAATATAACCGTTAATAGCCACCATGCTCGCACATGAAATTTTTGATATGCCTAGGCACTAGTTCACTTCATCCACCAACTTCACGATATCACATATCACACGTGCAACACTCACTTTTTCGCGAAATTCGTTTGCAGACATTGCAGTATTTTGAAGAAATACTGTAACCCGAGATGCCCAACGACACAAACACAACTAAATTATGCCAATAAAAATTTACCTATATGTATCCTTGTTTTACAACCTATACCTGTATGTATCCTTTTTGCTTACAACCTGAGGATTACATAAAATTCCGTTACAATTGTCTATATTACCCCGACATTCCTGCAAACAGCCCAACGGCACGTATTTACTACCTGCATCCGGTACCTTTGCTGGGGACACAAAGTGATTACATTAGTATTAGATTTTGATGTGGGATTCTAAATCGGCGACCTGGTCCCATGTCCCATATGTATACACGGATTTGAAAAATAATCATACTAATGAGGTTCTCTCAGCTAATGATAAGGACATGTAAAGAAACTGATAATTTCATCTCACCGTAATCAATACCTGTTCAATATTGATTAAGTGTACATTCTGCGACTTACACGGATATACCTATTAAAATCGCTTTTATTTCACTATATTGTTACATTCTGTATTACAAATACACAAAACCAATATTGTATAGTTTATTCAATAACATTCACATCCGCCTGAGGTGATCATGAGCTATCAGAACACATTAAGTTGACCGGATATCAGTGAAAAAATTTTGGGCGTAAAGCGATTTTGAAAAATGACAGGTGTTTTTTCGAATTCTGATCGAAGTGCGGATCGGGGTGTTCCGGACCCCCCTGGGGGAAACGGCTTGGTGGGATGTTAGAACATGTTAAATAAAGACGATTCGCACAAAAAAATTTTGGGCGTAAGCCAATTTTTTTGAAATATAATTTTTTTAGCGCGAACGCCATGTAAACCCACCCTAACTCTGAAAAAGTATGTTCCGGACCCCGCTCGAGCGATCGACTATCATGGGCTGTTAGAACACGTTAAGTTGACCGGATATCAGTGAAAAAATTTTTTACGTAAAGCGATTTTGAAAAATGACAGGTGTTTTTTCGAATTCTGATCGAAGTGCGGATCGGGGTGTTCCGGACTCCCCTGGGGGAGACGGCTTGGTGGGATGTTAGAACATGTTAAATAAACACGATTTGCACAAAAAAATTTTGGGCGTAAGCCAATTTTTTGGAAATATAATTTTTTTAGCGCGAACGCCATGTAAACTCACCCTAACTCTGAAAAAGTATGTTCCGGACCCCGCTCGAGCGATCGACTATCGTGAGCTGTTAGAACACGTTAAGTTGACCGGATATCACTGAAAAAATTTTGGGCGTAAAGCGATTTTGAAAAATGACAGGTGTTTTTTCGAATTCTGATCGAAGTGCGGATCGGGGTGTTCCGGACCCCCCTGGGGGAAACGACTTGGTGGGATGTTAGAACATGTTAAATAAACACGATTCGCACAAAAAAATTTTGGGCGTAAGCCAATTTTTTTGAAATATAATTTTTTTAGCGCGAACGCTATGTAAACCCACCCTAACTCTGAAAAAGTATGTTCCGGACCCCGCTCGAGCGATCGACTATCATGGGCTGTTAGAACACATTAAGTTGACCGGATATCAGTGAAAAAATTTTGGGCGTAAAGCGATTTTGAAAAATGACAGGTGTTTTCTCGAAATCTGATCGAAGTGCGGATCGGGGTGTTCCGGACCCCCCTGGGGGAAACGGCTTGGTGGGATGTTAGAACATGTTAAATAAACACGATTCGCACAAAAAAATTTTGGGCGTAAGCCAATTTTTTTGAAATATAATTTTTTTAGCGCGAACGCCATGTAAACCCACCCTAACTCTGAAAAAGTATGTTCCGGACCCCGCTCGAGCGATCGACTATCATGGGCTGTTAGAACACGTTAAGTTGACCGGATATCAGTGAAAAAATTTTGGGCGTAAAGCGATTTTGAAAAATGACAGGTGTTTTTTCGAATTCTGATCGAAGTGCGGATCGGGGTGTTCCGGACCCCCCTGGGGGAAACGGCTTGGTGGGATGTTAGAACATGTTAAATAAACACGATTCGCACAAAAAAATTTTGGGCGTAAGCCAATTTTTTTGAAATATAATTTTTTTTGCGCGAACGCCATGTAAACCCACCCTAACTCTGAAAAAGTATGTTCCGGACCCCGCTCGAGCGATCGACTATCATGGGCTGTTAGAACACGTTAAGTTGACCGGATATCAGTGAAAAAATTTTGGGCGTAAAGCGATTTTGAAAAATGACAGGTGTTTTTTCGAATTCTGATCGAAGTGCGGATCGGGGTGTTCCGGACCCCCCTGGGGGAAACGGCTTGGTGGGATGTTAGAACATGTTAAATAAACACGATTCACACAAAAAATTTTGGGCGTAAGCCAATTTTTTTGAAATATAATTTTTTTAGCGCGAACGCCATATAAACCTACCCTAACTCTGAAAAAGTATGTTCCGGACCCCGCTCGAGCGATCGACTATCATGGGCTGTTAGAACACGTTAAGTTGACCGGATATCAGTGAAAAAATTTTGGGCGTAAAGCGATTTTGAAAAATGACAGGTGTTTTTTCGAATTCCGATCGAAGTGCGGATCGGGGTGTTCGGACCCCCCTGGGGGAAACGGCTTGGTGGGAAGTTAGAACATGTTAAATAAACACGATTCGCACAAAAAAATTTTGGGCGTAAGCCAATTTGTTTGAAATATAATTTTTTTTTGCGCGAACGGCATGTAAACCCACCCTAACCCTGAAAAAGTATGTTCCGGACCCCGCTCGAGCAAACGACTACCATGGGCTGTTAGAGCACGTTAAGTTGACCAGATATCCGCGAAAAAATTTTAGGCGTAAGGTGATTTTCAACAATTACGGGTTTCCGATCTGATTCAACATAGTAATTTTTTATATCTATATATTTTTTTGGAGGTAAACCACGACTTAATGCCATGTCCACTCAAGGACACTTGAGGTATGTTTGTCTTATGCGATTAACGCAAAAACCGCATTTTTTCATTATAATTTTCACGAAATAATAACTTTTTCGCGTTACTCACCACTTTGGGGATGTTTTTGGGGAAGGGGGGGCCAGACTTCAATGACACATAAAAACACATAAAATAAACGATACTGCATGAAAACCGCATTGATTTACGCACATTTAAAGCCAAAAGACGTGGTTGTACGTTGAAATGACAAATTTTGTGCACTGCTGCCTTTATAACGTTTTCGATCGCGCACGATCGATCGGTTCTTCAGCCACATTGGAAATTATCATCAACACAGATTATTACCACACAAGTCCTTACTATGCACCTATTCACTGCACCGTTTATTCCAGCTATAGTACACAAATTACAACTTAGACCTCTAATAAAGCCATAATCTTGTAGGATAACCTAAATAATGTCAGAAAAACCTATATAATGTAAAAAACGACATAATGTCACTTTTCAAAATACGTAGCACCCTGCCGGCCCTAAGGGTGGTATTTAAAGGTTCTGACTAAATTGATGAAAAGTGTTACACCACATGAATCATCATTAAAGATTGCTTTAAATCTTGTACTACTGAAAGGGTGTAAAATATACCTGATTAGGATTTAATGGTGGCAATGGGAAAATATCAATGTTTGATATCTGTCAAAATAACAACAGCTAAAATTGTGTTAATTAAAATAAAATCTAAAGTCGGATGAAGATAGTGCAATTCTGTGAAATAAATGTAAAAGCTTATTTAAATGTCGTAACTTTTTCTGATTCTACCAGCATTGTATCCCCTATCATTTCCAAAATCTTAACTCGCCCTCGTATATCATCCCTATACGCTTTACGGATATCCGACTTGAGGGTAAGAGGTGAGATCTGAAATACCCCAAATTCTCTTGCAAATATTCATCCAGAAAGCAAACTATGTTGTCAAGATAAGGGATATGAAGGATGTGAAGGGAAATATCTAAAGCACTGCATCGTATCGTGACCTTCATAGGTGTTGCTGGTCGATAGATTTGCCCTAGGCCTGCATCATAGAACAACTTACTACGGCAATAATACCTCTTTAGTTCGACCGATCTAACTCAGCGTTGACCGTGTACATGTGTTTCATGCTTATTGACAAACATATGCATGATCTAGACAGCAAACAAAAGCAAAGTATTCTCTATCGGAGTTCATACAAATACGACAACATGGTCAAGACGAAGACTCGGCTTTCAATGGAAACTGAGATACTTTACAGTTCCAACAGAGAGCTGCCACTCACTATCGCAGGGGGCGATTCTGGTATTAGATGGCACTTTTGTTAAAGTATTTGGTTAGACTTTATACCTCTGCGTTCGTTGTCCTTCCTAGAGACCTACCTAGGCCGTACTGATGATTGCCAATAAGCATGAAACAGCTGTACACTGATGGCGCTCTGTTTGGTCGAACTGACGAAAGCAGTATTATTAGTTTTATGTGACGGAGACACATCTGCTATATCGCCAGAATCGATAATATCATGCGCTCTTCAAAAAGTATTAGGAGCTGATACACTTTTACATAGTGTCGCCTCTTGCCGATGTTTGGTTACGGATGCTGGCGAAGCCATTGCGTTCCAGTGAGGAAGGGTACTAACTTAACATAAAATCTGTTCTTTATGGGTGATAACTCATTTTACCAACATTCCTATTTCTCCTAACAGTCGTTTGTTTCAGAGCCAACTGAGTCACCATGGTGGCTTCCCATATGCTGGCGGAGGGTCAGGAGGAGGACGATCAGAATATGGGGGACGGCAACAGCACGACGAAGCTCTATCATTGCATCAGGCGCTTGGACAGGCGGTGGAAGATGCTCAGGCAGGCATTGATGATTCGGGAGGGTTCATGTCTGATCTGCCATTACTCAAAAGTAAGTACCTGTTTTCCTTTTTAATTAAAACTGACCATTTTCAAAGATTTGGCGAGCTACCCAGTGATTTACAGTCACAAGTTACTCAAAACTAAATTTCTACAAAATATGTCATATTTGAGGTATGCTCTTGTTTGGCCTGAAAATCAAACTATTTTCTAAGAGAAAACTGATATTTCTTTTAAGATTGAGCAACAAAATAAAAAATAATGGAAACAAAAGATGACACTGATTGGTTAATTTTACTTCTCACGTGAATTGGTTAAAAATTATTGAAATTTCAAGATCTCGAACTTGGTATATTATTTTCTCGATCTCTAAATGATATATACGGCCACTAAAAACAATTTCGTTTCCGTCGATCTTCCTGTTTATCTGCTTGTCGTCTGTCCAGTAATCCATAGCCCCTTAATAATTCGGAAGTACTGTTTGATGAATATCTACACAAAGTTACTACCGTGCCAAAAATGACAAATATTTGTGCGTTTTGTAAATAGTCTAGTGAGTGTAGCGTTACGAGCAAAAAATGTAAGTAGGTTGACTCTGCACCTCCGCATGAAGGACCATGTTCGGCACAAGTTCGCCCTCTGAGAAAAAAGCTACTCATAAACATGTATAACAAAAAAGTTGAATAGATCAAGTATGTCAAACAGGTCCATACAACTAGCTTATAGTCATTTGATAATGCTGCAATCTACAAATGTCTCCCCTGTCCTACCCACAGTATCGGCCGTCTGGGAACATTGGTGAACCACACCACCAGTGATAAGCGATCAGAAGTGAGACCACCACACAGCGTTTTGTGCATATGGAGATACGTTCGTTGCGCTGCTGATACGTGACGCGTCTGTTGAAAATATTTTTCTATCATTCTGGTTGTGTACATAAAGATACTGGCGCCAAAAACTTAACACAGACACTTCCCCACCCACTAAAACTAGCGACCCCCAACTATTAACCCCTACAAAAGTGTTTCTGAAAATGATCAGGAGTCTCTGAAACATCAAAAAAGAAGGTTTGAGTGATTTTTATTCTGTTTGTTTTTTACCTGTAATTCCACTGGTAATCTGTTTGTGAAATATACCTTATATGCACTTGGAATTATTGGGGTTAGAAGTTTATAAATATACTACCACCAGCCATTTATTAACCCTCAAAAAACTCAGGATTCTCTGAAGGAAAAAACCGTAGTTTGAGTAATTTTTACGTTTTTTGCCTTAGCTCCGCCGCTACTGAATCTATTTTCAAAAACTGCATAGCCTTTTCATCCTGGGCGTATAAGTATATTTGTGTCCGAGTGGTATTTTCCAAGCTATATGGCAAACAAGGATTGGTGGATAGACAGACCGACGGAAATCGTTTTTCGTGACGACCCTGTCATGTAGCACCCAAAAAACATAATATCCCATTTTCAAAATGTATGCTATTACAATCAGAGGATGTCCATACTTTTGGCCTCAGAATTTTGGACAATTTTTACACATAGTCAAAATCTGTTCGTGAACGGCCAAGGGTTTTTATGTAGTCTAACGACCTTCCGTGAGAGAGAGAGATCTTCATACCTCAAAAAGACAAAGACAAGACAATATGTTTAGGTTTACTTCAGGTAGGACCCTGGAGAGAATGCAGAAAGACCTTTCTTGTCCAGGATGAGCGAACGAATTTAAAAAATGCTTGGAGGAGTAGATGATTTTTAGTGACTTGGTTAATTTTGTTTAATGAAGTCTTTTTTCACGTGTGTGATATGTTGATATCTTCTCTGGTGCTGCACATCAAATGGAGATGGTTATGAAAAATACTAAAAAAATATTGTTGATGAAACTGCAGTTTCAGCCTGTCTAATGTGTCCATGTGATTAACAATTACAAAACGTTCGACTTTATCGCTTGCTTACATTTTTCTTGTCATTTTTCGCTTGCGGAACATGTTAGTGCTTACTCCAGAACCACTCACAAAAGGGATTTCGTAATTAATTTAATGTTTTTCAAGTTCTAACACTGTCGCTATTTTTGCCTTGTCTATGTATTAATACCAAAAATCATTAGTGGCCCCATTGCTCTTCTATTTGGCGATGTTACCATAAATATTATCATCAGTGTATTTTGTAGGTATAAAAGGCAAGGATCATCCAGGAGGTGCCATGGTCTCTCCAGCTGATGTTTTCTGTTCAGTTCCAGGCCGGTTATCCCTCCTGTCAAGTACCTCAAAGTACAAAGTGACCGTTGGTGAAGTACAAAGAAGATTAAGCCCTCCAGAGTGTCTCAATGCCAGCTTACTTGGAGGTGTTCTTAGGAGAGCCAAAAGTAAAAATGGCGGCAGGATACTCCGGTAAGAAATGTTCAATTTAATCAGAAATACATTAAGGAAGGTGTTTTTTGTCATAAACCACTTATAACATTTTTGAGGATTCAAAGTTGTGATAACGTTTGTACATGGTAGACAATACGAGTATATAACTGACTGATTTAAATTGCGCGCTATTTTTGATACACGCATTTCAGTAGCTGGCACCGTAGCAGTTGTTTAAAGCACATGTGTCCAATTCGTCATGGAGCGCGACACGATCCCACAACCGATCCCCGACCGCATTGTTAAAACGTTTTACTTAAATAATGAGTCGATCGTTGCAACGATTCGGAAGCTACTAAAAGATTTCGGTCAAAATGATGTGCCCAGTGTCAACACCAGTTTTCCGTTGGTGCGGAAATTTGAAAAAACAGGTGAAGTTAAAGACTTGCGAAGGTCGGGCCTTACTCGACCTGTTCGTACTCCGGAAAATATCGATAGAGTTCGTGAAAGTGTATTGGAGCGCCCCGAGACGTCTACCAGAAATCGTTCTCGAGAACTGGATTTTCGTCATTATGCATTTGCGGGCATACAAAATTCAGTTAACCCAAGAGCTATAGCCTAGTAACCATGAAAGTCGCCGACAATACAGACATGCAGCTTAATACCCAAAATAAAGCTTTTTACCGACAACTGATAATGAGCGATGAAGCCCAATTCGATATGAAGGGATTTGTTCATGAGCAGAAATGTCATATCTGGGCATTAGAGAACCGTCGTGTCATCCATCAACGACCACTACATCCTCGTCGAGTCACAGTTTGATGCGGTGTTTGGTATGGAAGTGTTATTGGACCTTACTTCTTAGAAGACGCTGTAGATAATTCTCTTACTGTCACTAGCGAGCGCTACCGTAATATGGTGCAAAACTTTCTGGCTCCTCAAATCCAACAATTTAACCTGCAAAACGTGTGGTTCCAGCAGGACGGAGCATCTTGTCACACAGCTAGGGAAACAATGAAACTTTTGCGAACAATATTTCCGGGGAGTTTAATTTCTCGATTTGGTGATGTCAACTGGCCACCAAGGTCACCGTATTTAACGGTTCCTAACTTTTTTTATAGAAAAATAGGATTTTATGCCGACAAACCAAATACTGTAGAGTAGCTGAAGAACAATATTACGGAAGGGATTGAAAATATTCCTCCCGAAACCTACCAAAAACTGATGGAAAATATAATCAAGAGGGCTCAGATTTGCATGGCTTCTAGAGGCGGACATTTGTCTGATATTATTTTTCATACATAATTTCTAAGTTTCGATAAAAGATTAAGTTAAAAAAATGGACGTATTTTATTTCATTACACAAATATTGAAGATACAAACTAGTCAGTTACATATCGGACACCCTGTAGATTCAAGAAGAACCTTTTGTACTGATTGATCACAAATTTTTATCAAGTGTCTGTTGCTACAATTTTTATGACTTTTGAAGCATTTAACAGCAGCTTATGTGAGTAACAAGTTACGTAACAGCTTTGGCGATTGTTTCTGTACGTAATCAATATTAAATTGTAAGGAGTTAAATACCAGATTATTAAAAACCATTGAGGTGCATCTTTGTAGCTATAAAGTATTTAATTATTATTTTTTCTGATCTCTTCAATACTGTATAGGGAAAAACTGGAGAAAATAGGACTCAATCTACCAGCCGGGAGACGAAAAGCAGCAAATGTAACCTTACTAACCTCATTAGTAGAAGGAGAAGCAATTCATTTAGCTAGAGATTTCGGATACGTGTGTGAGACTGAATTTCCTGCAAGACAGGTAATTATAAATCATCATAATAATATTACCGCTGCTTTCTAGGCTTGTCATTTATCACTCTTGAATATTTTGTAAAAAAAAATATACTTGACACGTCTCGTACAGCTTTCCAACAGGCCAATCTAACATTTAGATAAATGGGAATAGGCACAAGATTATGCAACTCTGTAGGACATATTATTTCCCCTCATTCACATCTTAGATTTACACCGTAAAGTTGGCAAAAAAAATTTATTGCACCTTGTATCCTCATGTTTCTTTTCCTTTTCTTTCAGGTGGCAGAATACCTCATCAGACAGCACGGTGAAACTCCACGGAGAAAAGAACTCCTCCAAGCCACTAAACAAGTCACCAAGGAACTCATGGATCTCTTGAATCAAGACCGATCTCCGTTGTGTAACACTAGGCCACAAATATTGTTAGACCCCTCCATTCAAAGGCATTTAACGCACTTTTCGTTGATATCTCATGGTTTCGGTAGTCCGGCAATAGTTGCTGCATTGACGGCCATTCAGAATTTCCTCAGCGAAAGTATCAAACATTTAGAGAAAGTGTTCCCTAATCAGAATAGTTCACAAGGTCAAAGCATGTTAGTCACGTCTACTCTAGATAAGGCGAAACTGGAAGACAAGAAGTGACAGAATATCAATAAGAGCAAAAAACATTTTTTTAAGAATCTTGTGATCTAAAAAGGAATGTAAATATTTATATGAAATCTTGCCATTTATTTGTTTATGCTACTGCAAAGCCAAAGTGATCTCAACTGATACAATTACTTAATGTTAAAACATAAACAACAGAATCAGATGATTAACAAAATATGGATTATAACATTATTATATTTGACGAGGAGTCTAAGGGACCCTACATTTTTTTGACCAGGTGTCAATTAGCCCCTTTAGAGTGAAACTTGTTCGTCAATTTTCTCCAGCAGCATCAACTACTGACTTCAAATTTTGGTTTGCGTTTGTTTGAACATAGAATTCAGGGTGTGATAACCAGGTTTTTTAAAAACAGTTGAGTTACAGAGATTCAGAATCGCGTAAATATAACGTTTCGTCGATATCAGTTCTGATCTCTAAACATGTGTATCACTTTATTTAGCTATACAATTACGCTGAGGTAACTTTGGAATATACAGAAGTTTTGTGAAAAAACAGAAAATGTGTGTGAGTCTGCCATTTTGCAAATTAATTTAAGTTGCCATAAAGACATATATGTTCACTTTACTAATAATAACCAGCTTCAGAATTAAAATACCTTCGATAATTATATAACAGCTTATTCACCAGAAACGAGGCTTATTTAAGATACAAGTATCTTAAATACTTTCGTAAAATTCATCTTGCATTTAAATTTTGTTTGGTATTTCAGTATTTCGTTAATACTATGTTAACTAATATACCTTTCGGTAATAGTTAAATCTAAAAAAATAATTAAAAGAACTTATCCTGACTAAAATACGAAAAATTATATATATATATATATATATATATATATATATATATATATAACAACAAGTAGGAAAATAATGGGCAAAATCCGCAAAAAGGAGGAAAGTGGATTCGAGCAGAAAATAGGATAGGTAACCCGAGCGATACGTATTTCTGCTGGTTGGCTTCATCAGGCCCGAAATGAATGCACATATGAAACTACAAAAGTAGATACACATGCCCACACATCCGGATACGGATACACACAGATTTTGACAGTATGTCGTTTTTTACTTTCATAAACCACTACCCTCCTTAGAGTACCAAATATCAAAAATAGTCCTCCTCGAAACAAAATATTTTAAAAATATTCCTAAAACAACAACACAATTGGATTTGGAAAACACCTCTTTTTTTCTGTACTCTGGTTCCACACCTCACAAACCTAAGAAGGGGCAGAAAGATGCAGATGAAATCTATATGCCCCTAATCTAGATATTCTCTACTTTCAGACAACATTTATCTCAGCTGCAGCAAGCCGCAGCCAAAACTTTATAACTCGAAATGAATTAATTTTGTAGGGAAAAAATCTAGCAAAAACAACTTTCAATAAGAAATTTATATAAAACTCCAAAACGCATGTTTTTACATAAAACAGGTAAATACATATCTTATTCTTGCACCTTCATATTATCACTACGGGAAAACACTAGGCTTGAAATTATAATCCACAAAAAAAAAGTAAGTTGCAATGACTTATTTTGACTCAAGAAGCTGTCACTTACGATGGACAAAAGTAAATGATAGTTTGAACTAATTGCATTGTTATTCATATTTTTTAAAAGCCTCGCACTTACTCATTTGGACCATTATAAACTCATGAGTTTTTGGGATTTTGTCCTATGGAGGAATCACTGTGCATTGGTATTCCCCTATTCCTCCTAACATTTCCGCTGAAAGTCTACTCTTAATACCGGTCGCTGACACTTTATATCCAACATTCAGTAGAGCTACCCGCTATCTATAGTTTCCGCATATTTTTTTGTCCCCTTTTTTAAACATTTTGCTTATTAACGCCCCACTCAATTCACAAGGCATTATTTCTGTTTCCCAAATTTCCCCTATCAAACTATGCATTACCTCAATAACTTCACCTCCGAATTTTCGCATTTCGCCTGTGACTTCATCTATACCCGCACTTTTATTTGATTTTAAGCTTCCTAGAATCTTTTTTATGTCATCTAGGTCTGGTTTATCATCCAACACCCTTTCCTGTTTCTCAAAATCGTTTATTCCGTGATCGTCGTCTTCCCGAAAATGTTCATTCAGCAGTTCCTCCAAATAGTAATAATTAATTTATCTTAAAAACAAAAATCGGAAGCTTTAAACAATGTTGGAGGGATATAATAAAAGTCAAATGAAGAATTTTTTTACATGTTCTTAGAGCACTCTGATTTCTCTATCGCAAATGGCGAATACAGTGAAAACACAGCGTCTACTGTCAGCACCGCTGACTTAGAAACACTGCAATGCAAAAAAAATGTTTATAAAGTTCTTCTTCTTCCTCTTTTTTAGGGGTATGATAATGAGGCCACATCCAAAAAAAGGAGTGATAAAATGTTTGAAGAACTAGTTTTACTGTCTTAACATATTTAATATTTTTCACATTTACGTGATAAGAAAGTATTTTGAATCTGACGCCTCAAATACTTACTTATGTATATTGTATAGGGTATCTTGTACGTCATTCTTATTCTTAAAATATACTAGTTCGTTAATTTGCTCTGATTTTAAATTACTTTGGAATCTCAAAAGAATTTTCAACACGTAGCGATTCTGAGGCATGGTTATTATAGTGAAACAATTTGTGTGAATGTGTGCCAGCGATTCGAATAAAATATTTCAAATATACGTATTAATATTATCAGTATTTCACAAGACAACATAAGGAAATGTACAAAGGGTAAAACAACGTAGATGTGCCAAAAACACGTGTAAGCAGTTTTGTAGGTACGGGTATGATAAAAGCATATATGCCTTCAGCTGTATATACTGCTGTATATATTTTGATTGTTATTTTACATATGTACTGGGTGATTCAAACTACCTTTTATATTTTCCAACTCTTTTGTTTCCTGTCCCGGTACCTCTTGTGAATCACTCTACATGAGTATTATTTCTTGTTTATTGTATTGTATTAATTTATGTAAATAGATATTTATATATTTTCGAAAACAGTGCCAATATATAACTGTACATAATTATAAAAATGAATTTTTGCAAAATATACTACTGAAAAATGACTCGTTTTTCTGAATTCAAAAAACTGAGACCTGGTTTCGATATATTTGAAAACACTTCAATCATAGAGTGAACAGTTGAAGAAAAGATTTCTATACCCCATTCGTAGAAGAAAAAAAAATTGTCTCCACCACACAATAGGCTGCATTACACGAAGCTGTTGGATACAGTTGATAACTTTGATGGGAATGCCATCAGACGCAAAGTCCATCAATTTGTTGAAAGGCAGGGACATTCCGCCATAGAAAAGTATTATAGGAGGTTGATAGTGATGAAGACTTACCTACTTTCAAAAGGACCACATTCTATAGTTTACTCAAAGAACCTCATTTTGAGAATATAAAACGGGGCAGAAATAGTATTTTGATGAATAGCCAAGAGATTATTTTATGGAGAAGAAAGTATTTAAAATCAATAAAGAAATAGAGCGACCAGCACGGGTATCACGTATCTTGAAAAGTGACATTATGCAGATTTTTTTGACATTATGTAGGTTATCTAAAAGATGTTAACTTATCACTTGGTTGTACGTGTTGCCTAAACGTCGTGAGGCTTGTTATCCATCTTTGGCTCTGATGTGATGTAAAATCTGCTTCCGAGATGGCATTACTAGAGGTCTAGTTGTATGTGTTGATGATAATTACATTGGGTTCTTGTCTCAAATACACTTAATTGAGATTCAAAGCTAGAAATTAGTTGCGCATCCACTTTTTCTTATTCATTCTGGAAATTACATCTACAAATTTGCTGAATTTCAAAATGAGAGAGATAATAAATAATTATTATCACTGTACACTGTCGAATTAAGGCCATATACATTCTAACAGTAATTACACACAACGCGGGCGCGGTAATTATTTCCCGTAATTCTCCTCAGTGTTTCGTAATTTATAACTTTGAACATAACCTCTCTTCAAAAAGCACAACATATAAATAACCCGTCATATTCAGTAATGATTTTCTCACACAGCAAATATCACTGATTTTATACACATGCAGACCAATACACATAATCATCCAGATGCGATCTTGCTATTCAACCAACTTTCTTCTCAGAGATAAAAACTACAGACACGGATCACTCAGCCTCACAAAATTATCCAACCATCAACCAATAATGCGTAGTTTAGTTGAGTGATTCCTCCATAGATGGACGTTCACAATGATCCTATTGAGCAAATGTGGAATGACTGTTTGCGCCCTAAAAACTACCTAGTCTGCAAGATGACATTTTATAGTTTTTTTTTGCGTTTTATAGGTTTTTACATAATACCCATGCGGTTTATTACTTGGATGAAACATAGATAAATGCAGGACATGCAAAACCTAAAGTATGGGCTGACTCTATAATTCAATCAGCAAGACAAGCCTTCATAGATTGACTAACCACTGGCCTAAAGAATCCGTCAGGTACGTGTATCTAACCAATTCGTCATTTGTGTTGTACAAATGGTGTCAAGTAGACTGAATCTATGAGCCCACGCTGAAAACCTAGCTACACTAAACTTAGCTATATCTGTTAGATACTCTGCTTGTATCATTATTAGTTTTCTTGAATACTATATGAATGAATTATTTCCAGAAAAAGAAAAACGTTAGTATTGTGTCACATGTCACAGGTGTAGCAACAGGGGCGTAGCTACCGCCATATCAGCCGTATCAATGATAACGGGTCCCTAAACTTACACGTTCCAAAAGTGTTTTTCACAATCTCACGCCAGTTTTCAGGCCGCTAAACCCTAGATTGTACGGCTAGGTGATACTAGCATGCGTCCTACTTTTAGCCCTCTTTTTTAACGATCTAAAAGCTATTTTAATTATTACTCATAACATCGCTGTCATATAAGCGATTTTCAAAAATGAAATAGAATCTCCTACTATGACCCTACATGGATTTACGTAGACATCGCAAAACAATATTTAGACTTCTAAGATTTTCGCATTCACAGTACTCTCTTCCTCGGGCCCTCCGCGAAAAACTCTGCTAACCCTCGCTCTTCAAAAAGTTGTAAAGGTAGATGCACCTTTACACCCCCTCTGACTGACAAAACTTCCAACGGGCGCCCATAGTCAATATGTGACAGTTCATATTGTTCAATTCAAGCGTCTAGTTTCTTTTGTAAAACTCAATACTTCAAAATTCATCCTCCGTTTGGGATTCGTCACATTTGGGTAGGGCATCCTTACAACTTTTGTAATGAGGCACCTGAAGAGCAACCTACGCCACTGTGCAGTAGTTTCCAGTATTTTCAAATATCGATCATTCGGAAGAAAACCGTCACAACTCGAAAAAGATAAAAATCCAGATTAGTATACCAAACCATCCAGAATTATCTACTTTATGTGGAAAAATGTCATATCTCTACTTTCTCAAACTAACAACAGGTGGACTTGTGTCGTTTTTGAATTGACGTATTCTAGATCTAAACCGACACAATTCAGTAATAATCTAGTCGCCATAGGGGAATGCTCTAGCTTTGAGTGGAAAACGGTTATATTTTAGATTAGCACGCGAATGACTGATAGCTTTATCCGCACTACTTAATTTAAAGAAATCGATGATAAATAAATTGAATATAGTGGGCCCCAATACTGTACCTTGGGGTACTCCGTATGATACGATATCGGGTTCACTAAATATATTATTAGTAAATCAGATATTTGTACTGATCGCGTTTTATCATTATTCCTCACTTGGAAGATAACGTAATTGAAATGATTCAGCGGTGGTGATCGTCAGACAACACTGAATAATTTCTTATTTGCGATAATCGTGAAAGAGACATTCAAAACCTTTTAATTATAATTATTGATAGCGAAAAGGTCATCATGAGCTATGGTATCATAATAGTAAAACATTTTATGATTATCATTGAGGATTTCTTGTAATTCCAATAAAATCCAGATAATTCGGATGAAATCAACTATACTTTAATGCTCAGAAATAGATCATATCAAGATGTGCTCGTTCCACTGGTTCTTGACATTCAGCAGACTGGGGCGTATCGGACCCTCGCCTTTCGAAAAGTCCGGCCTCTTATCATATCTCTCCCATTCGTCTGGCTGACCACTTTCTTCCCTTTCCTCTTTTAGCATCAATAACTTAGCCTCTTTTGCCAGCTGCCTGTCCAAATTTAACTGATCCTTCACGCATTTCGGGTAATCGGGTATTATAAAGCCCAAAACGCTGTTGAACATTAACACGAAGTGCTGAAATAAAGATGATATGATATTCATGAATGATCTCTAAATAACCGCCACGGCCAGATTCCTATTTTTATTATGAATACTGAGTACCTTCATGTCCCTGATTTATAAAAACAATTTATGTTATCAAGTGTTCAGTGAATGGTATGTTTATCTTATGGAAAAAAGTTGGCAAACCATTTTTCTGCGATAAAAGATGTCTCAATCCTAATGTGCCAGTGACATAGTTGAAAGCTTAAATAGATTTTAACAAACATTTTTTGTTCAATCGCCAAATACTTATACTTTATTGGGGAATTAATTGACCATACAACTAGTTGAATTATATATTTTTGAAGTTTGTCCCTTGGAAATACCGTCATTCTCGTGTCGGTCATTTTCTCCGTTTTTATAAAATCTACCTTGTGTATATGATCGTTCAACAAAGCCGTTTCTTCGGTTAAAATGATCAGTCTACGTCTACGTATAGCCGTCGTTGAGAGTGAATGTGCTGTCTGTCAAATTGTATGGGACATATTCGTGCTTTCAAGCAAGTTGTAACCTGATGATTCATCATTCAAATGAAGTTGAACTAGTTTCCCTATCACATAAATTTTGAGAGAAAAAAGAGAGCGTGAGCGGGGAAAACGAAAAATAATTCGAGAGGTTCTAGTTAAGAGCCTAGAACAGAAAATGACGGATGGGGCAAACTATTTGAAAGAAAAGCAAAATAATCTTTAAAAAAACTGTTGGAGACGAACTATATCAGATACATAAGGAATGGACAATTCAAAGAATTACCATTTAAGGAAGAATCAAGCAGAAGTGGAGAAGTTTTTTTGGAATTACATACGCCTCTCGTTAAATAGAACTAGCCGTCAAACATGGATGTATCTTTCTGGCGATAGGATGTTACTATAGACTTTAAATTTGACAAATCATGAAATGTTGAAATGGCAGATCTTAAAAATTTTAATCCAATAACAAAAAAAACATGCACCAAATATTGAACCTTCAGGAGTTGAAAAATTAAAGAAAAGCATAAGATTTGGTGAAGTAGTACAGCGGCAGTTTCGTTTCTAGTCTGGAAAGAGTATTATTTTTATTTTGCTTTAAGGGAAACAATACTTCTTTATTTTTGTTTTAAAATAACCTTATTAATTAGCCATAAGACAAAGCTTAATTTTCGTTTTCAATTTATTCATGTTTGATATTAACTGGCGTCAGTTTTTAACTTAAGCTTAATTTAATGAGTAAGATAAAGCGGTGTGATTTTTTTTAATTTCATCATGATACAAACTATACCGATTGTCTATCAAAATATAAATTAATCAATAAATAAAAGCGAAGTGCTCAATGTTGGTTACGTTATAATATTATAACAATATACCGACGATATTGAGACAATCAAGTAACTTTAAATAAGAAGCGTGTAGTACAGTTATGTATTTGAAAAAAAAATAAGTATTTTGTATTTATCCTTAAAAATAAGACATGGTAAAATTTTGTCCAAGGTGAACTAAAATATGTATGTATACTAAGTGACATATGAAACCGAACACCCAGTTTAAATGGTTTTATTTTAATAAAAGTTGGTGAATGTATTTATCTTACTGTAAATAACAAGTGAAAAAAATTTCAGCCTTATCAGTTGGACATTCCGGTTTTTATACTGCTTTTTTTTAATTCACTAACGCTCTAAAAATGAATATTTCAGCCGCAGTAAAGAATCAACGTTGGCGGATTTTGGTTCTTGACATCCCTTACGATCGGTTACGATGCCTAGAGTACGGAGACCTGTACGATTTCGTCAACTTAGTGAGTTTGATAGGGGCCATATAGTGGGACTTCGGGACGCTGGACTTTCTTTTCGGGCAATTGCAGTTAGAGTGCAAAGAAGTGTAGACACTGTGGTTAGGTGTTGTCAGGCATGGCTTCGAGAAGGCCGTACGCAAAGAGCAAGGGGCACTGGACGCCGCCGTAGAACAACAGACCGTGAAGATCGCCGCCTAAGATTATTGGCCTTAAGGGACCGTTTCTCCACTACCAGGTCCATTGCAAATGAATGGTTTGCAGAACACGGAAGACCTATTGGCATGCGAAGTGTTTACCGACGAATGAGAAGTTTTGGCTTGTTTTCATACCGGCCACATTGGGTCCTCCCTTTAACTCGAGAACACCGACCTTAAGTGGTGCAGACAACGGTCACTCTGGGATCAGGAATGGAACAGTATTGTCTTTAGTGACGAGTCTCGATTTTGTTTAGGTATGCACGATGGTTGTGCCAGGGTTAGAAGGCGACGTGGTGAAAGGAGGAATCCACAGTTTTTTGTTGAAAGACGTGTTCATCACACTGTTGGAGTTATGGTTTGGGGTGCTATAGCTTATGGTTCCAGGTCACCTTTAATCTTCATCAGAGGTAACATGAACGCGCAGTGTTATATTCACGAAGTTCTAGAACCCCATCTTTTACCCTATCTTGACACCCTGGCAGATCCAACTTTCCAACAAGATAATGCCCGACCACATGTCGCAAGAGTCACAATAGACTTCTTTCAACATAATGATGTCACATTGTTACCATGGCCACCAAGATCTCCCGACTTATCCCCAATTGAGCACGTGTGGGATATGATGGGTAGGAGATTGCTCAATTTGCAACGTCCTCCTCAGACTCTAGAAGCACTTCGAGAGGAGTTGGTGGTTGCCTGGAATGAGATACCACCGGAGGACATTGACCACCTGATCGGAAGCATGCCTAGGCGCGACGGAGAATGCGTAGCACATCAGGGTGCATCCACACATTATTATAGGTCAAAGGGCTTTAAAGCAGTGCAATCATTTTGAAATTTTTATCATTTACTTATTATGCTTCATTAAGTACTTATACAAAATTTTATTAAAATAAAACCATTTAAACTGGGTGTTCGGATTTATATGTCACTTAGTATATTTGTTTTCATACATTTATTAGTACCCATGAATTGTCTCGGAAATAATAAACCTGTTTGTGACTGGTAGCAGATGACCTCTCGAAGAGAACCCATACTGCTCAGCACCTGAGAAAAAGTAGATTATTATTTGGACACGACGAGGAGCAACCATTTTCATATATCACCTACTCCAGATATTTATTACAAATGTATCGTTACACACCTCAAAAACAAATATAGTAATCAGCCTCCAGGTAACATCTTCCCAGTAAGGCCCATCAATACTGTATTTTTTTTCATCCTCTGGTCCTAGTCGCATACCTCTGTAGTAACAATACTCTGGTGTGTTGTTAACTTTACGATAGAAATCGAAGTCTTCCGTTTTAAATCCTATGGAATGAATTGAACTTACTGAATGAAGATGGTTGATAGTAAGAAAAATATCGTACCTTTGTTCTCAATGAGAATGGAAAAAAATTATTTTCTACCAATCCCAATATATCATAAAACCGTATTTTCTCCAGCCGTACGAAAAGTAGATTAGATTAGACTGACTGGACTCGACGACTTCACTTTGTCTCTCTAGAGTGAACATTTTCGTAAATAATTTGACCAATATTTTCCTCTCCTCTGAATGAACTCACAGTTTTCAAAAATAGGAAATTTTGAGAAACATATTAGGTAAACTGAAAGTATTTCAATGTGTTTTCTGAGCCCTCAAAATATCCAAGCTAGTTTCAGGACTAATTTTTTCGAATTGTACACCATTTTTTATCTGTTTTCAGTACTGTATTGAATATTTGAGTGGTGGCTAGTAGCACCTATGAAGATTAGCCATAAATAGAAGTATCCACTGCAATTTTCAACCCGTCGCAGGTCGCCGTTCGGCGTGCCGCGCAGCGGTAATTCGCAGTCACCCAAATTTGGGCAGTTCAGTCTGAACAGTATAAAAACTATGTAAAGGAAGCCTGAAAATTTAATTGGTTTTCCTAGTTTATATACTTTAGAACATAACCAAAGCCCCACACAATATTTCCGAACCGAAAGTGTCGACCATCTGACAACGATGCTGAACCGCACCAATCACCATGATACAAGCACCAGCTATGATACTATAATTCAGAGCTGCCAGACATAAGATAATTATCGTCTGGCAAGGTAATTTAAAAAACATTTTTTTACCATCATATGTTGACATGTGTTCGATGAATCCCATCTCCCATTATTTTCAATCTAACCTGCATATGAATGTACTCGATCGTTTCGCTCACGTTCACACATGGACATCTTCCTGAGCATGAATCCTGGGACGATCACATCATCCCTTCTAAACGGAAAGTCCATGATACGCGATTGTGTACGACAATATATTTATGATAATGTCCATGCGCTTGTACAGGGTGGTCAACTAAGAAGGCGAGGTACTGTATCTGGGAACCTACCCATCATAGAGGCTTGCGGCAAAGCAGTTATTACTAAAACGGCCAAGAGAAAAACCTGGAACATATCTTCAAATTTCTGAAATGGCCACTAGGCGGCGTTACTGCAATCTTGAATCTAAAAAAGTGATGTTTCTGCGAATTCCGCTATATTAGCCTAACCAAAAAATACCTATCTTCGAATTAGAAGATAATCTGAACCTATTTGGTTTGACAATTTTTGCTGTATCTCTAAAAATAAAGGTTTCCGTAAAAACACCCTGTTTCTTCGTAACGGCTCAGCCGATTTTAACAAACATAGGCTAAGTGAAAAAAGCTATTCTTGGGCTACAAATGTTATAATATTTGAAGTTTTGTTAGTTTCACATGTGGCCGCTAGAGGGCTTTTTTTTTTCGACATTCCGACATAAATGGTTGATTTTCTCAAAAAAATTATATACATTGGTATGATTTTCCTATGGAAAAGTAGTTAAATGATGTCTAACCAAGCTTGTGAAAACAGCATTTCGATATCTTGTTCATAACCTAAAATTTAGGAAAAAGAAAATTTTACACCGAAATCCCTTAAATTTTAATTTTTTTAACTTTTTTTTTTTTTTGATTATTTTTATAATTATGTTGTGGCCTTAAAAAGGGCCGACTTAAAAAAGAAAGGCTTCGAATGCCCCCATGAACACTCGAAATGCTGAGCATCACGATCTGAAGCCTCTCATGGGTAGACAAAACTGCAGCTTCAATTTTGGCTCTCGATGTGATATGTATTGCATTACAAATCCTGTTTTTCAGATCTTCTCTGGTTGTAGGTTGAGTCTGAAACACGATGTCCTTTAACAGTGCACATGAATAAAAATCAAGACAAGTTAAGTCTGGTGATCGCGAAGAGCGTGAAAACAGACTTCCTCTTCCAATCCACCACTCTTGAAAAACTACAATAACAGCAAAATGTGCTGGACAGCGATCCAACTGCAAAAGAAGTTTTGCCGTGTTTCCAGTGACACATCTTCCAACAACAACAGTAATTGATTGTTCAAGAAGTCAAGAAAAACGTGCCATTAAGGGATTGCTCGAAAAAATATGTCTCAATACTTCTGCCTCCCAGTCTGACATTAGTACTTACCTATGGTTCTTCAAAATATTTTGAACCCTTGTTTGTGATATTCCCAACTTAAGGGCTAATGCCGTTTGCTAACATAAGGATTTCCTTTAATATATCCCAGTACGCGGTTAATATTTTCTTCTTCTAATTCTTTGGCTATGTTATTAGCGTTACTTACCTTTTAGCGTTATTTTGTGATATTTTCAAAGAGGGTAATTTTATTCTGACGAATAAAACAGAGTTCCAGAAAAATTAGTTTAAAAAAATAAAAATTTAATGGATTTCCATTTAAAATTTTCTTTTGCCTAAATTTTAGGTTAGGAACAAGATTTTGAGATGCGGTTTTCGAGAGCTAGTTGTTTATAAACAAAATCATGCAAACGCATTTAATTTTTTTTGTTGAGAAATGTCGAAAACAGCCCACATGTGAAAGTAACAAAAGTTCAAATATTATAACATTTGTAGCCCAAGAATAGCTCTTTTTAACTAGCCCAAGTTTGTTAAAATTTACGGAAATCTTTGAATACCACCAGAGATACAGCAAAAATTGTCAAACAAAAACGTTCACATTATCCTGGAATTTAAATATCAAGTTTTTTTTGTCAGGTTGATATAGCAAAATTCACAGAAACATCACTTTATTAGATTCATTATTGCAGTTAAGCCCCTTAGCGGCCATTTCAGAAACTTAAAAATATCTTCCAGGTTTTTCTCTTGGCTGTTTTTGCCGCGAGCATCTACGATGGAAAGGTTCCCAGATACAGTGCCTCGCCCTCTTGGTTGGCCACCCTGTGCAATTATTTCAGGGCACGACTCGAGCAACGTTGCTATAACTCGAGATCGAGAACGTCAGCGATGCAGTCATACGCAGGCGGGGTTTGATGCACGAAGAAAGGAGACTCGCAAACTGCGACAGACACTTTAGGGACATCTCTAATAGTTCAAAGCTTCAAGGGTGAATGTACGGGGAAATCTATCATTTGTGAAATATGTTTTAATAAGAGCGTAAAATTACCGAGGTTCGAAGATTATAAGTACACTAATATCAAAAAATTGAGATATACCCTCCCTCACCCCCTACAACTCCCAACTTTCAATTTTTGACTCTTGCAAATTTGTTTCTGAAATAATCAGGAACCTGTGGTTTGAGCGAAATTTTTTATAGTTTTTGGTCTTTTTCTGCGCGGTCTTTCGATTGATTTTCAAAAACTACCAAGCTTATTCGTCCTTGAGCAAAAATTTGATCAAAATCCGACAGATACTTTCCTAGTTATAGACGTGCCAAGGGCTAGCGGATAGACAGGCAGACTGACGGACATGAGTGACATGGTTTTTCGAAATTTTCCGTGATTACAATACCAGTAAATGTGGGAAGTAAAAATGAGGTTGGTTTTGGGTTCCCTTAGAACAAAATCGTTTGTAGCTCTAAAAATTTGCTTGTACATTGAACGTACAAATTTTTAGAAAAACTGTCTTGTATAGTCAGCTTTACGAAAAGAAATAAAGCATCGGCGTGAAAGGGTCTAATTCGTATCAAATAGCCAATCAAGCCGACTTGGGTCATTTGAAGACTGAAAACTGCATGTATTTTCCATATATAGCTTTTTAATAGTCCCAAAGACGTTGAAAATTAAAAATTTTAGAAAGCTATATATTTATATTTCTGATATGCTTCAACGTTGACTCTACAAAACCATAAAAGACAAAATCGCCGTATTGTTTATTGCAAAATTTCCTACATCTGTGAACTGTTGATGAGCGACATATCGAAAACACGTGGCACGGGTAGTTATCAGACTTCAAAGAATCTATTATACCAGTGCAATTTTTTAGCGGATACTAGAACAGGTAAAACAACCGAGGGTTCCTTTTATCACACAGGTACAAAAGCAGGAGGATAAAAGTGGATGCAGACCTCTATTCGCAACTAAAAAATTCTAAGTAGGATTTTTGAAAAATAAATGTGCTCAGCTGCAATAATTATTGATTCAATTAGTCAAAGGATTGTTATTTGACCTAACTTGGTTTGATGAGCTATTTGGTAACAATTGAGTGCTTTCACACTGATGCTTCATGCCTATTTGAAAAGCTGATTATACGAGCAAGTCTTTCTAGCAATTCGTTCGTTCAATGTGCTAGCAATATATAGAGCGAGGCACGATTTTGTTCTAAGAAAAACCGAAAACAAAAACAATTGTATACTCAGTGATATTGGAAAAAAATAATTTCTTCAACTTGTTTTTTGGCAAAATAATATACGAGTATTTGAAGCATGCTGTGGCAACAATGTCAACGTTTTATCTCTGTTTTTGTTTACCTTTGTTAAAATGTTATCTCTTAGTTTTTGTGAAGAGAGCAGTTTCTGAGAGGTGAGTAGTGCAGATATTCTTAATTATTTTCCTTTCATTTACTAGTGTTAAGCATAAAAAATTCCTCGAGTTCGAAGACGTCCAAATTATCACCATTTTAGCGATTTTGACAGGGCTAGAATTATTGCCTATCGAGATGTTGGTTTGTCCTGTCGCGAAATTGGCCGCCGTATTAATTGTACTGCAATGACGGTAATGCGTGTCTGTCGTGTGTGGATAGAAGAAGTCAGATGAACACAAAGAATACCATCTGGTTCACCAAGGCGTACCACAGAGCGCTTGAAAAAACTAGCCCTACGAGACCGTTTTGCTAGTACCCATCAGATCGCTGACCAATGGTTTGGATAAGAAGGTAGACCACCTGTTACTATGCGTACTCTCTATTGCCGCATTCGAGCCTGTGGACTTTTTACATACCGTCCACGGTTAGTGCTTCCTCTGACTGCGGACCGCTGTCGGCAACGTTTGAACTGGAGCAGAAAACGACAACATTGGGAGGCAGAATGACAGAACGTCATCTTCAGCGACGAATCGCGATTCTGTCTAGGTACACACGATGGTCGTTCAAGGGTAAGACGCCGCCGTGGAGAACGGCGTGTTATTAGATTTGCTGTTGAGAGGAATTTACTCAGGTCTGTTGGAGTAATCGTTTGGGGGGCTATTGCTTGTGGTAGCCGATCACCCATTTTCTCTGTTCAAGGCAATATGACTGCTGCGCGTTATGTTGATGATATCCTACAAACCACCTTACTGCCGTATCTAGAAGGACGACCACGCGTCCTTTTTCAGCAAGAGAACGCACGTCCCCATATTTCTCGTCGTAGTACAGACTTGCTTCAAAAAGCAGGCGTTGTTTTGCCGTAGCCACCTCGTTCGCCCGATTTAGGAAGATCGAGTTGCTTTCCAATGAGGTCCCGCAACCAGACATCGATCATCTCATTTTGTCAATTCCTAGACGTATACAGTGTATTCAGCTGCGGGGTCGCCCAACGCATTATCAATTTTTTTTTCTTATTACTTGTCAATAAAATTTCGTGAGAATGTTATCGTTTCATTCTTGATGTAAGACTACCTGATTGCCAAAAAATCAATCAGAAGAAATTGTTTTTTATGGGTGTAACACTTCTAGTGCCGCTGAGTATATATTTTTTATATTAGGAATTTCTGTTTCAACGTATAAAAGTTCAGATGGGTATAATATGGGTTTATTGTATACTAAGTGACATATAAATCCGAACACCCAGTTTAAATGGTTTTATTTTGATAAAATTTTGTATAAGTACTTAATGAAGCATAATAAGTAAATGATAAAAATTTCAAAATGATTGCACTGCTTTAAAGCCCTTTGACCTTTAATAATGCGTGGATGCACCCTGATGTGCTACGCATTCTCCAACGCGCCTAGGCATGCTTCTGATCAGGTGGTCAATGTCCTCCTGTGGTATCTCATTCCAGGCAACCACCAACTCCTCTCGAAGTGCTTCTGGAGTCTGAAGAGGACGTTGCAAATTGAGCAATCTCCTACTCATCATATCCCACACGTGCTCAATTGGGGATAAGTCGGGAGATCTTGGTGGCCATGGTAACAATGTGACATCATTATGTTGAAAGAAGTCTATTGTGACTCTTGCAACATGTGGTCGGGCATTATCTTGTTGGAAAGTTGGATCTGCCAGGGTGTCAAGATAGGGTAAAAGATGGGGTTCTAGAACTTCGTGGATATAACGCTGCGCGTTCATGTTACCTCTGATGAAGATTAAAGGTAACCTGGAACCATAAGCTATAGCACCCCAAACCATAACTCCAACAGTGTGATAAACATGTCTTTCAACAAAAAACTGTGGATTCCTCCTTTCACCACGTCGCCTTCTAACCCTGGCACGACCATCGTGCATGTCTAAACAAAATCGAGACTCGTCACTAAAGACAATACTCAATACTGTTCCATTCCTGATCCCAGAGTGACCGTTGTCTGCACCACTCAAGGCGATTACGTCGGTGTTCTCGAGTTAAAGGGAGCACCCAGTGTGGCCGGAATGAAAACAAGCCAAAACTTCTCATTCGTCGGTAAACACTTCGCATGCCAATAGGTCTTCCGTGTTCTGCAAACCATTCATTTGCAATGGTCCTGGTAGTGGAGAAACGGTCCCTTAAGGCCAATAATCTTAGGCGGCGATCTTCACGGTCTGTTGTTCTTCGGCGGCGTCCAGTGCCCCTTGCTCTTTGCGTACGGCCTTCTCGAAACCATGCCTGACAACACCTAACCACAGTGTCTACACTTCTTTGCACTCTAACTGCAATTGCCCGAAAAGAAAGTCCAGCTTCCCGAAGTCCCACTATACGGCCCCTATCAAACCCACTAAGTTGACGAAATCGTACAGGTCTCCGTACTCTAGGCATCGTAACCGATCGTAAAGGATGTCAAGAACCAAAATCCGCCAACGTTGATTCTTTACTGCGGCTGAAATATTCACTTTTAGAGCGTTAGTAAATTAAAAAAAAGCTGTATAAAAACCGGAATGTCCAACTGATAAGGCTGAACATTTTTTCACTTGTTATTTACAGTAAGATAAATACATTCACAAACTTTTATTAAAATAAAACCATTTACACTGGGTGTTCGGATTTTTACTTTTAAAATATATTTTTGTGCCTTTTCAACCAATTCTATTAGCGTCTTATTTGCAGAGCCTCAAACTGTTATTCAATAAATTAGGTGACATTTTACTAGTGCGTAATATATTATATGGTGTTATTTCGAGGGAAAGGAATGTACTGACTCACGATGTGTTTACCCAGAATACAAAATTGTGTTGGTAAAAAATGGTTTTTGCACTGACCGATTCAATTGAATTTTCATAGGTTTCTTACATAGTTTTATTATTCTTCGGGCTCCAAGTGCGCAATTGTTTGATAAAAAATCACAATAACCTCGAAAACCATTGATTTTCGATCATACATATTATGTAGAATGAAATTTGTTGGATTTTAAGCCCTGTATCACATCCTGAAAGGAATACGGCGAATTACCAGTAGCCCATGTGATTAAATCTACTACTGAAATAGTTAACGTGACTAACTTGACATAGTGTAATTTGCGTAACTGCGGTAGCGATAGTGCTGCTCCCACTGGTTGATAGCATACGATGCATAAGAGACAACATCGCCTGTGATTCCTATCAGAAAGGCCTGCAAAAATAAATAAATGATAACACAAAAGAGAATGTGTGTGAAATTATTACCTGAAATAGGTCTTACAGGTTTAACTTTTAACCTTCAGAGTACAGCAATTAGAACTGTCTTACGGCTATGTGAGAACAGTTTTCCAGCTAGATGCAGAATGAGCATTTTTTATTATTAACTTGCTTTTATTAGCTTGACCTGTATGTACGTATGTAACGGAATGTTTCAAATTGATTTTTACCTATTTCAAGAAGTCTGATTAACTAATTTGCACAGTATCTTGAAAAGTGGCATTGTATCGGTTTTTTTTACATATAAGTTTTTTGTGACTTTGAAGTTGAGTCATTAATTTTCAGATAATGATTGTAGAAGGAAGATAAACCAAAATATGTGTGTAAAAATAAAAAAAAATTAAAAAAAAAATTTTACCTTGTTTTATAAAGTATCCTCCCGACAAGTATTTCAGTGCGGACCTGTATTTGATCGTGAGGTCTTGGAGCACCGGCATGCCGTCCCCTGTGAGGTCTTAAGTCACCTGATTCACGAGCCCGTTGTACTACATTAACAAAGGCACGAGGGGTTGGTTGCACTCGATTGGGAAACCGATCCGCATAAACATGTGCCATTTTTTATTTCGTTTGAGAAACGCAACAGACACCACTATTCACTCACGCGTTACCGACTGACACTGACTGATGACTGTATCCAACTGAATAAAATAATTGTAAAAACATCGTTCCAAATTCTTTCGCTTTTTTGTTTCCGATGCGATGAACCGATAAGGCGGATTATATCCGTTGTCGCCAAACACGAGCACATAATATTATTATTGAGACAGGGCGGTACTTAAACTTCCAAAGGGCTATAACTTTGTTACTTTAATTTTATCAGAAAAATGGTAAAGGAAAAAAACATTTCTTTTGATCAGATCTACTCACTGTTAAAATAAATGACTCAACTTCGAAGTCACCCTGCATAGGATTTCCTATGAGATGTCAACTTGGAATTAGCTGTTCGTTCTCTTAATGTACACTCGTTTTGTAGCTGTATCTATACGTCATGACGCTTCAGCTGTTATGGTTTGGCTCTGATGTGATGTAAGACCTGCTTGGCATTATTGGAGGTCTAAGCTGTAAGTTGTATACTATAGCTGGAAGGAAACGAGCTAAACGGCAATGCATAGGAGCTCAGTGAGGATTAATGTGCTGATAATCTGTGTTGATGATAATTCCCTTAGTTTTATGTCTCAAATACACTTACAAGCAAAGCAAAAAATTAGTTGCGCGTTCGCTTTTTCTTATTCACCCTGGAAATTACATATGCAAATTTGCTGAATTTCAAAAATGAAAGAAGAAAATTCCTGGTTGGTGAAGTATACATGTTACAACTAACAGGTGAGAACATAAGCTACAGATAGGAATATTTACGAAACGTGATAAGGTTATTACATTATGTTATTTTTTATTTCCAGTCAATTATATTTTGTAGAAATGTGTGCCAACTATAAAATACAAATCAGCGAAAATGTTGTATGTGTGATGCGTCGTTCCTAATTTTTCTGGGATGTGGCTTTGAAGGTAAGTGAATATAGTCAACGCCAAACAAAGTGGCGTGCACGTATGCAAGGTGGGTGTGTTGAAAAATTTACATTGTTGCCAAACTTTTTGTAAAATAATAAAATTTATTATTTACATATCTAGGTTTATAAGCAATATTAACCTCAAATGAGAACAAAAATAATAGTATAATAAAATTATAGATCTGTACTTGCATAATCATTAAGTATGACAATTATTGATCAGATGACACTATGAAACTACCATATTTAATTGATAGCTTAAAGGTACTGAATAAAAATCCAAATGGGGTCCTCCAAATTTTATGCATGGTATTTATTTTACAGAATTCATACAGAAAAATGCATTCTAAAATTAGGTAAGCTACTGGTGTAAGCTTTTTCTGTACAATAAAGTTAGTCGGAGTTTCTTTCTTCAGCGCTGTCTGAATCTGAATCTTCATCACTCTCAAAGTTGATTATTAAAGGTTCGATGTCTGGTCGATCAAAAATTCGTTCTCTTTCATACCATTTAAAAATTTCTTGCTCAGTATGTCGAACACTATTTTTCCACATGTCTGGGGTAACCGTTTGTAGAGCCTCGTTCCACATATCCAAACAGTCTTTTTCACTGTTACCATCTCTACCAATATGTCTGTTATAGTAACCTTTTGCTATGCCCCAAATTAACTCAATAGGGTTAAATATACAATGGTAAGGAGGCAGACGAAGAACTTTGTGCCCATGTTGTTCCGCCAATTCATCAATCACGTATATTTTAGGTGGTTTGTTTCTAAAAAAGCAGTTATTTTAAGAATAGGAATAAACAAAAGAAATATAAACTGTCGACCAAAATATATATAATTAAGAAGCATTATGTACCGAGCAACAATACTCAATAGCTCTGTTTTAAACATTGTGTTTAAAAATGGTATGTTTTGATTTGTCAACCAGTCTTGGATATTTTTTTTTGTCCATGCATTGTTGGGCACTTTGTTCAATATCATGCTGTGATAAGGGGCGTTATCCAGTATAATCATAGATGGACTCTCCAATTTTTCTAATAACTGATGTTGAAACCATTTCAAAAAATTGTCCTGGTTCATCTCTCCATGGTAATCGCTCAATTTTGTTTTCGAAGAAAATATCGCTTCACTACCCTCAATAAACCCATTTTCATTTCCAGCATGTAATATAATGTATCTAAAATATATTAGTTTTAAATTTTATAGTGCAAATTGTGTAAAAGTACATACCTTTTACCATCTGTTTTAATAGCTTTCACGCTTTTTTGGTTTCCATTTTGCCAAGAGCGACCTATGGTCCCATTTTGAAATATCCAAGTTTCATCGAGGAAGACAAACTGGTATAAGGCCTCAACCTTGGCTTAATTGTATTGCCTTAGAAATTCCACCCTTTTCAAAGCTATACTTGGTAGTTCCATGAGCCCTCGTCGCGGATTGTCCTTAAGCCACTTAAATCCAAGATCTCTAAGCAACCGCCTTAAAGACGTGGCACTACCATCAAATAATGCTCTATCTCTTAATCGAGACCATAAAGTTTGTATCGTAACTTGTTCTTCTGAAACCATGTGTAATATGACATTATAATTTAGTTAACAAATTAATGTAAATTTCTGATAAGTTATTATAATAAGATCTTACTTTTGTGATACATATTATAGATCACTTCTCGAATGGCACTTGTATCCAATGTCGCTGTGTTGGTTACACGTTTAATATAACTCCGCTTTTTCTTGGGCGATTCTAAATTTGCATCACTTTGCACACCCTCGGAAATACGACTAACTGTCCTTAAACTAATTTTTAAAGCAGCAGCAACACGCTACAAAAAATGAAATAAAATTTCACTATTATTAATATACATTACATATAATTATTAGTAACCTACCTCTTGAACAGCATTTAAAGGCAACAAAGGCCCGTTGTTGTCCCTTTCTTGCTCAAAGTAGTGCATTAACGAGGCCACGAGTTCCTTACACCGACTATTTAACTGTTTGGGCATCTTTATATACCAAAATTGCCTTTATCTACTCGTAAAATGAATAATTTTGTTTTGAAACAAACAGTTGTTGATTTACAGTATGCGGGGCCAAAGGATTTATAAAGATTTGAAATGCCACAAATTGATTCAGTGTCAAAATTAATACAAATGTCAGTTCCCAGTTTAAATAAGTTTCAAGGTGACAATGTGTCAACGCTGCGAAATCGGATTAGTGCGTTTACATGACGATAAGTGATTGGAGCGTTTGCAAAACATTTTATTTCGCATAATGCGTCTAAATTTATCAGAAAGCAACTTATGTGATATTTTAATAACAATGTTTATATGACTATTAACCATAATAAGAGAGTAATGACCATTTTACAATTTATATATCACATTAATATGAAACTGCAATAGAGCAATTGTTTGTGATAGAAACCTAGGCATTAGGTCGGGGAATTTTTATCGTGATGACGTGCACGCCACTTTGTTTGGCGTTGACTATATATTTACTCTTTAAGATACAGCCCTAAATATAACAGTGAACATAACGTTTGTTCAGAAAAGACAAAACATGAATAACCTGTCTGGCACAGGTAATAGATATACTTTATGGGCAGCATATTCAGTAATAATCTTCTCACATAACAAATATAACTGATTTTAAATACCTGCAAACCAATACACAAAATCATCCAGATGCGATTTTGATATTCTGTTACTCAACCAATTTTCTTTCTGTTACATTTTCTAGAGATATACTCTACAGACTGTCTCGCCATTCTACAACCATCAAAGCATGCTGGCAAACTCATGACATTTTGTATTTTACATTATAGGGATTGATCTTATCTATTATCTTACAGTTATCTTTTTCTTACATTTGTAGCTGTACTCAAGTAAGTAATTCCCAAGATGACTCCGTCCCAGGCTCCAATACCACTGACGTTCCTTGGTAAAGGACGTCGAAACCTAACGTTTATCTTATAAGCGTCCAACCTCTGTTCCATCAAGTTGTTGAGCAAAATGAAAAATGACGCAAATGGACATGCAGCGAAGAAGAGTGACACAAAGCCATAGTTTATCACTAAAATTGAACAAAAATACTCTTACTCAAGGTGCGTTCTGTTCTAGAATACATTTTCCAAGTCAAAGTGACAATTTCTGTTGGAATTCTCGGGTAGATGGTTAAGAATCAGAATACTAATATACTTCAGTTTGAAGATCTGCACTAGTCAGAATAAATGTTAAAATATCTGCTTCAGTAGTTACCTCATAGTAAAGAGGGAATATATCTGAGAAAACCCTAAGTTTCATTGCTGATCTATTACTTACCCATTTCACAAAATTCCGAGGTAAGCAGATATCTGTTTGTTGGTAAAAGATTGTATTCCGTTTCGTACTGCGGTAACCTTTCTTCTGCTATTTGCTTTTTCTTGAAGAATAACAACGTTTTGAATATTTTCTTGAGTGGCCTACAAAGTGAGGTTTTATTCTTTTTTTGTTTTCAATTTCATATCGGTCTATAGCATTTTTCTGTCTATGAAATAGGAAAAAAATTCAGCCTTCTCAAAATCTTCGTTGCAATATTTTTTCAACATATTGTAAGCTGTAATGGAGAATATTACGTTGTATGTTGTATGGATGGATTCCATATTTACATTTACAGAATGACTCAAAAAGCACCAGCAGTTTATAAGGCGAAAAGTAAATGCTATAATAAGAATGGGTAATGGGACGCAATAAAATCAGCCTTGTCGAAATATAGGGCTCAAAGTTTTCTGAGTAGGTTTCAGGAGTCTCAGTTTACGAGAGATTTCCACAGTTTGACCCCTACTGAAAAGTACTTTTTCGCCCTTGACTTTCGGAAAATCTGTTATGTTTTATTATTATATTATTTATTAAACATTTTTATCACATCGATCACTCCTTTTGGAAAAATCATGATGGTTTTAATATACCGGGCGTTTTAAATTCGACTCTCACCATTCAAATCCTGGAAACGGTAAGAGAAATGAAGTCGGTTAAATGGTGGACAAATTGCGCATTTAGGTAACTATGAAATCGGCACTTAAAAACTCTCACAATTCAGTTATTTCCAGACAGAGTCGGAAAAAACTGAATTTTCCGAAAGTCGTTTTTTTCTGAGTTTATTTGAGGCAGCGTTTAAAAATAAATTACACATTAGTATTGGCACTTTTTTGATTCAGATTCCGAGCATGCAAGGTATGCTATACACGGACATTGTCTAACCAAAGTTACTTAAAAACGAATATATTGGTCTTGGAAATGACAGTTTATTCCATGTTTATCCGATTAAATCGCCAATGCTTCAGATAATTTGCCCATGTATCTACTATAACAAGCGATATTTTTGTGCGATGGAAGCTCACTACATGACATCTCAGCTGCAGATTAATAGTATTTGAAGGCAAGATTTATGCATGGGATTAGATATGGAGGATATGAAATACTTATGTTCAGGAAACTGTAACATTGTCGAGGCTTTTATTACTCTAAAATATTACATAAAGTAATACTGTTTGCAACGTTTTCAATACAACCCTTAAATCATATGAAACGTTTTAGCATGGTGTTCTTTATTCAATGAGACAACGCCAATTCTAGGAAGATAACTTTGTAAGGCATTCAAAGTCTCATAATATTAATCTATATCATGATATGTGAAATAAGTATCAGATCATAAAAATCGGAAATATATGCCTAGTTCATAGAAACTGAAGAAATGCTTGGCTGCTGATATTACGCAACAATGGTAATTTCAAGTCTTACTTAGGAAATTCTTTTTTGGAATGACTAACGTTTGGCAATGCCAATCTATGTCATATTATTCAGTTTTTGTGCAAAAATCCAATATGGCCTCTAAAGAAAAAATGATGATTAATGACAAAAAACGGAACGTCAAACTGAAATTCTGATTATGCCACCTTATAGAGGAGAAAAGGTGCCAACATTACTATGCTAATTTGAAATCCAGCCTGAAATAAGAAAAAGATAAAAAAACTATTTTGGGAAAAATTGGTCTTTTTCGTCTATCTCCGGAAATACTCGGAATTGCGATACCTTTCTAGTAGCATTTTCTTAGTCACCTAAGTGACCTAAGTGCAACCTTGCACGCAAATTTGAAAAACCCGGTATATTTAAGTAAGCTTAGGAATTTCAGTGTATTTGCAATTTCTGGTCTAGAGATAAGCTTATTGTATTTCGATTAAAAAATTAGAATAAACTCACGGTTTAAACAGCACCAATAAATTCCCCACCAGTCTCTTGAAAGTTATGATGAAGAAAAGGTTTGTGGCTAAATCTCCTATGCAAGTAGAAGGCTGGCAGTTGTCTTGCTGTATGAAAAAGTTGTTGGTGCCTGGTTGGGAGAAATTGATCCCCTTCACGAAAGCAATATAGAAAAACGGTGCGTAGTTATTCGCAAATGCCAATAAGTACCCTTTGTAGAGTACTGACGAATCATAGTCGCGTTGATGCTTCGGGTTTTCAATGTCTGTGAGCCGTATTGATAGATTTTCGTAAATCTAAAACGCAAAAGTATCACAAGAACAAGATGTACCAGACCCACGTCTTTCGACACAGTTCCAAGAATAACGCTGGATGAGTTGAATGACAGTAGTTTTCATGCTTTTTCATAAAAAAATGGTGTCAAGTAGATTGATTCTGCACTCCCTACGCAACCCTCTGAGAAAAAATCGCTCAAGTCAGTCATAATTAATATTTTCAGAACCGCTTTAGATATTTCACTGATATTTAGTAAGTACTGAAAGTTAATAAAGTTGCATATTTTTCAATGCAAAAATAATTTTTCAATATTTTTAAAAAATGGTACGCCAATGTTTTTTTGCCAAATAAAAATTATTTTTCACTTCCCAGTTCAATTTAAAACAAATAATCTCTCTTGAATTGTTTTCCTTCGATGCGCCATTTTTGAGTAAAAAAATAAAAACCGTTCTCTTGTCTAACTTCCAAAATTATTATTAATTTAATTGGAAAAATTAAACACATTAGGGGTAATGAACAACAACAACTGACAACATAAACATAACATTAAAACCAACGAAATGATTACAAAAATTGTTGAAAATGGTCCCCTTCACTTAGTATGCATGCTTCCGCCCTCCTTCTCATGGAATTGCGCACTCGTTGAAATATCCCTGGAGTGTTTTTTATTCTATCACAAGCTGCAACTATTCTTTCTCTTAATTCCTCCACTTGTGTACACTAGTGTCTTAAGATAGCCCCACAAAAAGAAGTCTAAACTGTTGAGGTCGCGGGACCTTGGTGGCCATTCTTGGGGCCCACCGTGGTCAATCCAACGATTTGGATAAACAGTTTGTAAATAATTACGAATCGCTACACTGAAATGCGCTGGTGCACCATCATGCATGTACCACATATTATTTCTCATTACTAGCGGAACATCATCAAGCAGCAAATGCAACTTTTGTGGAAGAAAATTGAGGTCTGTCCGTCAAGTCGTCCCGGCAAGAAGAATGGGCCAATAAAGTGGTTGCCAATAATTCCTGCCCATACGTTAACCGAAAATTGGTGTTGGAAGTTAGTTTCAGTTACGGCATAGGGTTTTTTTTCTGCTAACAAATGATTATTGTGGATATTCTGAATGGCATTTCGAGAAAAATTATCTTCGTCCGTGAACAGAGTCATTAATTCAAATTGCGGATTTTGTGTAATTTTTTGAAGATACCACTGACAAAAGGTCGCACGCCTCGGAAAATCAATGGGAAGTAATGCCTGTACTCTTAAAATATGGTAAGGATATAACAAAAAATCCAGTAAAATTCTCCAAAAAATTTGATGGCAAACATTTGAGAGTCTAGCGATCCTCCTCGTACTCGTTTCAAGATGTTATTCGACTTCGTGTAGCACTGCTTCCTCAATTTCAGGTGTTCTCACACTTAGAGGTCTACCTTCAGATGTTCCTTTTCGGACAGAACCAGTTTCAACAAGACGACGATGAATATTAGAAAAGGTTCGACTATCTGGCAAAGCACGAGCGGTATATCCCTGGTGATAAATCCGCCTGGCTTGCTCACCATTACCGTCGGCAAGGCCATATTCGTAATGCATTTCCGCCATTTCTGCATTTGAATAATTCACCATTATTAACAAGATTGTAAAAACAAAATAATGAAAAAGATGTCACAGCGAACAGATTTGAATAACAGAGACATGTCAGATGTCAAAAGCCAGTGACATACTCCAGAGCAACTATATATTTATTGCTAAATCGCATTCTTCAATTACTACATTAATTTTCACGAACGGTTTTTATTTTTTTACTCAAAAATGGCGCATCGAAAGAAAACAATTCAAGAGAGATCATTTGTTTTAAGTTGAACGGGGAATTTAAAAATGATTTTTATTTGGCAAAAAACTATTGGCGTACGATTTTTTTCTTAAAAAATATCGAAGTCAATACCCGTACGCACGCCACTGTTAAAGCAAAAAATTATTTTTGCATTGAAGAATATGCAGCTTTATTAACTTTCACTACGTACTAAATATCAGTAAAATATCTGAAGCGGTTCTGAAAATATTAATTAATTTCCATTTTTTCCTAAAACTTCAACACCCCGAGTTTTTGTAAGGAAATATTTTTGGACCATAATTTATAAAGCAAACTAACAATAATTTTTCATGTAGATTCACATCCTTAAATATTCGCATATCAGTAAGCAATACCCTGTATTAACATAATTAGCCCATGGACATTATTTTCCTGCCCTACCGGTAAATACCGACCATCTGGCAACGTTGCCCTTCCCATATCGCGCCACCCCTGTAGCAAGTTATTGTTTTTTCTGTGTATATGTTCCGTTCGCTGCAGTATGGACAGAACAGTCAGTCAGATCGGTGCGCCAGGCGGTGAGCTTAGATAGCAGAAAGAGACACGGAGCTAACCGATTTTCAAAAACTGCAAAGCGTCTTTGACACAGTACTAACATTGTGTGAAAATTTCATCCAAATTCGAGCGGTATTTGTCCAGTTATCGGGGGTCCAAGGATTAGCGAACAGACAGAGAGACCGACAAACATGCAGACGGATATGAGTGACATGGTTTTTTGTGGTGTACGAGTAGATGTCGTTTAAGTTATAAGTGGCGTAGTATGTAAAAGTATAGCTTTCGTGACATAGAACAACGCTTCCCAAGAGATGGCTACTGGTAGCCTGTAAACTATTCCTTGAAGTAATGCCGCTACATGCCCTGTAGTCAAGTACCAAAATGGAAGAGATTAGCGTAACTCATCGCAAAGATGTTAAAAATAATAGATTTTCATTTTAATCGATTATTTTCGTTTATGATTGATTCTTAATAAATGATTTTATTGATAATAGTAACTGTTTTTTGAAAAATCGGTTATATGAATTACATATTTGTATCCATTTTTGTAAACAGCGTCTTTTGTGAGAGAGATGACAGAACCTGAATAACTTCAAGACGTTACGCTTAAATTTTGTAGAAAAAGTATGTATTTCGTTTTTGTTTGCCCTGTACAAGCTAATGAAGTTTTCCAATAAATAGGCGGAGGACTAAGAAAACGTTTTGACACAAAACGCATTTCAATGTTTCTCAATGTGATGTACTGGCGAGCTGTCAAAAATGAGCGTTTTTGTAGTGATTAGCTTATAACTCAACAACCACTAATCAAAATTGTTGATATATAGATATTTATGAATTGGGATACCTGTATAATGTTTAATATTTTAAAATGTGTCCTTAGATACGATATAATATCTCAAACATAAATATATATCTTTGTTTTAGTCTAGGAGCAACATTCACGTAATATAGACGAGCATGCACAGTTGTTCGAATAACAGAATAAATCAAATTTCCCACAAAACACGATTATTTTCTTCTGGAATCAGTTTTACATATATCGACTTATATTAAAAAGAAAATATGACATCAAGTAAGTAGACTCTGCATTTCCTACGCATCGCCGACGTCAGTTCATAGAGGCCTATGTTCAGCAAAAGTTAAAACCTCTGAGAAAAAAAATAGTTACGAACATACACAACAGATAAATTTAACGGATCAAGTCACTCAAATAGGCCCCGGCGATTAATACATAGACATTTTTTCCCTGCCTTATCGGTAGTTACTGTCCATCGGGCAACGTAGCTGCTCCTCATACCGTCACGCGACAGCGCCTACCGAAACAGTACAGCAGTAGCAACGTTTGAGCGACTTTTTGTCGTTTTTGGCTTTTTCCAAACCTTTTTCGTCCTTGGCGTAGTAGTCACCCTGTGTAAAAATGTTATCCAAATCCGAGCAGTACTTTCCAAGTTATAGAGGGGCCAAAGATTACCGGACAGACCGACAGACAGACGGACCGAGTGACAGACAGACCGGCGGAAATAAGTGACGTAGTTTTTGGTGATGTACATATCATTTTCTAAATTCATCCAACCCGCCGCGTTAACAATGGCGTACGATGCGTTATGCTACCCTTTTCATTTTGGTACTTGATCACAGGTAATAAGAAATTGATTTAATCTTTGTCAAATTCTACTTCTATGATGATTTTTATCTACTGAAACAGATAGCAGAATTGTTTACCTCTCCAAAACCTTTGATGAAACAGACTTGCAAAATACAGCCAACTATCATAACAAATGTTGTAGTTGAATCGTGTAAATACTCAGTTAGTGCCATTTTGAGTAGCAACTTTGTTGTTATCACTCCTACAACAGCAAGTATCACCACTGATATCTGGAAAATATGTTTTCAGAATCACAAAATTTGGAATCATAGCCAGCACTAAATGTACCAGCACTTAATACCTACATACCTATTTCTACCAAAACCGATCAAATGATCATTTTTAAGATTTTTCCACGTAAAAAATGTTTGCTGAACGTGAGCGTGAGCCAACTCTACCTATTTTAAGAGAGGAAGTAATACGTAAGACCTTACTTTCCATGGTTAATCACGTCCTTCGAAATTATTTCACTGTATTAAATGGATTTCACATGTATTTAATTTCTTTTAATTGCGACGGTTCTCCTTTACGAATGTTAACCCGCAAATTTGTTAAATGCTAGCACCTACAGAATAACCTGTAACTTTGTCATTATCTATGCAAACGAATTCATATGGCCATCTCCTACTAATAGGTCAATCTTGGGAGTGATATTTGACGGATATACAGGGTGACTTTGAAGTTGAGTCAGTAATTTTCAGATAATGATTGTAGTAGGAAGATAAACCAAAATATGTGTGTAAAAATAAAAAAAAAAATTAAAAAAAATCTTACCTTGTTTTATAAAGTATCCTCCCGACAAGTATTTCAGTGCGGACCTGTATTTGATCGTGCGGTCTTGGAGCACCGGCATGCCCTCCCCTGTGAGGTCTTAAGTCACCTGATTCACGAGCCCTTTGTACTACATTAACAAAGGCACGAGGGGTTGGTTGCACTCGATTGGGAAACCGATCCGCATAAATCCGTGATGCCGCGGCAGCATTTTGTAAAGACTCCCCCCCGTAAATAAGAATCATGTCCACAAGTTCAGCATTTTCGTAAACATGTGCCATTTTTTATTTCGTTTGAGCCACGCAACAAACACCACTATTCACTCACGCATTACCGACTGACACATTGACTGAATACAACTGAATAAAATTGTAGTAAAAACATCGTGAAAAGCGTTTCAAATTCTTTCGCTTTTTTGTTTCCGATGCGATGAACCGATAAGGCGGATTATATCCGTTGTTGCCAAACACGAGCACATAATATTATTATTGAGACAGGGCGGTACTCAAACTTAAGGGCAATAACGTTGTTACTTTAATTTTGCCAGGAAAATGTTAAAGGAAAAAACATTTCTTTTGATCAGATCTACTCTCTGTTAAAATAAATGACTCAACTTCGAAGTCACCCTTTATGTATATATTTTGTGAAAGAAGACGAATAAATCTTGTAGAAATCTCCCAGCATTCCAAACGAAAAAGAATTATACGTTTTATAATATTTTCATTGTACCGCTTTACTGAAGTCCCAAACACCAGGTCATTTAAAGTTTTCCTGACACTCCGCGAATTAATTAGCCATTCCTAGAAACCATTGGTCTCCGGATTCTGATCTCAGTTCATCCATTGGGAAAACTAGTTTTGTGGTTAGTCCCTTAAAAACTCTGACCGAGCCAACAGCAATCATTAAAATGTTAATGGGGTGTAAAGGTGCGCGCGCATCGAGTGTAAACGGAGTTGGAAGAGGAGTAGAGCTAGGTTCCTTCATACATAACCAAATAAGAACCTGCGCACTGTAGTGACTGCATATTTGATGTGTGCAGTGACAAATTTCCCCCCCGCTTCGCGTCAGTCGGCATGCGACTACTCTCGCTTCTCCGCAGATCACTAGATCCAATGGTGGGAGAACTAGTAGAGCTTCCATTGCACTCAATGGCGTTGTCCGCACTGCGCTTGTAATGCTGATACAGGCCAATCGCTGAATTTTATTAAATTTGGCATTAGTAGTCTCAGTTCCAATGCATTACCACCAAACCAAGGAACCGTACAAGAGAGACGAATGCACTATCGTCGTGTAGAGCCAGTGAACCACTTTAAGTTTAAACCCCCACCTTACACCAACAACGCGTCTACAAGCCCACAATGAATTGCGAGCCTTGTTAACCTGAAATTCAACGTGCTCTCTCCAGTCCAGTTTACAGTCTACGATAATTCCTAGATATTTTACTGATTGGGATAGAACTAATCTAGTCCCAAAGAAGGTCGGCAAGACAAGCCCGGTCTTTCCAGCGTTGACAGAAAGACCAACTTCCCTCCACCATGAGTCCACAGCGCGCAGAGCGCCCTACATAATCTCAGAGCGAAAAAACGACCTCTAACTACTATGCTTACGTCATCAGCTTAGGCTTGCACGTAGACACCCGCACTGCTGAGCCTAATGAGGAGTTCATTAATCACGAGGCACCACAGTAAGGATGACAGGACTCAGCCCTACGGGCAGCCTCGAGCTACGCTAACGCTGCAGCTTACCTCATTCAGCATAGCTGTTGCTACCCGACCCTCCAGAGTGGAGAGGACCCATTCTACTAGGATTGATCCAACCCCGTATCTAACCAAGGCATGTCTGATAGACTCGGTTATAGTGCAATTAAATGCACCTTCAATATCCAAAAAGGCCACGAGTGCCACTTCTCGCTGATCTAGAATGTTCTCCAGCCTGCGTACCAGATTGTGTAAGGCCAGATTAGTCGAGTTCCCAGGTTGGTATGCAAACTGATTGGAATGAAGAAAACACCTCTCCAGCGGGCCATTCCTCAAAAATCTGTAAACTATCTTTTCCAATGTATTAAGCACAAAAGATGAAAGGGTAATCGGTCGAAAATCCGTTGAGCCAGTGTGTCTAGCTCTACCCGGTTTAGGAATCAATACCACTTTATAAGTCAGTGGACGTGCCGCTATATTAGAAGATAAACATTACCATGACTAAGCAGATACTAATTGAAAAAACCATTCGCATCACATTCTCTATTCTGGGCACGTAAGCCTCTATCTTCTTAGTTCTTGGATCATATTTTTTCATGACACGATCGATATATGCACTCCTTGCGCCTATTTCGTCATCATCAAATGTTACACCCCATCTAAAAATAATAATTTCAATTACAACTAGCTGGTGCTACTACTCCTAGAGTGTCAAGGTTGTGGAATAATCTGTCCGGGAAAGTTTTTCCAATTCTAACACTTGCATTCTCTGGCTTCGCCTCAACTCCAAAACATCACCCAAATTTATTTGCTGCCTTTATCGCTCTCCCTCGGACCATAACTGGGATGACCTACCCAAATACCTCGCCGTCCAGATCGACTTCCTGAACATCAGTCATCCCGCTTCAGAGGTAGTTCTTCTCGGTGATGTCAATGCCCATAATGAGCTTTGGTTGGTCTCAAACAAGACCGACGCCGAAGGTCGTGCAGTCGAAGCGTTCGCTCTTACCCAACTCAGACCACGGTATTGTGGAGGTTAGGTTTCGGTCAGAACCCGCTGTGGCAGCAGAAACTCGTACAGGCCGCAAAACTTGGCATTACGGACATGCCGACTGGGAGGGGCTCAGAGATTTCTTCTCTAGCTTTCCTTGGAAAGATGTCTGTTTCACTGACGCGGATGCGTCGGCTGTCTGTTCTTCGATAACCGAAATTATCCACGTCGGAATGGAGGAATACATCCCTCACACAGTGAAAGTGCCTAGACCAGGGTCCAACGGCTGGTTTAACAAATCTTGTGACGCTGCTCGCCAGCAGAAGATCAAGGCACACAGAACCCCACTGTAGAGAACAGACAAGCCGACGTTGAGCCCAGAAACAAATATAAAGCAGCGGTTCGCAATGTCAAAAACCAGCACGATATAAAAGTTAGGCACAGTGTAATGTCGCACCGCAATGGCAGTCGGTCTTTCTGGATGCTGGCCAAGCAGATTGAAAAGAACTTCTCACACAGTAGCCTTCCACCGCTTACGTGTCAGGATGGAACTATTGTATTCAACTCAAAGGCCAAGGCGGAATTGCTAGCTAAGATCTTTGCTGCCAACTCCACCATGGACGTCCCCCCAACGCCCAAGCGCCGTCAATTCAAAGGATTTCCTACACTATGCGGGAGGTACAGGCCTATAGCTCTGCTTTGTGTTTTAATTAAGGTGATGGAGAGGTATAAATCGCGAGCTTCTGGACTACCTCGAACGTCACCAACGATCCACAGGGGACCTCCTATCTTATGTCATTCAATTGTGGAGTAAACTCATCCAGTCTTATGGTGAGGCTCATGTTGTTGCTCTTGACATCACGAAAGCATTCGATCAGCTGTGGCACGCTGTCCTCTTAAGCAAACTTCCATCATATGGCCTTCCAAAAAAGCTTTGCAGATGGGTGGCTGACTTTATCTCTGGCCGCAAGATATCTGTCGTAATTGACGGGTTCTCCTCTTCATCTCACAATGTCAACGCGGGTGTTCCCCAGGGATCGGTCTTGGCTCCGACACTGTTTCTCTTACATATTAACGACCTACCTTCCTGCACGATCAACCCAATCCACAGCTTCGCTCATGACAGCACTCTACATGCAGGAATTCAGAGTGACAAGCCGATCTATGCCGCTGAGCTGGAAAAAAGAAGACTAGCGACAACTTCCTCTCTGACAAGAGACTTGGAGGCTATCACTGCTTGGGGACGGAACAATATTGTACAGTTCAATGCTTCCAAAACGCAGTACTGTACTTTGACGAACAAAAAGCGTCCCTGCGCTCACACGGTTTCGATAGATGGTCGAGTTCTGCCAAAGAGCCATTCATTTCGGCTGGTCGGAGTCCAGATCACCGAGGACCTGATCTGGCACGAACACATCTCGTCAATAGCTGCAGCCGCTGGGAAAAAGCTAGGCTATTTGTTTAGGGCTAAGAAATACTTTTCTCCGCATGACCTTCTCACTCTATACAAGGCCCAGATAAGGCCTAGCCTCGAGTATTGCTCACACGTTTGGGGTGCTGCCGCCCCGACTACATTATCCATGCTCGATGCTGTCCAGAGGAGGGCGGTCCGACTGATCGATGACTCTTCTCTAACAGACAGTCTCAGGACTCTTTCGCACCGGTGGGCTGTCGGCGATCTAGCTCTTTTCTGCCGTTACACCAACGGGCTTTGCTCCTCAGAGCTCTCTTCCATGATGCCGCCGCGCCATGTGCCTGCCAGACAGACCCGCCTGACTTTGGCGTCCCATCTTAACCGTGTCGAACTTCGTACATCCAGAACCGGCCGATACGACCGCTCCTTTGTCCCGAGGGTGTCGAGATTGTGGAACAATCTACAAGAGGAAGCTTTCCCCAGTACAACTAACCTTAGGCAGTTCAAAAATCGGATTAACAAAATTACTTTGAGATCATTATAGCAGCAGCGGTGTCCCGGCATTTAGGCTTCTGCCTGCGCGGCTGCTTCTGTATAAAAAAAAGACACAGGCGGCATTGAAATCGATCGCAATCGATTTATATAGTTTAATAGCAACTCATTAAATTTTAACAAAAAGCTAGCACGTGTTATATAGTAACAATATATAATCTTGTCGCTTTTCAGATTCTCAAAAGCAAGGACCAATAAAACATTTCCCTCAATTTAGAGATTTCGAAATAACAGCATAAAACTTTCCCTCAAAATCAAGAAGTATTTGGATGTAGTAACATCATGAAGAGGTAGTATACAGGGTGTCAGCGAAAGGTTGGCAAATCTCGAAACTGGAGATACTACAGACGAAAATATGTGAATTGACCTAAACATACCTTAGTCCAAAAGTTGCACACAACAGAAAAGGTTTACTAGTTAAACGTGTATAAAGCTAATAGTTTTCGAGATATTTCTAAAAGTACCAATGCATTATTTGTACCATGATGACAAAACATTTTTATAACATAATAATCAAGTTGCTTTGGATATCTGAGTAGCGTTGCTAGGGTTTTTAACAATAACAAATGAGGATGACAACAAAGCTAATAAACGGAAATAATACCTACACAAATTGTTCAAAATGAGTACCACCTTGCCTAACACACTCTCGAGCTCGACGAACTAATCCTTGCTGAACTCTCCAAAGCATTTGGACGTTATTTTTCATTTGCTGGCTATGGTGGAAAATTCTTTGTCGAAGATCATCTACAGTTTCCACTGGCGTATTGTAAACGCGTCGTTTTAAGTCACCCCAGAAGAAGAAATCCAAAGGATTTAAATCTGGTGAACTAGCCGGCCACGATACAGGTCCTGATCGGCCTATCCACTGGTCTGGATAAACTCTATTTAAGGGCTCTCTAACTAATATACTAAAATAAGGTGAAGCGCCGTCGTGTATAAACCACATACCTCTATTCATGCGTGTTTGTAATGGAAGATCTTCCAGCAGAGTGGGCAATTGTTCTTCAAGAAATTGTAAATACCTTTGGCCATTTAGTCTAGGTGGTAACTCAACGGGTCCTATTCAATATTATCCAATTATTTCTGCCCATAAAGTAATTTGAAATTGTACTTGGTAGCTAGTTTCCGAGTTTGTATTATGGCATGAAGAATTTCGTCTGCATAAATGTGCAGATTATGTGAGTTAATGGGCCCATCCCTTCCAAATCCTGCTTCATCCGAAAATAATATCAACGAAGTAAAACCATTGTCGTAGTTAAAGTTCCTTAAGAGCCATGTACCACATTCTACACTTGCGGGTTAATCATCCGCACCATGTACTTTTTGCAGGTGGTATGGATGGACCAGTTGCTCTTGAAAAATGGTATTTACTGTTCATTTCGAAACTTGAAATTCTCGAACTACATTTCTAACCCCAACTGTAGGATTTTCAAAGACAGCATCTAAAAGATTTTCGTCAACTTCAGCTGTAGGTACAGTTCTGGGAGCTTCACTATGTCGGCACATATTTTGAGCAAAACTACCTATAATCCAAATGGTTTTTACTACTCAAAGTAAGGCTATAATTATTTCTTACCAGCTTCTCGTAACCGCTGATCTATTCGTTGGAAGGTATTTGAATCAGGCAATCTATTTGGGAATCTGTCAGCGTGCAATGTTCGTGCTTTTAAAACATTACATCTTGCCAATCCGTACATTAAATGCATATCAGAATATTCATCAAACCTTCATTCCATGATGTTTAACAACTTATTGTCAACTTAAAATTATTCATGAAGTTTAATGCAATATTATGTCAAAGATTAGAAACCAGAGCGACGCTACTCAGATATTATCCAAAGCAACTTGATTATTATGTTATAAAAATGTTTTATCATGGTACAAATAATGCATTGGAACTTTTAAAAACAAATATCTCGAAAACTATTATTTTTAGACACTTCTAACAAGTAAACCGTTTTTGTTGTGGAAATACGAGAAAATAAAATTAAGCGTTATGATAAGTTATTTACCGAAATAATGCTGCATGTGGTGCCCTCTAGAAGTTTGGCCATAAAAAATAACGGATTCTTGTTTCTCTTACTAGAAAATCTCCCTATACCGAGTGTTATGCCAAAATCTGAAATCCTTCTCAAGCAATAAGGAAAAATAGAAAATAAAATTGTAACTTTGACACCCTGTACCTCGCAAACTATCAACTTTTGGACTAAGGGATGTTTAGATCAATTCACATATTTTGGTCTGTAGTATCTCCAGTTTCGAGATTTCCCAACATTTCGCAGACACCTGGAATAAAACATCGTACCGATAATAGAGGGCATGAGTTGTTGGTTGAATTTTTATCGTTTCCTGCAAAGAAATCATCACTTATGGTGGCGTAGTTTGCGTCGCTCTTTTCAGATGGCGCTGCCACAGATGGTTGTAAAGGTATTCAATGGGGCATTATCTGTAGTATATATATATATATAATACTAATTTTCTTTGGTGTACACTAATGATGACAACGAAATAAAAATGTTGTAAGTAAACGTGGACAGTTGCTTTGCAGCATGGAAAATCTTACTCAAATTCAAATCACGATATTTTCGGAACGGAAACAGATATCGAGTTGCGGTATTCAGGAGGTTCTTGACCAACTCTTTGAGAACACGTACAGCATTCGACCGGTGTATTTCTTTTATTTATCTAATTTTTGATATTGGACATTTTTCTATGCATATTTTTTATCTTTGGACTATCCTAAAAAAGTAATATCTAAAATTTTTCGAAAGCTATAGCTCAAATTAAGGAATTTTTAACTTCCCGCATTAAATGTATTTTGGCCGACCTCGTATTTTTTTGGATTACCCTCTCCATGCCAATAGGACGTTTCTCCGGTTACATCCTAACTACCTACATTTCAAACATGCAACTGCTAAGAAACAATAATATTTGATTTGACCGTAGATTTTACAGTATAATATTATTTTCTGAAAAATGACTCATCTTTTTCAAAAAGAACGAGATAATTGTATAAGATTATTGGGAGAAGGTCGTTTAGTGAATGATGTAGCTTTAATTTATAATGTTGAACAGTCCTCGATATACCGTTTATTTTAACCCATAGATGTCAGGATACCGCGGAAACGTCCTACTTGCATGGATGAGGTAATCCAAAAAAATACGATGCTAGGCCGAAAGACATTTTTTACGGGAAGTAAGGCGAAGGAGGACCCTTTCATCCAGAACCTTGAATGAAAACTTACGGCGGCACAGTCGAATAATAACATCCAATCGTGCTGTAAGAATAACTTTAAATTCTAATTTGCTAAGGCATGTAAATATTATTAAAAATTTGCTTGGTACTTTCTTAAATTAGTATTTCTTCTACAGGTAGGAGTCGCGCCAAGTGTACCCGACTCTTGATCATATGGTCGCCAGGTACCAATGGGCAGAAGAGCGGGTAAATTGGTATCAGCAGTGCCAAAATTGCACGTTTTTCGATTAAACATTCTTCATTCGGTTGGGACCTCGTTTGAAGGCAAGCTGAGGAACGATATGATGAAGAAAACACGGCTCCATAAGAGAGGCATTACAGTTTGGGCTGGGGCTATGCACAATGGTAAAACCGACTTTTCAATTCATACAGTACGGTCAATGCTCCAGTTTATTGGGACAACATTTTAAACAATATTGCTGTACCCTGGTGCACAAGACTTTGGGGGGGATTTTGTTTTCATCGAGGATAACGCCAGGCCGACAGAGCTCGTAGGGTCATTAACTTTTTGTCAGAAAATAATACATTATTATTGCCTCTGCCATCAAAGTCTCCAGACCTAAACATAATTGAGCGTGTATGGTCTCGGCTCAAATTTTTCATTCAGGAAGAGTGGAAAAACGTATCTCGAGAATGTATTAATAACCTTCTGGAAAGTATTCCACGAAGGTGGCAGGCATTACAAGGTACTAACAATATTGTTTAAAATAACTGTTGCTGTTTTGTAAAAAGTTCGTTTTTGTCAGAAACAAAAAATAATTTAGATTATTAACTGGTCTTCAATTGTTTTTTTCTAAAATGTTACATATTGTTAATGTTAATCAATAAATTCTTTGATGTTGTCTAAAAATTTAATAGAGTATATTACCTATTGGAAAACATCTCCAATGAAGACGCGTACGCCAATTCTGAATGAGAAAGATTAAAAACTCCAGATAAAAGATGAATAGCTGTGTTGGCCAGCATCATAGCATTTTGAAAAATAAAAATGCTCAAGTTATTAGCACTCCTTACCAAACCAAAAATGCTTTTAGTGTTATGCCACTGGAATGCACCCCTAATTAAGAGTACTAACTTGTATTTGTTCATTAAGCTGTTTGATTGCATAGTAAAATTTATAAATTCGGTTTAACTTACATAATGTCAAAGTAGTAAATTTTTACTGCACGCCATTGGAGCCAATAACGTTGAATGAGTGCGTCAATCTCGGGGGCAAAACATTCCACTTTATGCAAAGGTATGAGAAAAAATACCCATTCTCAAGAGAAACACCAAAATAGTCTCTTTTTTAGGGATAAATGTAACACTTTTTTAAAATTCGATAATTTGAGTTGTAGCCAACTTTCGAAAAAATTTAGAAACTACTTTTCTTAGGATAGTCCAAAGATCAAAAAGAGAGAGAATTTGACATAGCCCCAAACTTTGCTAAAAAACCTAACTTCCTTTGCTCACCCTGTATAAGTGGATAAATAAAAGAAATATGCCGGTCGAACCCTGTACGTGTTCTCAAATAGTTGGTAAAGAACCTCCTGAATATCGCAACATGATATCTCTTTCCGTTCCGAAAATATCGAGAGTTGAATTTGGGTAAAATTTCCCATGTTGCAAATCAACTGTCCACCAGTTTAGTTTAGGAAGTGTCAGCTTATCACCCGTTGCGCTGTTCTTAGTAGGTAACGTTAGTAAACGACTTACTTCACCTGCAAGATGTGCCACTCTCGTTTCCATAAGTTCATGCCTACAGTACCCCACACCGACATAATTATTGTATATGTGACTGTTATATAGTTATCGAATACGTAGTTCCAGAAGAATAACTTGTAATAACTCTTAAGTTGATGAAATTTGCAATCTCGATAGCGAAAGCATCTAGCACAAAACATCCAGTTCTTCTCTATAAAATCGTGCCTGAAAGGTACGAACTGAGAGATATAGATGTCTGAAAAGATCCGGAACCCCATGATAATTTGTGAACCAATAATGGTTTAAAAAAACTGAGACCCACGTCCCCACGATTGATAGGAGCTTTTCTCAGCTATTCATTGGTGACCTTGGATTTGACATTGATTATGATCTTCAAAGTCATTTAAAGGCCAAGTCGATTTTTTCAAATGAAACCCCCCATTTTTACCCACTTGAATGAAAAGAGTGTTCAAATAAGATCTCGACCATTCCCAAATTTTGACCTGAGTAGGTCATGGTCAAGGTCAAACCCAGGGACAATGATTAACTTGAAAACCAGTAGGCGTATAGGGAAACTACATTTCATGATTTTCCCACAGAAATCCAATGTTGACCTTTGATCTGACTTTGACCGTATTGGTCATGTGAAGGTCAAGTCGATTTTTGTAGCCAGGCAACAATCCTGAAAGAACAGTGAAGTCAGTTTATCTGAAGATTGCAGTTTTCTAGATTATCAGTAATTTAAGGTAAACTTGTTTGACCTTGACAGTCAAGTCCAAGGTCAAGTTCCAAAATGGTCAAGGACATATTCGAACATAGAATGTTCCCTTTTCTCTATTTTCGCGGTCAAAAGTTCCATTAAAAAAGAGTTTCTGGGTCTGACCGTGAAAGTTATGGTCAAGGTCAGATCCAAGGTTACCATTGGATATCTGGGGAAAAATGATGAAAATAATATCTCGGTAGTTTCCCTATATGACTACTGGCTTTCAAGATACCGTACCTTTAAAAATGGTCAACACCATATTTGAACGTAAATGTTTCTGCTCTGTTCATTTATGGGATAAAAAATTTAAAAAAGCGACTTGATCTTAAAATGACCTTAAAGGTCACGGTCAATGTCAAATTTAAGGACACCATTGGATAGCTGGGGAAAAATCTTATCAATCGCAGAGCTTCGTTTTTTTTTCTACCTTTATTAGTTCATGTTCATAAATTATCGTGGGGTATCGGAACTTTTCGGACACCCTACACAAGCCGTAATAAACTTTTTTTGTTTGTTTCAATTAGAATGCGTTTTCTTGACCAAAACTAAAACCTAATGCTTTCATGATAGCTATATTGCAAGATATATACCTCCGTCAAGGATAAATTTTAGCTAAACTTAAAGTAACAATTTATATTTGACTCGGGAAGAAAAACAATTATAAAAATTAAACTGACTGTAGGACCTTAAACATCATTAAAACATATTAAAGTATTACCCTAAAGTTGGAGGGTAATTCTTTAATCAGTTTTTGTGTATTTAGCAAGAAAGCTGATAAATCCACTAGGCAACCTGCGGTTATATCATCGTTCATTTGAACTTTTATAGACGTCCAGATTTAGGTAAAAAGCCATTAGAGCAGTGTTTCTCAACCTTTTATTAGTTGCAACCCAATTTTCAATTGCAGTTCTCATCGACCAACTCCGCCCCCACCTTTGGTTTTATATAATCCCTGGCGGATTCAGAGCGACAATATTTTTGGGGGAGACAAGGAAAATGAAGTGTAAAATGAATACCGGCGATTGAAAATGTGCTTCTAAAAAATTGGAGAGCGGAGGGAGGGGAGTTTCACTATGATCTTAATAACAAACCTTAGAAATTGCCTAATGAAATCTGATATGTCATATTGGCAGTCAGCATGATCTTAGTTTTATCTAAATTGATTCATAAGGGCTTCCGCTTCTGGCTCCTAAAGCTTTTGAAATTCTTCCTTGAGGGTAGGAAATTTCGGATCCAAATTAATAACGTTCTCTCGTCAACACGGCCCATCAAAGCCTGTGTCCCTCAGGGTTCGGTTCTTGGACCAGTCCTTTATTTACTTTTTATTCATGACGTCCCTTGCCCCAGCAACTGTGAAATCTATCTCTATGCTGATGACACTGCCTGGTGGCCCAGGCGTTTTCTGGGAATATATTTCACGACAGGCTGCAGACTGCTGTGGACGAGGTATTGAAATGGGCGAATCGGAGGCTGATCAAAATTAATCATACGAAAACGAAGGCCATCTACCATATTGTACTACAAAACGTAGCGACGCCCCGTCTGAGGTTTCAGTGAATGGAGCTCGGGTACCATCGGAAAGTTCTGCTAAGTATCTTGGTGTCACTCTTGACAGGGGATGACCTGGCAGAAGCACACTGAAGCGTTAAAAACTAAATTCCAAGTCTCGTTTCGGCAACTCTACCGTATGCTATATACAGGGTGACTTTGAAGTTGAGTCATTAATTTTCAGATAATGATTGTAGAAGGAAGATAAACCAAAATATGTGCGTAAAAATTAAAAAAAAATGTTTACCTTGTTTTATAAAGTATCCTCCCGACAAGTATTTCAGTGCGGACCTGTATTTGATCGTGAGGTCCCCTGTGAGGTCTTAAGTCACCTGATTCACGAGCCCGTTGTACTACATTAACAAAGGCACGAGGGGTTGGTTGCACTCGATTGGGAAACCGATCCGCATAAACATGTGCTATTTCGTTTGAGCCACGCAACAGACACTATTCACACGCGACTGACACTGACTGTATGTATAACTGAACTGAATGAAATAATTGTAAAAAACTCGTTCCAAATTCTTTCGCTTTTTTGTTTCCGATGCGATGAACCGATAAGGTGGATTATATCCGTTGTTGCCAAACACAAGCACATGATTATTATTGAGACAGGGCGGTACTCAAACTTCCAAAGGGCTATAACTTTGTTACTTTAATTTTACCAGAAAAATGGTAAAGGAAAAAAACATTTCTTTTGATCAGATCTACTCACTGTTAAAATAAATGACTCAACTTCGAAGTCACCCTGTAGAACATCAAAATTGAGTTTGATCAAAGTTCGACTATACAAGAAGATTGTTAGACCAGCGATCACTTACGCAAGTGCGGCTTGGCGTTTTCTCGCCAAAACGCATTTGTGTAGCCTACAGGACAAAACCATGCGTACAATCACTAACGCCCCATGATATGTCTCCAATGAGACCTTTCACAGAGTCCTTGATATCCCTTACCTAAGGGACTACATCAAACAACAAGCGCAGCTACGTTACAGTCAAGCAGAATCGCATAACAACCCCATGTTGCGCGAGTCAGTAGACTACACAGTCGAGCAAGTTCGCAAGCACATAAGGCCGCGACTAGCACTGTGAACAAAATTAAATCGTGCGACTTTAGGTCCAACCAAAATTATAATTTTCTTCAACAACCAATCCCAAAATTAATTATAGGATCAATTTAAAATTGCCGAATACTAACTAGCAATGCCAAGGCACCCCTCAAATTGATGCACTTCTTTTTTCTTTGCTCTCCCTCCTTCCTTCCTTCCTTTCTTCTTCCCTTCTTTCTCCCTGACTTTGTTTGGTATCTGGGCAACCAGACCTGACAGACCTACTGACTTACAAGACTTCAACCAAGAGCAAAGGTCCTACGGACCGCTCTCACAGACAATGACGAATAGTATCAAGCGGAATCGCATAGCAACATTTTGTTGTGCGAGTCAGTAGATTACACAGTCGAGCAAGTCCGCAAGCTCACAAGGTCGCGACTAGTACTGTGAACAAAATTAAATCGTGCGACTTTAGGTCCAACCAAAATTATAATTTTTCTTCAACAACCAATTTCTAAATTAATTTTAGTATCAATTTAAAATTGCCGAATACTAGTTAGCAATGCCAAGGCACCCCTCAAATTGACGCACTTCTTTTTTCTTTGCTCTCCCTCCTTCCTTCCTTTATTTCTTCTTCCCTTCTTTCTCTCCGACTTTGGTACCTGGGTAACCAGACCTCACAGACCTACTGGCTTACAAGACTTTAATCAAGAGCAAAGGTCCTACGGACCGCTCTGACAGACAATGAAGAATAGATCTGCCGCCCCCCTAGGAGCACCTCGAAGGGTGGGAAACGCTGCGTTAGGGTATCCATCTATCCAAATATTTCGCTGCAAGTTTGATAGGAGACGCCGAAAAGCGTGAAATGAGCAACTGTGCCGATTACTATCAAATTTCAAGAAACCACATTTTGTATCAAACCAAAATGATTATACAGGGTGCCCCAGAATATCATGCCAATCTCTCTTTTTTGCTGTTCCTGCCGATTTACACTGTAGTAACCAAGATAGCTTACTTGAATCTAAAACTTGATCAAGTGATTTGAAAATATGAATTTGTTATCACAACCACTATATTTACAAAATGCTGAAACCAATATACTGGGTTGGATCCAGTGCCCAAATTAATAGAACTATACTGGAGCAGTAGTGTTTTTCTCAAAAACAGTCTATGGTATTAATAGCAAGCAAGAGTACATTTTCAGCTTGAAGATCAATGTTTCCAGTAATGTTATCTGTGCACTGAGAAAACGTGGTCAATTACAGTTTGTTCTCGAAAAGTTTCATGGCCCGTTACGAATTTTTAAATTATTCTAAGAAACTAAATTATTCTGCTCAATTAAATTGAAGTTTCTGGAACCAGTTCAATTTAAATTAATATATTATTAGAGAAATTTGCTTGAAAATAGCAAACCATGTATCTCTTTTATTAGACTGTTTAATAAGGTTAGGCAATTTAGTTTATGCAAAAAGGTACATTTAAAACAATTAAATATTTCAATGAATACAGTTACTGTTTATTCGAACCGTGGACTCGACAGGGCTGGGCCTTTCATTTGTGAATGATCATGAGTATGCGACAGGCGCAATGCCGGAGACCTCCTTCGAATTGCCTCAGTTTCTTTTGTAATTTTCGAGACGAACTTCATATTCGAATGTTCCCGTTGTTTTCGAAATTTAATTGCTGCTAGTGAATGGTGTTATAACATGTTTCTGGACAATCATATAAATAACTTGGAAAACTTGATTCTGTATATAATAAGTTCGCAAACAAAGAAAATAAAAAAATATCAAATTTTTTTAGAGTTACAAAATTCGGAAGTTCTTATTTTGATCAATTGTCGATATCAAGTGTTTAAATTTTTTTCAATATCTTAGATTTGTCAGAGAATTATACATCATTCAGTAAAGCGCAATTTGTTGTTTTAAATTAGAAATATTATTCAAATATACTTTTAAGTCTGAATAAAATAATTCATTAATACTAGGCCAATACATTTACCTAAGCTAATTGAACAGATTTAATAAACATAATTAAATTGTATTACTTGGAGCAGGTAAACTCATTTTAATAGTTCAATTTTAAGTAAATTAGTGTACTCAAGTAAACGGTTTAATGAACTTAATTAAACGATTACATTTTAATTTAATTAAACTTGTTTCATAGATTCAAGTAAACTGTTTTAAAAATCGGAGTTTAATTATACTAAATAAACTTGTTAGCTGTCACATAGTAATGTTATAATTGCCTTGATTAAAATTTTAATAGGAGTAATTAGTTTTTTGTCAGTATGAATAAACGATTATCAGTAGCGTACTTTAGGAAGACTTATCACCGTAGGGGAACCCCTAAGAATATTTTCATAGGATTTTATGGCATTATATTTTTTTATTCTATATGTATACGTACGAGAAATTGACATTTTATTCTGGAACATCCTGTATAATCATTAACTATAAACTACGAGTATGTTCTTCGCCAAAAAACTTGTAGAAGCAAAATCTTTAAAATCGTATTGATCCCCAGACTGTATACGCCCGGTAAATATAACGTCAGATCATGTAAAAGGTGGTGTTGGTAACTAAAACGCTTTCTAATTGAAAGAGGCACTTTAAACATCATAAAAACATACACTGCCACAGATTGGTGTGCAGTAGCAATGCCAAAAATAACAACAAGTAATCCCATTATGGAAGGGATTATAAGCATCAAATTGAAGTTATGCACCCAAGCGAAATAGTACGCAATCTCAGGTCCATAGTATCTTTCAATCGCATCTGTTGGTACTGATTTATACCACATGGAAAAATTGGCCCAATACTTTGTCAGTAGCTGAAAAAGAAGTCTAGGGTGTTCAAAAGGCCGATTCAAACCTTTCTAGGGCTGCTATCATCATCACTTGGAACATATACTAAGTGACATATAAATCCGAACACCCAGTTTAAATGGTTTTATTTTAATAAAATTTTGTATAAGTACTTAATGAAGCATAATAAGTAAATGATAAAAATTTCAAAATGATTGCACTGCTTTAAAGCCCTTTGACCTTTAATAATGTGTGGATGCACCCTGATGTGCTACGCATTCTCCAACGCGCCTAGGCATGCTTCTGATCAGGTGGTCAATGTCCTCCTGTGGTATCTCATTCCAGGCAACCACCAACTCCTCTCGAAGTGCTTCTAGAGTCTGAGGAGGACGTTGCAAATTGAGCAATCTCCTACCCATCATATCCCACACGTGCTCAATTGGGGATAAGTCGGGAGATCTTGGTGGCCATGGTAACAATGTGACATCATTATGTTGAAAGAAGTCTATTGTGACTCTTGCAACAAGTGGTCGGGCATTACCTTGTTGGAAAGTTGGATCTGCCAGGGTTTCAAGATAGGGTAAAAGATGGGGTTCTAGAACTTCGTGGATATAACGCTGCGCGTTCATGTTACCTATGATGAAGATTAAAGGTGACCTGGAACCATAAGCTATAGCACCCCAAACCATAACTCCAACAGTGTGATGAACATGTCTTTCAACAAAAAACTGTGGATTCCTCCTTTCACCACGTCGCCTTCTAACCCTGGCACGACCATCGTGCGTGCCTAAACAAAATCGAGACTCGTCACTAAAGACAATACTGTTCCATTCCTGATCCCAGAGTGACCGTTGTCTGCACCACTCAAGGCGATTACGTCGGTGTTCTCGAGTTAAAGGGAGGACCCAGTGTGGCCGGTATGAAAACAAGCCAAAACTTCTCATTCGTCGGTAAACATTTCGCATGCCAATAAGTCTTCCGTGTTCTGCAAACCATTCATTTGCAATGGACCTGGTAGTGGAGAAACGGTCCCTTAAGGCCAATAATCTTAGGCGGCGATCTTCACGGTCTGTTGTTCTACGGCGGCGTCCAGTGCCCCTTGCTCTTTGCGTACGGCCTTCTCGAAGCCATGCCTGCCAACACCTAACCACAGTGTCTACACTTCTTTGCACTCTAACTGCAATTGCCCGAAAAGAAAGTCCAGCTTCCCGAAGTCCCACTATACGCCCCCTATCAAACTCACTAAGTTGACGAAATCGTACAGGTCTCCGTACTCTAGGCATCGTAACCGATCGTAAAGGATGTCAAGAACCAAAATCCGCCAACGTTGATTCTTTACTGCGGCTGAAATATTCATTTTTAGAGCGTTAGTGAATTAAAAAAAAGCAGTATAAAAACCGGAATGTCCAACCGAAAAGGCTGAAAATTTTTTCACTTGTTATTTACAGTAAGATAAATACATTCACCAACTTTTATTAAAATAAAACCATTTAAACTGGGTGTTCGGATTTATATGTCACTTAGTATATATAAGAACCGCTATTCTGAAGATACATTAGGAGGATCTGTCAACTGCGCAAATTCAAAATTTTGCAAAAACATGAAATTTATTCGACAAATAGAATTAACATTTTCAAGAACGTTTCAAAACTTTAGAGCACACGACACACGCTTGTGCTAATATTTTGGATTATCGAAAAAGCAAAATTATAGTTGTATTGCATCCTATGACATGCCATTAGAAAGATCAGAAGTGGAGAATATTTTTCCGGTGCCTTTCATTTAATATTATCTTTTAGCATGTACGACATCTTTTGATAACGAGCAGAGAAGAAAATAAAAGAACAGTTTCTCTCGGTGATTGAACAACAGAGCAAGTGATGGCTTATGACATGATTCTTGCTTTTTCTAAGGTTTCACATAACCCAAAAACTTTGTTATAAGGTGGGTATATGTACTATCAGCCCTAAAGAGGTTTGTGTAGGCCTTCCAAACACTCTGTATAGTGTTACAACGAATAATATACAACTCAACCATCGTAGTGTCAGTCTTGACGGTGCCCTGCATTCGCTTTCGTTTTGTTTTTCAAATTTTTGCCAGGTTTTCGCATATATAGTCAACGCCAAACAAAGTGGCGTGCACGTCATCACGATAAAAATTCCCCGACCTAATGCCTAGGTTTCTATCACAAACAATTGCTCTATTGCAGTTTCATATTAATGTGATATATAAATTGTAAAATGGTCATTACTCTCTTATTATGGTTAATAGTCATATAAACATTGTTATTAAAATATCACATAAGTTGCTTTCTGATAAATTTAGACGCATTATGCGAAATAAAATGTTTTGCAAACGCTCCAATCACTTATCGACATGTAAACGCACTAAACCGATTTCGCAGCGTTGACACATTGTCACCTTGAAACTTATTTAAACTGGGAACTGACATTTGTATTAATTTTGACACTGAATCAATTTGTGGCATTTCAAATCTTTATAAATCCTTTGGCCCCGCATACTGTAAATCAACAACTGTTTGTTTCAAAACAAAATTATTCATTTTACGAGTAGATAAAGGCAATTTTGGTATATAAAGATGCCCGAACAGTTAAATAGTCGGTGTAAGGAACTCGTGGCCTCGTTAATGCACTACTTTGAGCAAGAAAGGGACAACAACGGGCCTTTGTTGCCTTTAAATGCTGTTCAAGAGGTAGGTTACTAATAATTATATGTAATGTATATTAATAATAGTGAAATTTTATTTCATTTTTTGTAGCGTGTTGCTGCTGCTTTAAAAATTAGTTTAAGGACAGTTAGTCGTATTTCCGAGGGTGTGAAAAGTGATGCAAATTTAGAATCGCCCAAGAAAAAGCGGAGTTATATTAAACGTGTAACCAACACAGCGACATTGGATACAAGTGCCATTCGAGAAGTGATCTATAATATGTATCACAAAAGTAAGATCTTATTATAATAACTTATCAGAAATTTGCATTAATTTGTTAACTAAATTATAATGTCATATTACACATGGTTTCAGAAGAACAAGTTACGATACAAACTTTATGGTCTCGATTAAGAGATAGGGCATTATTTGATGGTAGTGCCACGTCTTTAAGGCGGTTGCTTAGAGATCTTGGATTTAAGTGGCTTAAGGACAATCCGCGACGAGGGCTCATGGAACTACCAAGTATAGCTTTGAAAAGGGTGGAATTTCTAAGGCAATACAATCAAGCCAAGGTTGAGGCCTTATACCAGTTTGTCTTCCTCGATGAAACTTGGATATTTCAAAATGGGACCATAGGTCGCTCTTGGCAAAATGGAAACCAAAAAAGCGTGAAAGCTATTAAAACAGATGGTAAAAGGTATGTACTTTTACACAATTTGCACTATAAAATTTAAAACTAATATATTTTAGATACATTATATTACATGCTGGAAATTAAAATGGGTTTATTGAGGGTAGTGAAGCGATATTTTCTTCGAAAACAAAATTGAGCGATTACCATGGAGAGATGAACCAGGACAATTTTTTGAAATGGTTTCAACATCAGTTATTAGAAAAATTGGAGAGTCCATCTATGATTATACTGGATAACGCCCCTTATCACAGCATGATATTGAACAAAGTGCCCAACAATGCATGGACAAAAAAAAATATCCAAGACTGGTTGACAAATCAAAACATACCATTTTTAAACACAATGTTTAAAACAGAGCTATTGAGTATTGTTGCTCGGTACATAATGCTTCTTAATTATATATATTTTGGTCGACAGTTTATATTTCTTTTGTTTATTCCTATTCTTAAAATAACTGCTTTTTTAGAAACAAACCACCTAAAATATACGTGATTGATGAATTGGCGGAACAACATGGGCACAAAGTTCTTCGTCTGCCTCCTTACCATTGTATATTTAACCCTATTGAGTTAATTTGGGGCATAGCAAAAGGTTACTATAACAGACATATTGGTAGAGATGGTAACAGTGAAAAAGACTGTTTGGATATGTGGAACGAGGCTCTACAAACGGTTACCCCAGACATGTGGAAAAATAGTGTTCGACATACTGAGCAAGAAATTTTTAAATGGTATGAAAGAGAACGAATTTTTGATCGACCAGACATCGAACCTTTAATAATCAACTTTGAGAGTGATGAAGATTCAGATTCAGACAGCGCTGAAGAAAGAAACTCCGACTAACTTTATTGTACAGAAAAAGCTTACACCAGTAGCTTACCTAATTTTAGAATGCATTTTTCTGTATGAATTCTGTAAAATAAATACCATGCATAAAATTTGGAGGACCCCATTTGGATTTTTATTCAGTACCTTTAAGCTATCAATTAAATATGGTAGTTTCATAGTGTCATCTGATCAATAATTGTCATACTTAATGATTATGCAAGTACAGATCTATAATTTTATTATACTATTATTTTTGTTCTCATTTGAGGTTAATATTGCTTATAAACCTAGATATGTAAATAATAAATTTTATTATTTTACAAAAAGTTTGGCAACAATGTAAATTTTTCAACACACCCACCTTGATGACGTGCACGCCACTTTGTTTGGCGTTGACTATAATCGACTATTGTGTGTAGTGACAATAGACATTTAGATTTTAGTTCCATCTTACATAAAAAGCAAATTGGCTTTGTTGTGAATAAAAAATTCAGATGAGACAAATAACACCCTTTGAAATGTTAGAGAATTCATGGCCCATCATGTATTTAGAAAACTATGATAAATATATCTGAAGGCTACACTCTCTTTTGGTCAATTGGTGTGTTACGCCCTCAATCGCTGACCACAGTTTTTAATTGGCGAGAGCATGAACCATCTATCACTCTACCTGCCGATCATTTAAATACTTGTCGGGCAGTTTCATTGTTTCATCTATAGGGTAGCCATCATGGAGCGGGAATACAGTGTCCAATAGATTCATCTCTATCATTCTATACACACTGCGAGCGTGGGTCTCTGAACCAAACTGTATTGACTCCAACACCTTTTGTATTATCATTATTTTCGCACAACTTGTGAGGTTTCTGAAAATATAGTATCCGTGGTAAAATCTATAAATTAGGGATGTTGCGATCGCGAAGCATCCGCATTGATTTGGAAATCTATGTCTGCATTTATCAATGCGGATTTCATAACGGATGCGGATCTAGGACACGGCGCGAAGCGATGGTGCTGCTGATGTACTCTATAACAACTAATAATTCGTTGTCGAAATACTTGACCCCTGATGGTATTCTAACAGTACCTCAATAATTACTGGTTGCTTAGGATTTAGTTTAGGCTGTTAACCAGCAATGGAATCATAGCCCCAAAAATAGGTCAGTTGGTTTCAGCTACTCAATCATTTGGAGCGAACAATGCTATTACAATAATTCATTTTCATCTTGGTGTGATATACGTAGTTAAAAAAATGACACCCTTCTTTTTCGCCATATTTCATAAGTGCTCGCTAGTTTCCTGAAAGGATCATATCCCCAAGATAATAACCATACATATACAGTTTGCTACAGAGCATTATATAGCTGGGGCACCATAGAGAGTGAAAATGGCAGGACTGGCTCAGTGTTACCTGGTGGGGATCAGCTAATCAAAGGAGCTACCAGTCTGTTTTGTATGATTTGGCGAATCAGGAGATAAGACATGCTACAGATCGAATCTCTTAGCAGGCATCGTTTTTTTTACATCCAATCAGCCGCGCAGGCAGAAGCCTAGATGCCAGGACACCGCGGCTGCTATGAGGATTCCAAAGAAATTTTGTTAATCCGGTTTTTGAACTGCCTAAAGCTAGTAGAACTGGAAAGAACCTCCTTTTGTAGATTTTTTCACAATGCCGACACCCTCGGGACAAAGGAGCGGTCATATCAGGTCAGTTCTGGATATACGAAGTTCGACACGGTTAGGATGTTAGGATGGGAGGCCGGAGTCAGGCAAATCTGTCTAGCAGGTACATCCTGCGGCGGCATCATAAAGGAGACCTCTGAGAAGCAAAGCCCGTGGGTGTAGCGGTAAAAGAAAGCTAGATCGCCGACGGCCCGCCGGTGCGAAAGGGTTCCAAGACTGTCTGTTAGAGAAAAGCCATCGATCAGTCGGACAGCGCTCCTCTGGACAGCATCGAGCGTAAATAATGGTCGGGGCGGCAGCAGCCCAAACGGGTCAGCAATACTCGAGGCTAGGTCTTATTTGGGCCTTCTATAGAATGAATAGGTCATGCGAACAAAAGTACTTCTTAGCCCTATACGAATAGCCTAGCTTTTTCCAAACACCTGCCGCTGTAGACGAGATATGTTCGTGTCAGATCAAGTCCTCGGTGATTTGGACACCCACCAGCCGAAATGAACGGCACTTTGGCTAGGACGCTTTTTATTCATCAAGGTGTAGTACTGTGCTATGGAAGCATTAAACTGTACAAGATTGCTGCTCCCCCAAGCAGTGATAATCTCCAGGTCTGTCGTCCAAAGGAAGTCGCTGCTAGTATTCTTTTTTCCAGCTCACCGGCAGAGATCCGCTTGTCGCTCTGAATTCCTGCATGTAGAGTGCTGATCTCAGCAAAGCTGTGGATTGGGTTGATCCCACAGAAAAGGAGGTCGATGATATATAAGAGGAACATTGTCGGAGCCAAAACCAAACCTGAGGAATACACGCGTTGAGGTTGTAGGATGAAGATGAGAACCAGTCAATATCTTGCGATCAGAGAGAAAGTCAGCCACACCACCAAAGCTTCTCTCAGGGGCCATAGGATGGAAGGTTGCATAAGAGGACAGCGTGTTACAGCTGGTCGAACGCGTTCGTGATATCATACTCCCTGTCGCTACTCAAGACGTGACGTTCGAGGTAGTCCAGAAGCTCGCGATTTATGCACACCTCCCCACCTCCTTATAACAGAAAGCAAAGCTATAAGCCTGTAATTGTCAAGGACGGTCTTAAATCCTTTTTTCTGAGAGGGGTGGATATGAGTAAATTTCCAATTTTCTGGTAAGGTGCCGGATTCGTAAGAATCAATTCCTCACCAGAAGCTTTGTTGACGTCGAGCGACAAGAGCACCCGTCTTACGGTCTTATACCTGAATGTTACTTCCCGCGTAGTGTAGGGAACCTTTTGAATCGACGGCACTCGGCCGTAAGGCAGATGTCCATGGTGGAGTTGGCGGCAAAGATCTTGGCAAGCACTTTCGCCTTAGCCTTTGGTTACAATTGTTCCACCGTGGCACGTAAGTGCCAGTTCTCTACAGTGGGGTTTTGAAAGAAGGTTCTGTGGGCCTTGATCTTCTGCTGCCGAGCACTTTCACTGTATGAGGGATGTACTCCTCCATCTCAACGTGGGTAATTTCGGTTATCGATGATCAGATAGCCTACGCATCCACGTCAGCGAAACAAACATATCTTCAAGGAAAGATGAAGAAGAAGTATCTGAGCCCCTCCCAGTCGGTATGTCCGTAAAGCGCAAAATTTTGCGGCCTGGGCGCGTTTCTATGCCACAGCGGGTTTTGAACCTCCACAACACCGTGGTCTGAGTTACCCAGGGGAGACAGGACAGCAGTGCTGCAACGGACAGGATACGTGGACAGAAAGAGACCCAACAGGCTACGGGCATGTGACGAAACGCGGGGGAAAAAGTAGGGCTTGTCACCAGCTGGGTCTGTCCTTGGGTAGTGACGAACGCTTCAACTGCACGACCTGCTGCTGTTCTTGTTTGAGCCCAGCCAAAGCTCATTATGGGCATTGAAATGACCGAGAGCTATATCTGAAGCGGGGTGATTGATGTTCGGAAAGTCTAACTTGACAGCGAGGTATTCAAGTAGGCCATCGCAGTTATGGTCCGGGGAAGAGCGATATAGGCACCAGTTGAGGTGAAGCTACAGAATGTCCTTGTCCTAAGATGATTAATCGGTGCAGACACTGAGATGTTTGTCTCCGCCAAGAAAAGCATGGATTGCAGGTAGTTATGAACAGCATCAATGTTGCTGTTAATCCCGTAGATGTTCATGAAACAAATTTTATCATCGATGTGGTTCCCTCGTGTCCACCCTCCACCCGGACATTCATAAGATATCCTGGAAAAAGCTTGCGGGTGGCACGTCTTTGCTCGACTGGTCCTTGTCTACCACCTTCGTTTTGTATATTAATGATGTTAAATAGAACTGAAGTGGCCCGTTTGCGGACTTACACCGCCACGCGGCAATCGGTACTGAGGTATTCCTTAACGCGTCTTCAATCACTTGAACGGGAATAAGTTGTATACTGAATACAACTTATACAATACAACTTTCGGAACAAGCATTTGCCACAACCCTCCTCAGTAGTACATTTATAGTACGTATCATGATCGGCTGTGTTGTACTGCTGATAACGTTCTATTTGGAATTTAAAGCGTTATTTTATATCCACTAATTACTAATTCAATCTAGCTATAATATATAATAAAAAGATAAAGCGGGCCCCAAAGGGGCAAGGTATAAAAATCAATATAGACGAAAATTGAATGAATGGTGGCACATTCATCCAGAAGACTTAACAATACTAACACGTAGATTCTTATCACCAACACCACCCAGTAGTTTTAGTGAACAATCATTCAGTAGCGCAGATTCGAACCTGGAGAGAAGCGATACTGCCTTTTTATTAAATATAACTAGTCTTTGCTTTAACAATCCAGGCATAGTACACCCATATTAAGCTCGACTTTCATCGATTTGACTGCTGAATAGAATGTATTTTTATAAAATTAAATATTTTAAAAATAGTGTATGTAATAATAGATTGCTTTAAGAAATCTCAAACTATTTTAAATTACTACACGTAGGCTTTCAGGACCGGTGTCAATGCTCTTTAAGCCCGCAAAAAGCTACAGAGAGTATTTTCAATCATCTTTTGATATTTTTATTTTCATCGACAGTTCATCAATAACACTACCTTTCAAAACGCAAATACAGTGGTTTTTAAGCCTGCAAAAAATTTGGGCGAAATCACGGATGCCAGGATTTGTAATTACAAAATACAAATGAAGATGTGAGTAGTGTGCAACTTGCATATCTGCCCTGTAAAATAGTCTAGGTTTCTTCGCATCTGCTCGGAAAAACATTCTGATTTTTTTGCATAATCTTGTTAAAAAAAAGGACTCCTATAATGATTCTGCGTTTTACCAGACTCAAAATACGTCATAATTATTTGAACAATCAACTCTTCTCTAAAGTTGATAGCTTTCGAAATATGAGCGATTTAATATTTGATAAAGTGCAAAGTGAGCCATTTTCTATCCCGAAAAAGTTTAAAACAATATGAAAGAAAACTAAATTTTTATGTTATCAAACTTCCTGAATATTGTAGACAGATGCAGAATATATTTTGTGGTTCATGAGATTTTTTTGCTTAGAATGACCTTTAGTATGATTTTGTGTGCAATTTTGGCGATTTTTAGGTTTTGGCGTCCCCTGAGAAAATTTGCTACCCCGCTCTTCAAAAAATTTTGGGGTAGATACACTTCTGATCTCCAAAAAGTTTTGGGACAGATACACTTTCATGTGTTATGTCGGTGAAAAAAATTCCTGCGACTCTCATGCTGACAACTGTGCTACTGGTTGCAGATCCCATACGTCGCGTCTACGAAATTTAAAAAATCTCAAGTTCCACATCCGAGTAATATAGCTTTCGTTCACCCGACCACAGGCGGCCAACCATGGATAGCTGTTTCGTGCTATTTGTCAACTCCTCAGCATGATATAGGCTTGGTCTCAGGAAGGGCAATGGACCAAATCTGAGCAACTATCACCTATCCAAAGTATATAAGGTCTACCGAAATAACAAAGTAGCATCTATTACCAGAATCGACCACTGCGAGAGTGAGAACAACGAGCTGTCTGTTGGAACTGTACCCCAATTCGTATTGTCAGCCGGGTCACTACTGTGGCCGCTAGTTGCCGTCGATTCTGATGCTATAGTAGATACGGTCTACTCGCCATTGAACAAACTAGTAATCTCTCGCAGTGGTCGATTCTGGTAATAAATGGCACTTTGTGCTGTCTTCTTCCAATCCGTATCCGAATTCACATACAAATTCGCAAATCCGCATCCGCTCATTACCATCCGCATTCGCAACATCCCTACTATATATTCAAGCGTACTCTACACTTCTCGAATTCCATACTAGAGACAAAAAAATAAAAACTGTTGACCATTTGTTTCAAAATTTTTCTATCATTGCATTTGAAGTAAATACCCTTTCTTTGTTTCTGACATATACATGTGAGATAGAGGAGTGTGAAAAATATTATGGGTCCACCGTCGTCCATCAAGCCCCAACTTTTTCTCAGCAACCCCTATGTCGTAAGCTTCTGATAGATCAAGCAAAATATCATCAGGAACATGCAGTAACATAAACTTTTTGTCAGTTTTCTGTAACAATGTAGCCGTTTATGAAAGGAATAAAAACATATATACCTAATCGAACTTAAAATGTTAGGTGTTTCGTGAAAAATTAATTACGTAAAAATACTAAAATATTTGCGAAAATTTTATTTAAATATTATGGCCAAAGGAACGTTCTGATGATTTTGAAGTGAAAAGTTAAACTAAGAATCCATACTTTTACAAGACTATTTAATCATATATATATATATATATATATATATATATATAGGTGAAAAATTAAAGCTTCCGCCTTCTGTTGGGTACTTCGACAACATTTAAGCAAAGAGGACTCTTTATACTTTTTTAATTCTCTCTAGCTTTCAATGGACTTTGCCATCATCATCAGGAGCTGCAATTACAATGATAACAGTAGCAACAATAGTGTAAAATGAATTTAAATTGACTTAACTTACAGTAGTATGTGAGGATGTTGCTAATTGTTGTTTACGTATAGAATGAGGGAAACGCCCAGTAACATGGTGAAAGCTGGATAGATGGTACAATGGTCAAAATTATATAAAATATGACAAGAACAAGTTAAAAACAGATTAAATTTTTTTTAAAAAACATGAAAGCATTACATCGTGAAGCCACTTGATGATTGCACAAAATGGTGGTCATCGAATAATGAGTGAGATGAACCCTTTGACAGAAGGCCGAAGGTTGTCAATGTCTGTGTAGAAAGATGAAACGAATTGTGGGCGTGAGCCAACGTTGCCAAATCACTTCAGATGATGTGATTTTCAGAATGTTATGTAAGAAATTGTTAAACCGACCAGAGGCAGTTGAATTAACTATATTTTAATTAATGGGAAATTAAATTAACAATTATTATTAAATCGTGAGAAGAAAGTTATTAGAATTTGAGTGGAATGAAGGTTATTGGTGGAATCGACCAAGAAACAGATTCCATTTATGGTTGTGAAGAGTCAAAATTTGGGGAGATATGTAAGTTCTCCAATTTTTCGCAGTTTAGCAAATACGAGTAAATGACACTCAGTTGCTTAACATCTGTCTTTTTGTTGATACAGTTGTTATTCATGAAAATGTGGGACATTTCCAGGAATAAACGTTTGGAAAGGTGCTTTTCTTTATCAAGAACTTCGATACTTGTGTAATTCATAGAGTGCCCTGTTGTGTTAACATGAGATGCTAGAGCGCATCTTTCAGGATGAAGCCTAGAATCACTTTTGTGTGATGTAGTCCTTCCTTTAAGAGATCTGGAGGTCTGACCTATGTATATTTGGTTGCAGTTGTTGCAATTGATGGAGTAGACTGTGTTGGTTAAGCCAAGCAGCGGGACTCTGTCTTTCATTTTTGAAAAAATGCAGTTTATAGTGAGGACGGACTTGCAAGCAATTCGAAAGTTCAAAGGACTGCACAATCTGATCAGCTTAGGGGTCAGTTCCTTGATATAGGGCAGGACAGCAAAACCAGGTCTGGAGTCCGGGTTGGTGCTTGTACTGTTTGAATTGATGCTATTGTTGGGAATTACATCAATTCCGTTATTAGGGGTTGTGCGACTATTACCTGCATCATTCGGCAAAATATTGGAAGGTGAACTAAATAAGATCTTGTTAATCAGACACTTCGGATAACCATTATTGAAGAACAGTTTTGATAGTTTACGTAAATTTGAGGTGTGGAAAGTATTATCTGAGATGCTGATTACCCTTGTTTTCATCTGTTTTACCAAGTTGATTTTAATCCCTAGCTTATGGTATGACCTAAAATTGAGAAACCGACCTGAGGCCATAGGTTTCTGGTACCAGTCTACCAATAAACTATTGTTGTTGGTGCGGATGAGTCTTGTGTCTAGAAAGGGGACAGACAGGTTCTCATCTTCTTTTTCAATGGTAAATTGGATGTAGGGGTCACAGCTATTGAATTCTCTGACAATACCATCCAGACCTATGGAGGGGAGGCATAAAATAATGTCATCTACGTATTTTTTATGAAGAAGACGTTATAGGATAGTGTCGGAATAACAGTATCAAGCAGATCATCCATGACATATTCTGCCAAAATTGGTGATAGAACAGATCCCATAGGACAACCATGTGTTTGAGAATATATTTTGTTGTTAAAAGAGAAATAATTGTTATGAAAGAGGAATGTTATAATGATGGTGAACGATTCTAGAGATATGTTGCAGTGTTGACTTATCTCATTCCAGTGTTTATTTATAGTTCTTGTACATGCATCCAGATAGATATTGCTGAATAGCGACACCACATCAAGACTGGCGATAATGTGATCGGCTGGTATTGGCAATCTGTTGAACTAACGAGAGACCTCAAATGAGTCTTTGATGTAGTAATCATTATCTGCATGTGCTGATTTTAGTGTTGCCGATATTAATGAAGACAAAGCCTGGGTGGCTGAACCTATTGATAAGCTAGAGAGAATTAAAAAAGTATAAAGAGTCCTCTTTGCTTAAATTTTGTCGAAGTACCCAACAAAAGGCGGAAGCTTTAATTTTTTACCTAACTGGTCTAGACGACAATGACCACGTCAAGTTATATATATATATAATACACCAAGGAAACTTTGTAGTCGTTGGAAATCGGTCCAGTGGCAGAGGAGAATTCCAAAAGCGAAAAAATAAAATCACTCAAGCATCCTGATCATTTTTTTAAATGGCGTTAATTAAATCCACTCTGAACTTCCCACGCAACGCCGTTATCAGTTCATGCAGCATTATGTTCAGAACAAACTAGACCCTCCGAGAAGACAGTCAGCCCAACAAGTTCATAGGCATTATTTCCCTACTCTACCGGTAGTGCATCTGGAAACATCACCTGTCTCCGATACTTAACGCGGCAGAAATATCCAGAACACTCCGCAGCCGTAACCGGTAAGTACGCGGTCCATCTGCCGAGAACATTTTTCTCAGTTTTAAGTGCTAATGTACAGAGTGGCCAATAAGAGTGCGAGGTACTGTATCTCAAAACCTATCCATCGGAGAGGCTTGTGGTAAAAAACGGCTAAAAGAAAAACCTGGAAGATATTTAAAAGTTTCTGAAATGGCCGCTAGGGGGCGTAACTGCAATTTTAAATCTAAAAAAGTGGTGTTTCTATGAATTCCGCTATATTAACTTAACAAAAAAATACCTGATCTTTAAATTCGAGGATAATCTGAACCCTCTTTGTTTGACAATTTTTGCTGTGTCTCTGAAAATAAAGTGTACCTTCGAAGCGGCTGAGCCGATTTTAACAAACTTGGACCAGTTGAAAAAAGCTATTCTTGGGATAAAAATGTTACAAAAAACGTTTCACATGTGGCCGCTAGAGGGCTTTTCTCGACAGAAGTGGTTAATTTTCGCAAAAAAAAAAAATACATTGGTAAGATTTTTTTTATGAAAAAGCAACTAAATGATGTGTAAACAAACCTCGTGTATGTTTCCTATGCTGTGATCATACGATATAGGTCATAAATAGAAAAATTTTCTCAAACTAGCCAATAATTACACGATTTGTTTACATCAAGAAATCACCTTTTTTTAGCTACAAACACCTTTTTTTTATTTGATCGCAGGATCAAAATTGCTCCTGGGGAACAAATGCAACCAATCAGAAACTTGTTTCTACTTGCACCTATCATATCCACGTTGTATAAGACGGCTCAAGTAATTTCATTGTTTTATCAGCAAACGATCCATGGGACCAAAAAATGTTTAGGAAATCAATACTGCAAGAAAATACTTTTAAGACCACCTCTAGATAAAAATGTTGTCGCGGGCGTATTCAACCGTTCCAAGATTCTAAGTTGGTAGAAACTTTGGTAACAGACTACATTATATACTTACCTTTCCATCATGAACTTCTATATGAAACCCAAGTCCCTGAAGGTTTTTTTTAAGTGTTTCCAAGAAGCTTTCAACTTCTTCTATATATACAAGACAAAAATACGCCATCCTTTTTCCATCTCTGAAGTAACATCCATGTTTCGGACGCTTTTTTTTGTGTTTTGCCATTTTTCAACACAGATATTGAATCAAGAAGATCTTACATGTCAAAGTGGCATGATCTAATATTTTATAATTATATACAGGATATTACAAAAATTAAGGAGGTGAACTGCGAGCTAGCGCGAGGTTTGTCAGGCGGAAATATATGCGTACGTCCTCCAGTTGGTGTGCGGGGCAAGATCTCTATGCTGAATCGCGAACTTCTGTGTAGGGATGGGGGTGCCGGTCTTTCTGTAGATCTCGATTTGGACCAGTTTCGATGTGATCTTTTGAATAGCTGGTAACTCTAGCAATCAGATATTTCGTTGAGACACAAGTGTCTCGGACGTAGATCTGAGACGTCAGCAGCTCAAGGTCATCATGGGCTAATGAAACTCTACCCAACTCCCAGCCCGATGGCATTATACGACCCGTGCCGGAGAGCGTGGCGGTCGGCAAGCACCGTCTCGAACGGAGCCTCTGCGATACCAAGTGACCTCCCAGTGTACTTAACGTTGCGTCCATGCAGGGAGCACACGTACATCGACTTCCCCCATGCAACGTAATTGAGGACAATAAAATTAATAAAAAGCCCCAAGGTCGTCCCAACAGGGGCGCCCGAACATCATACTCTGAAGTAGGAAAATGCTAAGGACCTCGCTAAAAGGTAGGCTCTCTGCGAATTAAGAAGAAAACTCGTTGATAGGCCGAAAGATGAGCGGGTGCGGAGAGAATCGCGAGTGGCTGGAGGATAAGATTGCTGAGGCTTCGTCCGATTAGGTGTAACGCTATCTGGGCAGGCTAGCGCGAACTCCGGTGCCCTCGGAGAAACTCAAGAGACCTAGCGTTGGAAGCGGCAAAGGTCTGCCGGCGAGACACCGGAAGGTGCAGCTCAGACGGAATGAGTCTGAATTAGCAAGGACCTAACCAGGGACCTGGCCAGGAGTAATTCGGACGGACGGCTTCAATTGTTGATAAGACGACTGTATCAGCAGAGTATCCGCTAGAAACGTGGGGACATGCACAGAGGTGGAACGTGCGATCCTCAGCGATAGTGAAGACCTGGACCGGGGCAAAAAAATAGGGCATGGCAATCATTCCCAGCATTGAGAATGTGGGACGGAGAATAACACATAAACAAGAAAAGTATTAAATGTATTCAAATTAACTTACAGCACTTCATAACAGCTTCCAGCGCTCTGACTTAGGAATCCTCTAAGAGCCGCTATAATATTGCCATCATCCAGGTACTCTGGCTTAGGAATGGTTTGGTTAACGGACTCAGCATACCGAGCTACATGATATTTAGTGATACTCCAGACACAAAACATAGAGATTGCGAAATTATTAACATTAACACATAGCAATTGGAAAACTTTGCTACTAGAGATTCAGTTACAGCAAGTATTGTGGTAGATATAAGAGACTTTGTGGCTTACTGTAAGGATTCCAGGCATGATTTTGTGTGATAGCAAATGAATACGAACACTAAAAGACATCGTGAAGAGCTCATGAAATTTATAGAAACAATGAACCTTGAACAATGGTGAGAAGAGGTTATCAATGTAATACTCGGGCACACTCAATATAGCTAAGAGGGTTAAGAACTTGAAGGTCTAACACCCTATCTATCTGATCTCAGGCTTATTCTGTTCAAGATCGTTGGTGAGTTACAATAAATGCGTTCAGAATCCTAAACATACTAACTGAGCGAAGGCGTATTTCAAAAAGGACCTGGGTGATAGGCTGGAAGTGAATCATCACAAACCTTCTTATAGAGGATCCCATCAGCTGTATAGGGTTTAGAGCCTCTTATTAGGGTAACTATATTTGAGCTAAGAGCTTTGCATAAGCTTTATGGTAGAGTCAGACACAGAGGAGTTCACCTCACTGGGAAGAGTATGAGAAGGCGTTACAGAAATACAAAAAGCAGGAAATCAGAAGCCCGTCCAAAGAATCCTGAAGGAACTTCTAGCATTCCATGAACAGTACATCCCTGCTACACGAAGAGTCCGTAGAATCATGTGAAATGACATCAAAACTAATCTGGAGTGACTAATCCCTCGATGGCCGAACCTCATCTGAGAAAAGCACTCTGGGGCTGCCGATGCATACGCACTTTCACGGATCCATAGAAGCGCAATTGACCACAGAGTGTAATATATGTCCTAAAAATTTTAGCACAAAATATTTATCGGATTTTTGTTAATCAACAAATTCATTCAAACACTAACTAGTTATCATAAATTACAACTCAATACTTCACTAAACTATACTATCGAGTTATGTGGAGTGGCCCATTCTGCTCTACCAGACGCATCTTTCACAGAATGTCTCTCGAGGTCCTGGACGGAATAGGAAGTTTCGACATTTTTCGTATTTCTCTTATCTTGCTTATAATCGAGGGATTTTGTTATTACAAAACGGTCAAATAAATTTGAGTGCAAAATACTAATATTTACGTCGACGGAAAGCATTTTAAAATCAAGGATCGACGCGAGGCTAGAAAACGTACCTGTATGCGAGACTAGACCGCGTGACGTCAGTAGCCAGACACGTGCTGTCGCCCTCATAGAGTACTTGTATCTTGTATTGTCTTGTATATGGAGTGAAGAGTATACGAATACGAATTTATATAGACTGGGACCAACGTTTGTGTATTTTATTGATTTGTGCTAGCACAATCTCTAAGGTTACCTATCAGAAAGCTGATTCGCGAAATTTACCCCACGTGAAGGTGGAAATGGTGTACGAGCTTTTGGCAAATAATGCAAATTTAAATGAACCTCAGAGCAGCGGTGTTAAAGTAGTTCGGTAAGTACCTTTATGAAGCTAATTTTTGCTTTAGTCTATTGAATATTGAATATTAAGACATAATAATGCCTGCTCGGGACAATAATTTTGAATCTCTGCTTTTTTCTTCCTAGGTAAAATATTATGGAATTTAAATTATCATACACACCTTTTTACCTTGTTACGTCTATTAAGAGCCCCGTAATTGGTTCTTTTGCATGCATAATGAGGCTTTATTACACTATTCTGAAGTAAAGAATGATACCTAATCTTATTTTTTTTTGGGTCTATATGGTTTTACATTTTTTCACCCATTTCACAAGAGCCCTATCCAAATGGATTTTAAAAAGTGTAGGAGATGAAGAGCTGCCTTGTCTTAGTCCTTTTGTGGTATTGATCGAGGTGGTTACTTTTCCCAATTTTTATTCTTGTGGAGTTATCCTGATAATAGTTCTATGTAGCACGAATCAACATTTGTTTGATCTCAAAATGTTCCGCCTCCTTCCACAGTCTTGATACAGGTACGCTATCATACGCTTTGTCCAGATCTATAAGAGCTAAATGGGTCTCTCTATTACACTGCACTCTCTTCTCTAAAGTTATTTTGAGAGCGAAAGCATTGTCCACAGGCTATCGTCCAGCTCGAAAACCTGACTGCTCTTTTGGCTGTTTCTCTCTAATCTTTTCAGTTAAACTTCTCAGTACATTCTGCCTATGGTTGGTATTACCGCTATTCCTCTATAATTTCTTGGATCATTTTTTGGACCTTTTATAAAACTAGGCGATGTATAAGACTGTCTCCATTCTTTGGGTATGGTTTCTCCATTTCTTTTTCTGTCTGTGAAAGAGACCATACTTGATGAACTCAGCATATATCACACCAGGACCAGGGGATTTTTTTTAGTTTTTTTTTACTGTTTCTGTTACTTGCTCAATTTAGCTCTGTTCCCGAAATTGTTTAAAAAAAGTACTTATTCTCCAAAAGCGAACTATTAGATGTATAACTAAAAGCAGTCCTAGAGGTACACGAAGGCCTTTATTTTGAAATCTTAAAATAATGACTGTCGTATCATTGTTTATGACAGAAACAGCAACACTTCATTTTTTTAAATAAATCTAAATTTGAGATTGCAAATATAAGTTACGGTGTTAGACCAAAACAAGATCTTAAAGTAGTAGTACCTAAATCAACACTGATGAAAGACGCGATAATTTATTAGGATCTGAAAATGTGCATGTGCCTTACTGATGACATCAAAAGAATCAACAATTTAAGGATGTTTCGTTTCAAGAACTTCCTAATTTGTAAATCATATTATTTCATATGCGAGTTCTACAATTCATTTACTTGAGATTCACAAATGTAATTTTGTTTAGTTTTAAGTTAGCTTTGTCATTAATTCAATTGAATAAGATAAAACTAGTATAGGCAATATTCTTTATTTTAAAATAATCCATACAAAAACGTGGATTTTTACGTATTTTATAAGTATTCCACAAAGAGTTTGAAATAGTTGGATTTCTGTTAATAATGAGATAATACATTTTTGGCAGAGAAAAGTAGGCAGGTAAGGGCGTTACGTTTCACGAAAAGAAACATATACTTAAATACATAAATGCATAGACAATATTACAAATAAAAATTCTTCATATAAAATGGAAAGAACTTTATCGACCTTTACATAGTATACATAATATAAAAACAGGATAAACTAAATTTTTAGGCTTGCATGGGTATAAGGGAACCACACTGGAAGGTATACATGAAGCTATAGCGTTTATTGGAAGTAAAGCTATTATTGCAAAATAATGTAGTAAAACTAACGAATGTGTGTGTGTGGTAATTCTACTATGGTATTCGATCAGGTGATTTCCTTCCCTCTAGCATATACCTAAAAAGTTTGCACATCTCGTAAATATCAGATGAGCCTTCAGTCTTTGAGATTAATTTAAAATTTTTTTGTCTAGATGCACACCCCAAACTTTCTCTCTGACTAATATCTCATTTGTTTAAAATCATATACAACATATGCGAATAGAACACTGGATCAGACTGTCAATCCATAGCATATATCCAAAACGTCTCCTTTGGAGTCAAAAATCATTTGCAATAACAATATATAGGTACCTTCCGCAGTAATGTTTGCAACGGGTTTTCCAATAGGGACTTGACAACTTTGAACTCCCACTGTGAACGCAGCTTTAAATCAATTACCGAACTGTCAATTTCAAATCATTCAGAAAAGAAAACATTTTCATCATGGTGAAGTACACAAACGAATAACGCTACAAATAATTAAAATTTACTACCGAAATTCCAAGTCGGTGACTGCAACTTGAAGAGCGTTAACGCCAATTTTTGGTCGTAATTCTCGTTCCAGTAGACAAGCAATTCATAGTCTAGTAAAAAATGTGAGTCTACATATTCGCTGCATTATGTTACCGTGCCAGTGCGACAACGGGTTGGTCGAAGTGTCGAATATTGCTGCCGTTCAAGCTTCCGTCGCAAATGAACAGAACACATCGATTCCACGGCGTTCCCAAGAATTGGGCGTCGCTCAGACCGCACTATGGCGAATTTTGCGAAGAGATCTTGGGCTGCACCCTTATAAGATCAAGTTAACCCAAGAACTGAAGCCGTTCGGTCACATGTACCGACGTACGTTCTCGAATTGGGATCTAGAAATGTTGCAAGAAAATGATCAACTTCATCGCAAAATCATCTTCAGTGATGAGGCGCAGTTTGTGCTAAACGGCTTCGTCAACAAATAGAATATGCGTTATTGGTTAGTTGAAAGCCCTCATGTGCTTCAAGAAGCACCACTTCATCCACAAAAAATAACTGTATGATGTGGTTTTCATATCGGTGGTGCAATTGGGCCGTTTTTTTTTACAGTGATGAAAATGACAGTCAACGGAGATCGCTACAGAGACATGTTGAAACGTTATTTTGTTGGTCAACTGGATGGTCAGGACATTAATAATATGTGGTTTCAACAAGACGGTGCCACAAGCCACACAGCGGGTGAAACAGTCGACATATTGAAATCAAAATTCGATGAACGTGTTATATCGAGAAATGTCCTGTCGAATGGCCGCCTAGATCGTGTGATTTAACACCTCTAGACTTTTTTTGAGGGGCTACATTAAATCATTGGTCTATGCCAACAAGCCAATATTGAACGAGAGATAGCGGCTGTTTCTGTCGAAATGTGTGGCCGAGTCATTGCGAACGTGCCCGTGGTGGACATATGAACGAGGTCGAATTCCATACATAAATGTTTTGAGTATACTTCAATCCAATAATAAAATTTTCGAGATATCTCAAATGGTTTGCGTTTTAATTAAGGAAAGTTGTCAAGTCCTTAATAAAAAACCCTTTAGTAACAAACCGACACGAAATAGGTGGATAATTTTACACACCTGGCCTGACCTGTGTTGCCACAATAAAATTTCATAGGAGACAGATATGAGAACATAATAGTCAAAATAAATATATTCCTTTTTTGACTAGTTTAATTTGGGAGAAAACTAAGTTAAAACATGCGAATATTCAGAAAATAATATTTTGCACTTTCCATAACTGTACAGCTTTCACACTAGCACAAACTTATACTTTTTCATTTTCCTCGTTATTTGAAATCTTGAATCTTTAGGTGTAAAAAATAAAAATACATACTTTCAACATTCTGATTCAACTTAAAACAGAACCTGAAAAATAGGAGATTCTGATCGATATAAACTATTATAAAATATTTACAAAAAGTGACTAGCGGAAAACAATAGAGAGAGCTTAGCAAGTTTCAAACTTCAAAGGTTGCGGCTAGAACACTTAAAACTAAAATGGATGTAGTTGACAAGCCCAGTGTGTTACTCCATATGTTTATATCCACACTCAGTTCAAGAAAGAATTGTTTCATAGAAAACTAAAAGATATAATATTCTAAGAACGGTTCGTGACATAACACCACTTTTTTCGCCTTTTATAATACACTGAAAACCTTCATAAAAAACATAGCCATAGTCCATCATTTCCAAATTTGCAATACTGTACAAAACATATTTTATCGTAGGTCTATATTACTATTTACGTAACAGACCTACATAATTTATTTTTTAGATTTATTTGCTTAAAAACTATGTACATTATTTCTTCTAGAAATTTTCCTCGACGGCTTTATAGCCATTTACTAAAACAAACTTCAAAGTTGTATAACAAATGAGTATATACAAATAGAAAAAATTCTATTCATAACCATCTTTGGATACAGTATAGTTGTACAAAAAATAGTACAAATAATGTTATACTTAAAATTGACACTAACATGTTTTGGCTATTATCTTGTCAACCAAACTGCTAATATGTAATTAAAACGTTAAACGTAACATTCTGTTTACATACAGGGACTTTTAGGATTTTTTGACGGATCAAATCTCTTAACTGCAAAAGTAATATCTAAAAACGAAAAATACTTGACTGATGATGATAGCTTTTGTTGACTTCCATCATTGAAATAATTTATGAAATGAGTAAGGATACATTCGCACACAAGAAAATGCAAACATAAGTATAGAGAAATATTTTTGATAAATATTTACACATCGACCAGCGATGGGTAATCTAGCGCTCCTTCAGCAGCATACGGGTGATGTGAAGTGCCAAAAAACCTAAGCACACCCTGTATGATAATACAATTCCTCGATATGAGTATGCTCTCCGTATTAATAAATTACATGAGGTGTTTTGACATGCTTAATCCAGAAGCTTTGATTCAACTTCAAGTGCTTCCGCATCTGCAGCTTCTACATCTTTTATAGCTTTTATGCCGTCTAGCCTTTCCGTTTCATCTGCGTCTTCTGCAAACTGTTTTTTCTTTGGAAGCTTTCTATTAAAAAAATAGGAATATAATAATAATGTTTACTGGAATAACGTAGATGCACAAAATCGTTATCTTACGATAAACATACAATACCCAAAGAAGTTTGAACTTGTGCTTGGGTTCACATGAGAATGAAAAAACATACAAATGGTAACTTCACAAACGTTAAATAATGTAGGTATTATAATGTAGTTAAGTGTAAAAAAATTATATTTTTCGGCTAAATTATTCACACAATTTTTGATATAAAATCAATTGTTTTTAGAATATTTCTCCTTAAATGTGTTCAAACATAAATATATGAAAAATTAAGTTTAATAATGATTTTTAGTGTCTATAAGTTTATGAATCGAGTTCCTTTGTTCCTGTATAACCCATGACTTGATGTGTTTTCTAAAACTGTTTGATGTTTTAATAATCTTTATTGATGCCGGAATATGGGACTAAAAAGAGAAGAGACCTTTGACCGATGGTTTTTGTAGTTTCTCGCACAGATACTGAATTTTGTTTAAGCCTTGTTTGATAGTGGTGATTGAAAGTGTAGCGTTTTTCTGGGTTCTTTTGGGTGTGGATTAAAATACTGGATTCCACAAAAACAAATGCACTAATTTATTTAACTTGATAGAACATTTATGTACACCACTATTTATGTCTGACTAATTCTTATGTCGCCATTGACTGCACTATACTCCACTCCGCCCTGCTACTCTACCGTATTCAGTACTCTGCTTCTAACTCCCGGCCGCCGAGTTATATATAGTTCCAATTGCTGCTTCGAAAAAAGCCGGATGAACCACAAAGCGACGTCTAGAATATTGGAGGTCACTTCGCGTCGATCTAGAAGGCGATCCACTGTCACGGTCCTCACAGACGCCGCCAAGCGGCTTGTACGGTCGTGGTTCGCGTAAAAGCAGAGATCGGCTATTAGGCTCTGGTGATTAGGAGACTCGCCCAACAGATGGCACCAACAGAACTATTCGGCCCTCTCTTGCAGTAGGAGTTCTTGAAAAAGTAACAATCCACGCTCTTTCCAGGAGGTAGCCATCTAGGATTGTGACAACATACCAGAAATCGAATGCCTGTATACCGGAAGACTACTTCAAGCATGCTTCGAATGATTCTCCAGTCCAGGTTGTCCAGTCCACATGCCAGCTTAGGGATTGCCAGTTTTCTCAGGTCCTCGGCAAGCAAGACTTCTCTAAGCGAACACAAAGCGTTCCAAACATCTTCGAAATTCGGTTTCTGATACGAAGCTTTCTTTGTAACTAGATGGTTGGTACCCTCTTCAGTTATCTGGAGTACTTCTCAAACTTCCAGGTTAGATTGTCGCAGCTCGTGCACTCTTTCAAACTTCCTAAGAAAGACCTTTGCTATACCTCTCGACATTCGCAAATCTTGAGCCACACAGTGTGCCAGGGCATATTCCAGCGAAGTGGTAAACAGATCGTGCTGTACTTCACATGTCACGCCATACCGACTCTTATGGCCATTAGCATGGTGAGCCATAAATTGGTCAAATGACATGTCTGGTTCTGGAGCCACACCGCCGCATCTTCGTTATTTCCATGATAAGGTGCAAGGCGGCTGAAATGGGGAATACTTGGCAACTTCTTCCCAGGCTGGTTTCCGTTGTTCTTTCATCCAGTTCAGAATTATTCGAAGATCGGGATCGCCCTCTTGGTCTTTAATGAGGTCTTCATTTTACCAAGTATCACTAACGATAGTGGTTCTTAATACTTGGACATCTTTCTCCTCTGCCCGATGGTAATGCTCACCATCCTCTAAGCAGCGTCTCCTAACGTGCCCTATTTTCTCACATTTCCAACATTCCAACTTGCTGTTCTAGCGACGTCGTTCACCATCAAGTTCCTTAATAATGGGCTTGACGGACTCTTCGAACTCATTATCTCCTGGTACCATCTGGCGGACTCGCTCCTGGCATATATTTGTGTTTTTAGGGGCTTCGAATTCTAGGGCCCAAGTTAGCGCATCTACTAGCTTAGGTAGATGTGCTAGTAGTAAGGCTTGCCTCATTTCACCATCACGAAGTCCATCGAGGAATGCTTGAACTGAAAATCGCTCCATTATCCTTTCCTGAACATCGGGATATGCTAATCGTACCAACCGCGCAATATCCGCTTCGAACTCCTGCAAGGACGCGCCTGACTTCTGGAACCGATTGTTGAGTTGAGTATGGTAGACATGTTCTAAATGTGACTGGCCATATCGCATCTCCAAATGTCCTACTAGCTGTTCGTAGACCTCTTGCTCTTCGGGTGATATTCTTTGAAGAATAGCTGCAGCATCTCCTCCAGTGAGTGCAGTTGCCTTTTCTGTCGATGACCAACATTTGCATTCGCGGCTGCCTCCAACTGACGGCGGTAGACATTCCAAGGCGTTGTACCATCAAACTGAGGCTGTTTCATTCGCAGATGACCAGCTGACCCAACAGAAACTCCAACCTCACTTGATTTTTCCAACGGAAGTCCACGCTGTCGTTCGTCGATGGTCTTGACGTCTAAAGCGGCAAACTTGCCTTGCACTTCTTGAATTATGTCCTCCAAAGTTTCTAAAATCCGTTTTTCCAACTCGCAAGATTTTTCCATAATTTTATCTTCCAATTCTTTTTTCAAATTGACAGTATTTTCCACAAACTTCTCTTCTAATTTGGCTGTACTTTCCAAGAGTTTTCCTTCTAGGTTGGCACAATTTTCCACGAGCCTATTTTCTAACTTGGTCGAAAGGTTTTGCAACATTAAACCTATATCCCCTGCACCGGTGAAAATGAAATTATCCGGGTCTTCACCTTCCTCAATCAGTGCTTGACGAAGCCGCTCCTGCAATTCCGCTTTCTTTCCAGCCGTGTCGCACTCTCTTTCCTCCAGCTCTCTAAATCGGCAATTTTCAAATCAACCAATCGCGCCATTCTTCCTTCACAGATCGTCCGATTTATTTTCACTAAATGTCCAATAATCCACATCCCACTTCTGACACCAATGTAGCGTTTTTCTGGGTTCTTTTGGGTGTGGATTAAAACACTGGATTCCACAAAAAGAAATGCACTAATTTATTTAACTTGATAGAACATTTATGTACACCACTGTTTATGTCTGACTAATTCGTATGTCGCCATTGACTGCACTATACTCCACTCCGCTCTGCTACTCTACCGTATTCATTACTCTGCTTCCAACTTCGCGACGATCTAAAAGACGATTAAGCTCTGTCGATTAGGAGACTCGCCCAACAGATGGCGCCAACAGAACTATTCGTCACAATAGGATTTAGAAGCATCTTATTTTTGATGTGGTACGTAAATCCATTTTAAAAGTAAATTTGTCTAACGTCTGGGAGCTGAGCTTCTAAGAAAAGATTATCGGTTGGATATAAGGATCAGTTTTAGTATCCACTTCTGTGCGATTTCAATCTTTTTATAGTGATTGTTCATGAGTCCTCCCCATGCTAATATACCATATGATAGAATAGGGTATACACGAGCGTGGTAGTGAATATATAGACAGTCTTTGATCAAAAAATCACTAAAATACTTGAATTTTGGGGTAAGACATCTTAGTATTTTCATTAGGACCTCTGTGTGTGCATTCCACTTTAAATTTTTGTCTAGTATTAAACCTAAGTATTTAGTATAGTTCCACCCTTTAACTATACTGATCGATTGCCTACTAGAAGTCAATGTAAAAGCCTAATATTTTCAGTTCAGCAATATCTGCCAAAGTTCGGATTTAATTTTGTTTTGTATGGCAGTGTTCTATCAACAGAGAAAAATGTTGTACTTACTTTCCAAACGCTTCTCCTTCTTCAATAGTTTCAGGTAACTTTTTGTTGAGAGTTTCAGGTAGAACTAGCGATATAATACCTCCGAGTAAGGAAAGAGAGCCAAAAACTAGTAGAGGAAGCGGTTTCCACACATGTGTCTATAAAAACAAAAATACAGAATAACACAAACCCACAAAATAAAAAAGTACTGGGTGCTGCGGAACCCACATATAGTTACCCCATCCTTTTTTAGGCATTAAGGTCAAAGATTTTGGTATTTTTGGTAGTTTTGCATTTCTTCAGAGATGTCCGAGATAAAATGTGTAATTCTGATGTCTAAATTTTTTTCATATTAGCCCATTGAATTTTGACTTCAGATTTGTGTTCAGCGGGAAAAATGCTTGGGAAAAATATATCGGATACCCCAGCACCAAGCACTTTTTATTTTTTGGGTCTATGTAATGAATTACTAAAAATATAGATAGAATATTACAGTTTTAGTATACTCATTGTTGTGACAAATGCCAGTGCATGACCCTTCTAGACTTTTGCGAGGTGGATCTCGTGATCTTCAATAGTTTTCAAAACCAGCACATACCTACTATGGAAACCATATCACGTTTTTGCTACAAGAGATTTGAATTTGAGCGAGTAGTTTTTCATATAGTTTATCATAGCTCTGAGTGAAAGAATCGTCTTTATAATTATTTCTTACCATAATGTTGATGTACGGAGCAATTATAGATCCTAACCTAGCGCAGGTAGACCCAGCGCCTAACCCTGCATTCCTTATCACTGTTGGAAACTGCTCAGTGGAGAATATGTACACTGCTCCGTAACTTGCTGTGATGGCCATTTTACCGAACATCGCGAGAGTTATCGTCAACCACTGCATATCTTAAAAAAGAAAAAACAACCGGCATTATTCAAAAAGCCTAGTATTACAGACGAGCTCAGTACCATCTCGCTTTAATATAAAATATATCTAATTGGTGCAATCAAATTAGCGAGGGAATCGAAACCACATATCCACTCTTTTGTCCTCACACTTCCAGCCATTTGTACGATAAATGCGCGAAAACACCAATTTAGAGTTAAAATGACAGTATACTACACGGCCATGCAACTCTTTTAAGCTGCGCGAATCCATAATTTTGAATGAGAGCTAATCTGGAATATAAGAAGTGGATGTCGCTAGATATGCTGGACCTCATGGCTAAGGTTATAAATAGACAATGATATAGTTGTAGTCAGCGTTATCAACGCCATATGAAATAAGTGAAGAGATCGAGTCTCCGTACCATGGTCGGATCTTAATTTACTACTCTCTCCAGTACGCATGAAGTGGGTAACATGGAACCGCTGTTTTCATTCTCTTCCTGGAAATACTCTAATGAATTTAGCACGAGCTGTCCGCCTTCTCTATTTATCGTATTTCTGTTCATTGTACAATTTTATATTCAAGATTGATAATAAGACAACTCAAATTGCACGCCGATGTCAAGTAAGTTGTCACTCTGACAAATTCGATTGAAGGGCACTCCTACGTAACGACAAAGTTTTCGAGACGGATATACACACAACTAAAAAACGTATGTCTTTCAGCTTACCGAACAAACGTTCACACACAGGGGTAGGTTGCATGTGTATGTATGAGGGAGATTGAGATATATAAAGGGATACTGGCAGTCTTACTTTGAACCGCCAAGAACGGTAACTACAACTATACCAACTGCTGATCACCTGTTCACGTAAAAAAAATTGAAAACGCGATGAATTAATGGAAAATAGGTCACATTCTCATCAAATCTGTCAGTTTCCCATCTATTTTTGACATTTAACCTATAATGACAAAGTAATATATTCAACTAAAACAGTGGAATTAGTCAGGTGTTATGATTGACAGCCACACTGACAACGTAGTATGTAGCCTCTACAAATTGACCCTCTCTCAAGTATTTTGCATGACCGTTAAGAAACAAAAGTTATATACAAGAAAGTTGTAGGGTCTAATATAAAGTTTTTGGACCTTGCTTTTTTCTCAGGGGGCCGTTCAAGTATTACATAAGCAGATTTATTAGAATTATTTACCCCCCCCCCATCCCCTTGTCAGCAAAAGTAAGCAAAGCTCTTACCCCCTCCACCCATGCTTACGTAAACATTTGTCAATTAATGTATTGTTTTTCTTTTTAATATTATAATTCTAACGGTATAACTATAATTTGAAAAATAAGAAAATAGATTTAGGATAGAGATTATATTTTACTGATACGGTATTCAACATAGAGTAAAGGACGAAAATATTATATCTTACTAACATAACAAACTTATTTTAAATTTTTGGTACATATATTAAATTCAAATTAACAGTCTTCAGTCCATGAAACCCGAATCCATGATTCTAAGTTTTCGATGACATTGGATTGCTTCGATTGCTGCTCAGTGTTGTGAGTTTGCTCGCTTTCATCGGATTTTGGAATGTCTACGTCGTTCTCATCGAGCCATTCAACATCATGGTGCTCTAAATTTTTAATAATGAACATCAGTTCATTAGCACGACGAGCAGCGACTCTTACAGGTCTAACTTTCCTATCAGTGTGCGTGTTTACTTTTTTAAGGATATTTTCGATGTGACGATTTAGTGACTTGACGGAAGCATGATGATAAAGACCACACGTTTTGCATGTTCGACTTGATAGCCTCAATTTTACCGTCGGACAAAAATAATCGTATGGCATTTGCAGGAAATCTTTGAGTGAAGCACTTAAGCGTAGAGCTAAATTGACTGGAAAATTAAGAAATTGCCCTCCTTCATCCAAAACGAAGTCATCAACTGTTTGTTCTACTTTTACAGGTGGTTGAAGAAACCTATTGTCTAGTAATCTAAATAGGCCACTTCTTGGACGACATCATTCTGTATTTCTACATTTTACAATTTGAAGCAAGTATTGGCTCTCACGCACATGTTCTGAATACCATTTAATGTCTGGAAAATCAGGAAGATCTTGTTCACCTGCCCCAACATATTTTGCATTAACATTATAGCCATCAATTTCTATTGAACTCCATACTGTAGCTAATACATTTCCTGCAAATTCGAAATTAGATCTCTAAATGTTCATCAATTGTAAAGCCACATTCATCCAAATGAGACCCAAAATGGTTATGAGGCAATATTAAAACAGCCAGTTCCCGACTAAGAGGAGCCATTCTGCGCTCTACTCTGTTATACGCACTTATTCCAAGAGCATTGGTAGCTAAAAACAATGCATCGAGGTCATGTCGCTTAAAGTGTTGTATAGCAAACCCTATGACTTTTTGATAACGTGGATTTTCATCTGGCCCTCCATCAACCGTCATGATTACCACTGGTTCTACTAGTCCATGGTCAGTTTTAGCTAATGGTCGAAGCTCGTAAGTTCGAGAAGCGTCTCGAAATCCTGAGCATGAGTATTAGCAGTAGATGAACTATGCTTTCCACTTCGAATAGCGATGAATATCCAACGGCTTGCGGTTGTACTAGCATATTGGAAGTGATTTTGATACCAGCATAAACAGATGGTATTAATTTATGACGGCATAGTATCTCTGGCAGAATACAAAACATTCAGATTTTTTTCGAGTCGAGCCATCTTATTTTTCATAGCTTTTCATTAATTTCGCATTGCTGTTGTGATTCATTACCGGGTTTTATTTTATCTTCTTCCTCTTTTTTAATATTTGAAGCTGACTGTATAATTTGTGTTTTTTCTGCAGGTTTACCGGTTGCCTAAAAATAAAAACTTTCTATGGCTTCTGCTAAAGATTCTCTTATTAAGCTACATAAATACAAAGTATGGCAATATATATGGTAAATACAAAACCATATGGCTTTAAATCTAATATGTTTAAACGAGCAATTCGTTCCGGTCACAAAATACAGGGTGTTAGTTTTCTGTATATATGTATAAAACTAACATCCTGTACTTTGTGACCAATTGACGGAATCAATCATAAGAAATAAATCTATAATATAATGAATATTACCTCTATACTTTGAGATAGGCCATAATATTTTCTAATCAGTAAAGAGAAACTTTTTGGCGATTTCTAATATTTCTAGTAGTCATAGGTACCTAAAATGATTTCGTCACTCACCTTAGAAAAAAAATTTAGTGAATTGGATTGATTCTTAGTCGCCGCTTGCAATTCTTATTCGATTCTTTTAGATACAATAATAGCTAGTTTCTTGTCGGATTTTGCTTGTAATTTGTAATTTCGCCACACTTCGTTAACTAACTTTTGAACATTTTGTACTTTCGTACTTGTATGAGATTTTTTAAAACTTTCAAACAACGTTTGGTATAACTTGGATTTGTCTATGTGAAACGACATCTTATTTAAATATTTAACTTTGGCTAATGGAATCAATGGTAACACAAATGTTAACTTGCTTTACTAGGCTTACAATACGTCTACTCGCTATAGTATCCAAACGAAACAATACACTGATAGAGGAAATTTAGACAAGTGAACACCGCGCGGTAATTCCCTTACTCGGTTCTAAAGCGAATAGGGGAATTACCGCGCGCTGTTTACTAAACGTATGCATTATTTGCGGGAATCCCCGAAAATGCGTTTCGTTTTCAATCAAAGACAATGTGAGGGTTGCCATTTGTGTAAAAAAGTAAATAACTACCGATGACGTAATCATCATCTAGACTTCCCTACCACCCATGTCATCCAAAATAAGCAAAGCAAAGACACAAGATCTATTTAAAAAAAGTTGGTCAAACAAATTTGATCTGGGTTACCGTGCGTTATGTCCAATACTTGAAAAATCGTTTAAGAATTATAATTTTTGAGGTCTCCAAGTATCTAAATTAAATTGAAACCTTGCGCTACAAGATCTTGACGACTATTTTGAGATTAGTTTATTTTAAAGTGATTTTAACCTTGTTTTTCAGTCCGAAATTGGCGAACTTTTGATGTACATACAAAAGCAGGAAAGATATAGCCAAAAATGAGCCAAATCATGATTATGAAGCCCACCATAAAAATAGGCTTAACTGTGTGATATATAAGACCACAATTTCTTCGCCTAGTCTGAGCATTATTAAGAAAAAACTAAGAAAGTTCTTACCAGAGAGTGTATTATAGCCTATATGGACATTTTTCATAATAATGGGCTTTACTGGCACATAATGTTTTTCACTTCAATGTACCTACTATTTGAATTTTTTATTTTGTGTATCTGTTTTTACATGTTTCCGTCACTTATATGGTGTATTTTTTTCTATCATGTAACTGAAGAAATAAATTTTATTTAAAACTAAATTTAGTACAGGACTGTTTGAAACAGCGTCAGCCACGCGAAATGATTCAGTTCATTCTGCTAGCTTGCTCACGGAGGTACTGGGGTCAAATGGATGAGGGCGTTTAGACAAGATCCCGGAGATATGGATTACAATTCCGCAGATACCAGATTAATTTTATAGTGTGTACTCATATTCCTAGCAGTAGTATAATAATCATACCTTTTGGGATAAGCATGGTTAATAACAAAGCTATTCCAGCCATTATCATACATCCACACATCAAATTCCTTCTACCCCATCTGTTGAGGAACAGAAGAATGAAAGTGTACGCTGGAATTTCCACTGCTCCCGATATCACAAAGTTTAGGTAAGGATCTCCACCAAGATTATTAGTATTCCATGAGAGACCATAATATGTGATGTTGTTTGCAAACCTATAACAGAAAAATAGCCTCAACATCAGGATCCAGTAGCATAATGAACAAGTTCACGTGATCGATCTCATCAACAGGTGGATAGGACAGCTATAATGGAGAAGTTTCGTGATGTTTAGAATCGCATAAGCAATGACATACCAGCAAAATATAGATGAAAAATGATCAGCCAGTGAAAATATTATTGAAATTGGTCAATAAATGACAGAGAAATTAATACTTAAATTTGGCGCAATATAGCGTGAAATTGAAGGATTCGGTGCAAAAACTGATCAAATCCAGTTTTCCCCAAATTCAGTTTTCATATGCATCATAAAGGACAAATGGTTGCACATCTTTTGGTGCAAGGATCAGCCAAAAAAAAATTTTATCAGTTTGGTATTAAATTATTTTCCTAGTACCATTACATAATTGGTATTTTTTTTCGATAGAAAATTCCTACAACAATATTGGAAAGTTTTTACTGATTTTCTATAAATTATAAAACATGGAGTTGGCCGGTTTTTGCACCGTACCCTTCAGTTATTGATGCCGCGCTTCACGTCGATGCGCGACAGCGTCTGTGCCTTTAGTTTATAGACAATTCCTAAGACACACCTGTGTGCTCGGTCACGTTGTTTCCAGTTTATAACTATTGAGTACTGCGTAAGTTCGTAGCATTATGGAAGCCGGATTTGCAAAACGGTTAAGTGACAATTTGCATGAAATGATGTCTTCAAATCCATTATATACAAGTGCAAAAATAAAATGTGTGAAACTTTGTAACTAAGTATTTATGCCTACTGCTACACTATCACAACTAGTTGTAAAATGTGTGATACCCTACTGAGGTTTTAAATAAACTAGTGTTGACGCCTAATATGAGAACAGATTTTCGAATATAACACGATATTTTTCAGTACAGGTAGAGATTCGTATCGTGAAGACGCTATTGGTTATGTTTAGTGAAACGTGAAGGTACTATAAATGCATTGTAAAATGCAGTGTTACACCTGAACATAAAGTGAAAACTGCGCCTTACTACTGTACATTGGTCTGTGACGAAAGTGAGGAAAAAATGAAGTACTGTTGTACCACGCTTCATAAGTTTGCACATATTTCTTCGTGATATTTTCATGTTAGGGTACGTAGAAAAAATGTTTAGTAGGGGTTGTAACTGTTGTGCTCGTACAATAACGATACAGTATTTATAATAACCTATTTTTATTTATTTCGCTCATAACCGATCGTATATGTAGTCAACTCATTAAACAAAATGTGTACCTATGCGTGTGTTTAGGAAATTGAGCCGGCCAGGGCCCAGGAGAGGGCCGCGGCCATCGCAACTGGGTAGTGAAGTGTGACGTCACGCGTCGCGTTCAGAAGGAATAAAAATATTCTCGCCGGGTGCAACTTTGATAGACTATAACTTTTTTGTTTTTAGATATAAATTAATTTTGTTTCATTTTTCTTAAAATTTCATTTGAGCTAATAACAAAAAAATAGTAAACTTGTCCATTTGTGATATCAATATTAATCGATTGGTCTCAACGAATTCGAATAGAGTAGAAGGAGCCAAGCGTATATGTTTACATTGCATTTTTCGACAAAATTGCGTGGTTTTAGTGCATTCTTATGACTTATTTGACTATCACATTACATCACACAGACACCACAGACGTATCGAATCACGGCAAATAGGTTTTGAATACGACCACGCTATCTAATGTTTGTGCTACCAAGTATGCGCGACTGGTATTTTAACCAGTGATCAAACTTAAAAAGTACTAGATTAAAATAAATACCCACCAATCGTAAAAAATTATTAAAGCCTTCTTTCGCATGTTAGAATGTTTGAATATATCTAAAACTGAAGCGTCTTTTTCATCTTTTTTCTTCACTTTTTCTTCAGTAGGTTTCAATAATACATCTAAGGTCTCATCGGAAATAGTAACCTTATTGTACTTTGCGGCATCATGAATCAGTCTTTTAGCCTCGTCTATACGATTTTTTGAAATCAGCCACCTAGCTGATTCTGGAATGAACCTGAAAGGTAAATGTCGGTCATTTAAGTTATGTACTACCCAAACACATTAAAAAATGTTTTCAGGTTACATTCGATAATTATTCCAATAGATGTTTTGCTTATTTAGAAACCAAAAATAAATTAAGGAAAGCAGCCAACTATTTGGGTTTTTGACGCCATGTATCAAATCAAATTCAAAATAGATTTCGAATTAGTGCGGAGAGGAGAAACATATCTACGGAAAATTCTCATTGGTATCTCATTTTATCTCGGATAATTTTTTTGATACAGGAATATAGTGTTAGAGTATAACTATCTTCAGATAGAATATGTTATTGTTTCAAAGTATTTGCATATCATAACATATCTTCTCACCATATAGCTATTCTTCATATTCCATATTAAATATGCAGCGCAAAAATCTTAACTGAATACAGGGAAACTAGGTTTCCAGTCACCATAAAAGCCGCTGTATAGTTTAGTAATATAGCGTTCCTTCATCCGACCACAGACGGCCAACACCGGACAGCTGTTTCGTGATTTTTGGCAACTGCTCAGCATGGTGTAGGCTTGGTCTTAGTGGACACCGAACGAAAGCGGAGCAACTTTATCCTATTCAGAGTTTAAGGTTTATCGAAATATGACGGCAGAACAGCCGTTTCGTGCTAAATGGCAACTCCTCAGCATGATGAATGGCTTGGTCTCGAGTAGGACAACAAAAGAAAGCTGAGCAACGCTACCCTAATCAGAGTATAAGGTTTATCGAAATAAGACAGCACAAAGTGACATGTTTTACCAGAATCGACCACTGCGAAAGTAAAAACAGCAAGCTGTATGTTGGAACTGTAAGCCAGTACGCATGGTCAGCCCAGGTCAGCACTGTGTCCACTAGATGTCCGCCAATTCTGGTTCTATAATAGATATGGTCTACTCGTCAGTGTATAGGTTTTAACATGTATAAATGCAAGCACCTGTGGAATTTACGATTTCTCTTGTTGTTCATGAAAGGCTACATGCCAGATGTTTGACAGGTAGAAACAACATGAGGGCAGACACCTATATCCAACTTAGACCTTCGATAGCTTAAAGTGTGTCCATTACTGAACTTGCTCATGGAGATTTAAATCAGAAGGTTAAAATATAAAAGATACTACAAATTCAATCAACTTCACTAAACACTGTAAGCTTTGGGCCTGTTGAAATGCCATCCGTCGCCACCGGTCGCACCGCAAGGAGCTGCCATCTGTAACAACAGGTTAGTTTGGCTACGGACTTTGGCGACGTCCCGGTAAGGGAGGGCTCGTCCTCGAAATGATTTATTTATACACTTACCACCAGTAAATGAGAAACATCACACCAGGCAATGTAAGCCCTAACTGCAATGTTCTCCAGTTTGTAATGTACATTGCAAATGCAGCTGTGGCCATGTAACCCACTGAGAAGAACATGTGACAGACGGTTCCAGCTATTGTTCTTTTCGATGGTCCCACCATTTCTAAGCCTGCATGGAAAAAATGCGACTTTGAAAACAAAATGGCCAAATACGTTAATAATTTCCTTATTTAACAATAACAATAATCTTTATTTGCAAATACAAATGCTATTCTGTTATTGAAAAATTCATCCGTTGTATATAGTTCTAAATTTAGTAATATTTTAAATGATATTTTTTTAAATGCACTGAGTTTTACAATCTTTTTCATAACTGCTAGTAAATGGTTAACAAGTTTCAGACTATTATAATAGGAGGTCCTTTTTCAAACAATGCTAAACTATGCTTAGGATAAATATAGTTAAAAACTCCAGTATGGTTACTTGTCGGCTCATTAACTGTGAACATTCGTTTATTTTTAAATACATATATAAGTCACCCTTGAATAAACACTCCAAAAACTGTTAACACACCGAATTGCTTGAATTTGCCTCTACATGATTCATTCAACTTCAAAACTAAATTTTTCTCAATATTCTCTTTTGTATTACAAAAATTCCATCGAAGTCACAACAGCTTCCGAATAACATAATTCCATACCTTAATCTAGATTCAAAATTTCAGTGATACACAACCTTCAAAGTTGTTACTTTTGTTACCTGTAGTAACTATCTAATTCAAGACCAAGAAATCTAGTATTGTCAGACACTATTACTGTTGTACCATTAATACAAATTGAATTTTCAAAATTTGCTCAATAGTGAGTAGTTCGGAAAAACATATCACACGTCTTAGTTTTATTAAGAATTAGCCTATACCAGGTTTGTACATTGTCCATATTGTATCCCCCTCATCACATGCATTCTAAGGATCTGTAGCAGTTATGAGCAAATTTGTGACATCTGCATACTTCGTGATTTTGCATACATCAGGTTTGATACAGGTGTCGATGTCATTTAAAAAAATCACAAACAATGTGGGACCTAATATACTGCCCTGAGGCACCCCTTTTTTAACATTAAGCTCATTCAAAATAGCTGTCCCAACAATTTTACTTTTTGCTTACGATTGCTGAAGTATGATTCTATCCAAGAAAGTGCTGGTCCTCCAATTCCATATATTTCTAATTTTTGCAATAATATATTGTGATCTAGGCAGTCGTGTATCTAGTATTTCCCCGATTTTGATCTTCTTAGTCACACAACTTTTGTTCTTTTCAAATAAAGCACCACTTACCTATGACATAAGCAACTAGGAAAACGCCAGATGTAGTGGCACCTACTATCATTCTAGACAACGTGAAGGTCCAATACTCTGGAGATATAGCAGCCAGAATACCAAATATCAGTTGGATAACTAGGGATATGAAGAAAGTTTTCTTTCTTCCACACCTGTAAAATAATTACTTAGCCACAATTTCCAAATAGTCGCCAAAATATAGTTGTCTCAATTTAATATGTTTTAATTTAGTAGTTACCTATCCGACATCTCTCCAAAAACTATGGAACCTATCATAACTCCCACCATAAACAGAGCATTGGAAGTAGCTATAAGATAGGCCTTCTTGCATGTCAATTCATACTGAAAAGAAAAACGTGGACCATTCAACTTGACCATACATAAGAATAATACAATTGGAAATTGTAAAAAATGTTACTAAAAAATCTGTATTCGAAATAATTATAGTTGCAATGATTTACCCACGGTAATTTTAGATTTCGATGTGTTAAATAGAATATTACACTATGAAGAATAAAAAAAAACATAACTGTTCGGCTAAACTAAAAACATGTTTTAGTTTCTAGTACGCTTGTAATAGAGGCAGCGACTTATAGAGGGTTTACAAACCTCAAAACCCTTGCTACAGAATAGCTGATAAATAATGATTACCCTGTATATGAAGAACATTTGGAATGCGCATATATGAATCCATATCAAAAGTTAATTAACGCTCATATATTTCATAAATGACGCTAATGAATCGTCTTGGTTTGTGATAGTTTGCCAAGTAATTATTAATAACATAAATTAATAATAATCCAATGGCTAGTATGCAAATACAATTCTCTCCATCCTCAGTTAACTTCAATTGACCCGTGTACTACAAATGAAAATTTTAATTGATAGTCAAATGGAATTGCTTGAATATTTGGGAACATTCTAGATATAAAAATGTATTCCCGGTCAATTTATCTGCTGAATTTGTGCTACCACGGTGATCTTTTTCAAGTACAATGACCATTAATGACAATATATTTTGTTTATCGGTCTTCGAGGTTTATTAATTTTTTATTTCCTTCATTACTATACAGGGTGTTAAAACAAGAGCCTAAAGGTTCCTGTGCCATGCCGAGATCGCGCGAAGCCATAATTGCAATTTTAAGATGGCATCATGTAAAATCAGAAAAGCACAAGATCGCCTGGGCTATGCATTAATTGTTAATGTACTTGAAAAGGGGAACCGTGGTGACCGAAACGTCGTACGGTAAACAGTAGTTAAAGCATATGTGGTTTGATTTATCGGCAACTCAATAGATTCCTTCCTATATACAGTTAAAATCAAATTTGTCTGACGGCTTGAGTTCAATGTATACGAGAGAGAATCGCGAAAAGTGTGTATCAACACATGTTAGAAAGACAGAAGACGGCTGAAGAGCGAAGGTCATCACCACATTGCCTAGCAACGGGGACGCAGAAGGTCGTGCAATCTGCCGTGCAAAATGTTCACACAGGCTTCCACAATAGGTTAGGTTACTGTCAAACCGATGAAGGAGGTCTGTTCGAACATTTAATTTAATATTTTGTTCTCATTTTGATTAGAATTATTTTATTTCAATTTTGATACGACTGTTTTAATTTATTTTAGAATTAACTTTGATTTCCACCGATGGTGATAAAATCAATACAAACGCTTTTATTGTTACATTTTGCGTACCGCGAGGGGTCGGAAAATGAAACAAATATCATTACGCAATACAAATTATCACTGCCTGCGGGTACGCAGGTGAAAACCATTTCGACGCAGGAAGACACTCCCTAATGAGCGTTAGATAGGTACTGACCAAAATTGCTCATCAAGGATCATGGAGGTGGAAACCTTGCCTTGGAATGTACGAGATGTGGTGTTGCCAAGCGAACCAATGATGCAATGTTGCAGAATTTGTGACGATCATGACTTCATTTCGACCTAAAATGGAGCGCCATTAGGACCGATCCGGTATCGGTCCTAAACATATTCGACACAATTCGCCATTCAAAAATATGTGCGCTCAAAATAAAACCATTATTTATGCGTAAACAATAACTAACGTATATTTTCAATAAGCATCTTAATTCGAGGAAGTGATTTGACAACGCAGCAGGTTGCCGCGTCAGCGTTGCTAGGCAACGCGGTGATGAGCTTCGCTATCCAAGCGGCTTCTATCTCTTTCTAACATAAGTGTCTATACACACTTCTCTCTCGTACAGATTGAACTCAAGCCGTCAGACAAATTTAGTTCTCAGTGCACATGCAGGTAAGGAATTAAAAACCAGACATTCATGCCTTGACAAGCACGACAAAAATGGTTTAAGCATACTAATATAAGATCGAGATATCTAATATAATTGAATCGGTCATTTCAAAAACCTCGTAAGTCTCACAACTTGAATTCTTCAGGAATCAATAATAACTGTGTCCTTCACAAATAAACGAGTTTTAAATGGCATTTTTGTGAACAATAGCCATATTGAAAGAAACCTGATAAATTCCTCTTGACTTCTCTTGTTTTAGCAAGGAATGTGGTTAGTGGTGCATATTTATGCAAAACAACCATAACGTAATCGTATAACTGAAACCCTGGGTACCAGCGAGACACCCTAGTACATCGGCCACGAGAATCAAATAGCACTATTCAATCGCGTATTTTTTTTTATTTAATTTTAATTTGAGCCTACAGAAAAAAGATAAATAAGTTTATAGAGTGGTTGATGCTACTTATTCTAACCTTAAATAGATTTATTCTGTTGTACAGGATATGCCTTGAAATTGCGTACATATTATGGTTAGGCAACTTTATTTTAACGCATATGCGAACAGTAATTAGTAAAAATAATTATATAGAATGTTTTCTTTACATTAAAGGTCTAAATTTAGTTAACCACGCAATAATCTCCCTTATTCTGGCGTTCGTTCTGAGCACGAACATGGCTATAAATAGTTGATTATTAATGCATCACTGTAACGTGGCCAATATGATAAGGCAAAAAGACGTAAGGTAAATGTCCAAAACTTTATGAAAGTCAATAACTTCGTTAGTTTCTGTTTGAAGTGCCAAAATAAGAAAATGATAAATTTTATTAAATTCTAATATTCCATCTTATTCTCTATAATTCGAGCTGTCTCAAAAAACAAAATTCAAATTTTCATTCATTAACATGAAAACTGGCAGTCTACCGGAGATGTCGAGCGAGAAGAACTTGTCTGTAGCTTTAAGGCTATGAAATGAATTTCTTAAGTTTCCACAAGAGGTAGATAAGTTAATGTGTCTGAAATACGTAATATTCCTGTTAATAATTTCATTATAAACAATTTGATATACTTGTGAAAGTATTTTAGTAAAAGAAATACAAAATAAATTGCAAAAATCTGAATCACGAAATTAGGTTCAGTTCAACTTTTTTTAACTCCTTAAGTTCTGGTTACTCCAGAAATAACGTTATATTCCACCTAAATTTTTATTGCTTCGTGCTTTTGATGCAAATATTATGTAACAAAATATAAAATATATATCTAATGAAAAAAGTATATAGTTTCTTTTGAGCAATTTCGGTATACAGGGTTATCCAAATTAAGTGTCCACCATTAGTAACTTTGTTATTAGTGAAAATACAAAGTTGTTTGAATTAGCAAACTAGTAGCATTTTTAACGCTGGTAAAAATGAGAAATTAAAAAAACAATTGAGAGTCGTTATTTTGATTTTTTTCAGTAAAATAACATTTTTTTAAATGGAAACCCCTGTATATTATATTTTTTTCTGTTAAAGCATCAAATTTTGAACAAAAAAGTTCATAATGACTTTTCCGCTAAAGTCAAAAATAAAGTCAAAATAACGATAAATATTTTTAATTATTTGCAGTATTATAATATTAAGACGGCTATGAAAACAACATGGCGTTCGCGATTTGACAGCATTAAGATAAGCGACAAATTGTTAAACTAGACATACTCGCAACTAGAAGGCTTTGGAAAACAATGATAAAATCAAATCATGTCAAACATTAGTGTAAATACTTGTTTATAAGCTTTATTGTGTCATTAATTTAAAGAAAAATGTTCTCCCATGAAGAAAAGTGTGATATGTTAGAATGCTATTTAGTGTGCAGAAAATCCTCCTTGAGAGCAAGAGAATACTACAGTGAACTATATCCCGCTCGCATTCAACCGTATGAACGATATTTTCTGAGACTTTATCGAAAATTTAGGGGCAACGAAAATGTTTTTGCTAAAACAAGGGCAAAAAAAGAATTCATAATAAGCGAGGCCACGGAAATTGCAGTTATTGGATATTTTGAAGCTTATCGTGAGAATTCAATAGCAGATATTCTCAAGGACTCTAAATTCAGTTATGGTACTGTTCAAAGGATTTTAAAAAAATACAAATTTATTCCGTATAAGTACCGACCAGTTCAAACGCTTTTGGCAGGGGATCCAGAGAGAAGACTTGTTTTTTGCCATTGGTATCTTAGCTTCTGTCGCCAAAATGTAAATAACTTTCGTTACCTTTTATGGACAGATGAATCAAATTTTTCCAATTCTGGAATGTTTAATAGAAAAAACCACCATTATTGGTCAAGAGAAAATCTTTTGTTAGTACATCCAAGAGGCCCACAAGTCCGTTTCAGTTTCAACGATTGGTGCGGTATAATTGGTTCAAAAATTGTTGGCCCGTTCTTTTATGAGGGAACCCTAACTGGTGAAAGATATGTGGAATTTATGTCAGAAATTCTGACTAATTTCTTAGACGAATTGGATCTTATAAGTAGACATCATCTGCATTTTCAGCAAGATGGCGCACCTGCCCACAACTCCAGAGGTACTTATCATTTTCTAAGTACTACTTTTAATGATCAGTGGATAGGAACAAATGGCCCAATACAGTGGCCTCCCAGATCACCAGATCTAAACCCACTTGATTACTTCTTGTGGGGTTACTTAAAGAACCAAATTTACAAGCGAAGGTACGATAGCCTTGACGCGTTAAAGACTGCAGTTAGGGAAAAGATAACCCAGATAGATGGTAGGACCATACTTAAGACAGTTCGAGCAGTTGAAAAACGTGCCCAAAAATGTATTGAAGAACAAGGTGGTGTTTTCGAGCATCTTCTTTAAAAAAAATTGTTATTGTATTTTGTAAGATTATAAGTTGATGTTGAAAATAAAGTTTGTCGATACAATTTAATTGTTTCAGATTGGAGGCCATAACTTCAACAATTTGTAACCTAGGAGAAAAGTTATTGTAAGCTTTTTTGTTTAAAATTTGATGCTTTAACAGAAAAAAAATATAATATACAGGGGTTTCCATTTAAAAAAATGTTATTTTACTGAAAAAAATAACGACTCTCAATTGTTTTTTTATTTCTCATTTTTACCAGCGTTAAAAATGCTACTAGTTTGCTAATTCAAACAACTTTGTATTTTCACTAATAACAAAGTTACTAATGGTGGACACTTAATTTGGATAACCCTGTATATCTACTACATATTTCCAAATATTTTTTCAACTACAGTGTAAAGGAAAATTTGAGTATGTATCAAAGTAAATGTTTTTGTTTTTACTAGAATTGATGCATTCTTTTTGGCTATAGTTTTTGAATGCATGATACCAAATGGTCAATGAACATCTTCTGCTCATAATTCACAACATTAAGCATTTCTATATTGTACAACTAATAACGCGAAATAAGGGACAAGATTTTTTTGTTTGTTGTGTACCTAGAGGTTCTTGATTATCATGGACAATTGAATCAGGGCAATAATGGGGAGCTTTTAATCAAAGGTCATTACCTTATCCATTATCGTTGTTCACATATACTAAATGACATAGAAAACGCAACACCGACTCGGAGTGCTGTAATTTTGAGCATACCTTTGCAAGGTTTAGGTCTACTGATAAATAGAAAGTGGTTAAAATTTTATCTCGAAATTTCGCAAAATAGCTGAGGTATCCACCGTAATGTGAATAATGTGTTGGAGCCTGCTCTGTTCGCTACACATTCGTTAAGTCGTGGCGGCATTGATTGGATTAGGTGATTGATGTCTTCTTGGTGTATTGTATTCCAGGACAACTGAATTTGATTTCGTATAGCCTTCAATGTTTGTGGAGAGTGCGGTGAATTTTGCATTTTTCCATCATGTGCCAAACATGTTCGATGGGGGAAAGATCTGGAGATCGAGGAGGCGACTGAAGCAGATTTACTCCGGACGCTCTAAAAAGTCTAAGCTAACACGTGCGACATGAGGTAGTGCACTGTCCTGCTGAAAAAGTGGATCTTGCAATGTTTCCAAAAAGGGAATCAGATGTGGTGGTTGTAAAACTTCGTGGATATAACGCTGGGCAGTCACGCTTCCTCGACTAAACATTAATCGTGACCTGCTGCCGTGAGCAATGGCATCCCATACCATAACACCCACAGTGCCTTGAATATGTCGTTCTATGGAATATTTCACCACGTCTCCCCTTACGGCCATCATTTGTGCCCAAACAGAATCTGGACTAATCGCTGAACACGACTGACTTCCATTCCATATTCCATTTTAGTCTCTCCCTACTTCACACCAATCGTTGCCGACGATGTTGTGGGGTCAGAGGTAGTACGAGTACAAGATGGGGACGGTTTGAAAACAGTTCAAAAGATCTTATTCGGCGATAAACTGTCCTCATTGTTATTGCTCAGCATCAAACCATTGGTTCGCAACTGCCCTTGTTGTGGAAAATCGATCTCTAAGTGCCAGTTTTCTCAAATAACGATCCAGTCGCTCTGAAGTGACGTCCAGTACCTCTAACTCATCGATTTCGACCTTCCTGAAACCACGCTCGAAGACATCTCTTTACAGTAGCTTCGTTTCGATTCACCCGATTAGCGGTTTCTCTAACATTAAATCCGGCTTCACGTAATCCGATTATCCAACCCCTCTCAAACTCGGAAAGTTGAGCGAAATTAGCACGACTGCGAACTCTAGGCATGATGATGCAATGAAACAACAATGAAACAATTGGAACCAACACAGTAAAAAACACTGAATATTAAGTAAACATGTTCATATTGTTCGGATCCTGCTATGACAAAAAAAGCATTTACAAAAAAGTACGGCTATGAATGCCTTCAACATTTTATCAGTGTATACTTCCATGATAGCTAATATGTTTACAAGTTTTTATCGAAATTTAATAAATAATTCTGGATGTTGCATTTTATATGTCCTTTTAGCTTGTGAATGCGAAGACATTGTTTTTTTATAATAGGGACCACTCCTATAAGAGGTATTTACTCTGTACCAGATATGAAATGTGTCTCTACACCTATATCAAATATTTATGACAAACAAATTTACATTTATATTCAAGAACAAGTACATTGGCAATCAGTACAAAATTACAGCTTTGTTTTCTGCAGTTTATATCATAGTCTTGCTTGAAACATGCTATGGAATGCGACTTTCGTTTAGACTTATTGTTTTGGGAGATTTCATATTCAGCCATTCAGTCGATAAGTATTTTCTTACTTTTTTTCTTGTTGATCTCTTTCATCTACCTTTATTACCTATGTGATATAAAAAGTGGTCCTGGTGAAACCAACAAACATATTTTGTTCACTGTAAAATACGAGATTATTCATCAACATTGTTTATCTTTATTTATATTTGAAAGCATACCGCAAAATAAAACAAAGATTTTGCACTTGTCTACTCTCAAAATATCTGCCTTCACTTAAAAAATTTATCTTGTCACCTTATCAACAATTCTTTTTTTAAAATCTATAGAAGAAAAGTCCCTTAACATGCCAAGTTTTTCAGGTTTGTCAATTGTTTTGCTTAAAAATTAAAATCACCCATCTAAAAATATAGTTTACTACAAAATAAACAGTCTTTTTACCTCTATAACAGTCGTATATCCATATACACTGTGATCGAAAACGTAGGGTCCATCACAAGGTACAGATTGATTGTTGATTAACATATCACATGAATCGTATGTGTGATGTAAGTAATCCCATGGGTAGTTTTTCTCTAACACTGTTCTGTTAAGCTGATATGTGGCATTTTCTAGCTCTTCAGGAAGCCTGCATCTGGAAGAATAGGTTGATCTATTTGGTGGGTTATAGCATAGGCGCATTAAGGAATTCTAAGAGCAATTATCCTTGTGACAATTGAAGAACGGGGGTTGGGTACATCTAGGGAACGCCTCACGAATCAGAACTATCAAGGTAATTAGATACTGCAACCTACATATCCTATACAGTTTTTTTTCAAATTGGCAGACTTTGTAAACTCGGAAAAAATGGACTTTTAGGCTTGTAACACCACTTTTATCATACCATGCTCTTTACAGGGGTGCTGGCGGCATGAATTTAAGTTAGAAAAGTGATATTTTCAAAAAAGTAGTGAGAATCAGTGAGTCTATACATAAAAAAGTGAGTTAGTTTTCTGAGAAATTGAATATCATGATGCCAAATTTAAACGAATAATATAAATAAAAATGTGTGAAAAAACGAGAATAACTCTTATAAGGTATTTGTTATTGTTTTATTGGCGTAAGCAAACATAAAATTATTCATATGTGTGCAAATTTCAGGATCAAATGCATACGATGCATAAAAGAAACATGAAAATATAGTATAACAAATTCTTGTAAATGTGGGGGACGTACTTATATGGTATCTATTGAGTATTCTAGCTTAATTGATTGAACCTACATTTTATTGACCTAATGTCAAAAAGTTGAAATTTGGTATAGTTATTATAGATGAGTATTTGTACACAATAGGTGACTAAGGCCCGTATCGTCAGAGGTCCCTACAATTGTAGGGTGCGTTTATGGCCTCCTTGATTGTCATACTATTTTCTCTCCTTCAAAAATTTCTAGATTACACTCGTCCCGTGTCAGCGTCAGCGCTCTCCTATTGTTAAGATATGTTTTCCTTTTAAATTGTAGGAAATTTCAGGCTGATAAAACTTGATATAACTCAAAAGCAAGCACAATTTGATGCAAATAGATGTAGATTGTAGGGACGACTGACGATACGGGCCTAACTTAATCATCACGCAGTGGCGTGGTATTTACCCAACTCAGGAGTAGTTTTATATTTTTGATTATTATTTGAAATGTGACAACTTAGAATTTTTCCGGGTATTGGATATTTTTGTTATACTTCAGCTTCATTTTTGGGAAACTTGATACAGGCTGACTTCTGTTGCAGCATAAAGCAGAGCACCTCATTAGTTATACTTATTTCTGTTGTTGGGGACAATCTAGTTCCTATGCTTAACAAAGTATTCTGTGTAGCCATATACTACAAGAATATTAAAATATGTCAACCTGTATGTGGTTTTGCTGATATCTTTTTCATCGCTTTTTCCTATCATTTCTGCTAAATCAATAAATCTTCTCTTTGACATGCGGAAAAGTTTATAGAACTGAAAGTTAGCATAGCTACAAAGCCATGGTTCCATCATTAAAAATTATTTTCTGAAAAAAAAACGTTTCTGCCATTAATATTATGAAAGGTTTCTTTTTTAAACTTTCCATACCCTGTTGTAGACGAAAAAGCACCAATTATTAAGTGATAATAAAAGTAATCAGAAATTATATACGCGCTTTTATAACATAAACAACCTGCAACAAAACCGCGGTTAAAACCAACGCGTTCAAGCGATTCCAGTAACTGACGTCATCAACCCGTGTGTCATTGTAAACCATATTATAACCGCGGTACATAACACAGAAATTTTGTTTATTCACTTGGATTTGATTATAGTTATCACAGTAAAATTGTGGTATTTACAGTTTTATATTTCTGGTTATTATTTGAAATGTGGCAAGTTAGAATTTTGGTGGGCATTGTACATTTTTTTTGTACTTCAGCTTCATTTTTGGGAAACTTGCTATAGGCTGACTTCAGTGTTAGCATAAAGTAGAGCACCTTATTAACAAAGTATGCTGTTTAGCCATATACCACAAGAATATTAAAATATGGCCACATAAACTGACTAGATAGTGTCCACCTGTATACGATTTTGCTAATATCTTTTCATCGCTTGTTCCTATATTTATACTAAATCAATAAATGTTTTCTTTGACATGCGGAAAAGTTTAAATATTTGAAAGTTATTATATCTACAAACCCATATGAATCAAATCCAAGCGAATAACCGAAATTTCTGTGTTATGTATCGCGGTTTTAATATGGTTCAAGATGACACACAGTTTGATGACGTCAGTTACACGAAACGCTTGAACGCATTGGTTTTAACCGAGGTTTTGTTGCAAGTTGTTTATTTTAGAAAAGCTCGTATATAATTATTTTTATTATCACTTAATAATCAGTGATTTTTCGTCTAAAACGGTGTATGGAAAGTTTAAAAAAGAAACCTTTCATAATATTAATGAGAGAAATGTTTTTTTTTTTAGAAAAAAAAAATTAATTGTGAAACCATGGCTTTATAGCTATGATAACTTTCAATTCTCTAAACTTTTCCGCATGTCAAAGAAAACTTTATTGATTTAGCATAAATGATATTAAAAAGCGATGAAAAAAGATATTAGCAAAACCGCATACAGGTGGACATCATGCAGTGATTTTATATGGCCATATTTTAATATTCTTGTGGTAATAATAAAAATAATCATAAATTATATACGCACTCGTGTGTCATTTTAAACCACATTATAACCGCGTTGAATAGCACAGAAATTTTGGTTATTCGCTTAGATTCGATTAGTGATTATCGAATACCAGATACCACGTATTTTGAACAGGCCGTCACCCATCGCTACGCGGAGCCGATAACCTCACTTCCTTCGTAAACGTAAACATGAAAAAAGTTCTCCGTATAATTTACAGTTACAGTTTTTGCAAAACAAATTGGTGAAATGATGAACATCTGTTAGTAGGTGTGTTTTTCGTGTTTTAGGTAACAAATATAACCACCAGTGTCTATAACCAAGAATAGAACATGATCATACTTGTAACACTAAATTTTCCAGTACATTTTGATTTCTAACAAAATAAAGCAACATTCTACAATATATGAGAGTTGCATGATAAATATACGAATATGTATTATATAGTAATCAGGGAGAAAAAAGACCAAGACACACCCGCCTTATCAGAAGTAGTCAGAAATGCATACTTATCGAATGTCTCCCATTCATGGCAAAACGCTTTGTTTAGTGAGGTAAGAACAAGTTAAAGTAACAGTTATGACCTAGACATGGTATTTCTTAGGATAACTGTATTTATTTTGACCAAATGATGAATGGATATTTTCAGTGCTGTACTAATTATTATAATGGGTGATTCAAATTGAGTTTCCACATTACAAATAAATTTTTTTTTGAAACGCCACTGAATTTGTCAACGACAACGTGCCATTTCTAACGTCAAAATATAAACAAAACAGTCATGAAGCAATATGCGACTGAACAACGTGTTAAAATTATCCAAACCTATAATGAAAACGGCCGATCAAGGAAGAATACATTTCGTGCTTTACGTGAATTTTTTGGCGCACAAAATCGGCCTTGTGAGTGGACAGTTTGGAATTTGGTGCAAAAATTCTAGCAAACTGGATCCGTCGCTAACACCAAAACCCCTAGGCGTGCTCGTAGAGGTCGTTCTGAAGACAATATTGCTATTGTTGTCGAAAGTGTGGCCGGAAATCCAAGAACCTCGGTTCGTCATCGATCGCAGCAACTGGACCTTACTGATTCCACTACACAGCGAATTTTAACAAAAGATTTGAAGTTACACCCATACAGAGTCCAAATAACACAGGAATTGAAGCCTAGGACACACATCAGGAGAAACGATGCAATTACTGCGCGGCAAGTTTCCAGGTCGCGTTATTTCACGTAACGGCGATATCAATTAGCCGCCGCGATCCTGTGATTTAACTCCCTTAGATTATTTTCTTAGGGGTATTTCAAGAGCAAAGTCTACAAGAATAACCCGAACACAAGTTCGGAGCTGAAACAGGAGACCAGACGCGAAATTACCAACATAGGACCTGATTTGTCCCACGGAGTAGTCGAAAATTTCTCGAAACGGATTACGTCATGCCACATGAGCCGCGGCGGTCATTTACTTGATATCATCTTTCAAGCATAATTGTAATGAACTACCCTGAAAGGACAAATACATACTTTTTATAATTTTCAATTTCTTCTTTTTTTTAAATACTTTTAATGTGGAAACCCAATTTCAATCACCCTATATTAGTCCTAATGGGTGCCTTTTAAATGAAACCAACAATTCTGGAATAATTAACATGTTTGTTTATATTATCAGAGAGTAGAAGTATGATGTAGGAGTGGATTCATAATTATTCCCCAAATGCTCCCCTAAGCTGCTTTTACAGATCACCATTCTCCAATTAAAATGTTCTGTAACCACAAAAAATGTCAGGTGGGGTTAGCTTGCATAATCTTGTAAGCCAGTGGACATCATTATTGCAAAAAATCATGTGGCCATCAAGATAACGTGTTTGTGAGAATGCCAAAGGTTTCCCTCCCCATATCATATGGTCCTATCTGTTCAACACACTGTAAGGTGCTTATTATCCAGTTGGTGCCATAAAAAGTCTCACTGAGAAGCTTTACAGATCCACCAGTTAGTTTTCATGAAAAAACAATTCAGTCAATTTTAAACCTTTATTTTATATAGATTATGTTACATATGATGCTTTTGCTGTATATATAAACAATGAAAAACAAAAATCAATTGCTTCTATATACATTCAAAATATGTACTTCTTAGGAAAAGGATGAAATACAAAGGGGAGGATAGGAGACTTAGGATAAAAGTATTATCATTATGATATACCATGCACAGGATGCTTGAATTTTTGAGACTGGGTTCAACATCACTGGCCTGGCTGGCTGATTGGATGTTCTACTTTAGTCAAAATTGGCATCACTGATTTGACTTGCTTGGCGTTTTTAAGAAATTCCTTATGCGCCTGCTACAAGCATGTTGCCACATTACCCTTTTGTAGCATCTCCCAAAGTATGTCATTTGGATTGCAGTAGGGGAACTGTCCAGCTCTTTTATATATTATGTTTTCAAGGCAGCTCTCTAATTTAAGAATACCACCTTTACTTACGCATGGGAAGACAGCAGTAAGTCTGTATTTAGTACCACCTTCAATTATTTTCAATTTTATTTCTATAGAAACATTCGAGCTGAAGCCAATGATTGGAAACAGAGCATAAGCTGCTCAATTAGCCTTAAGAAATGTTTTTTTAATGAGGCCGTCTGTGCTTACTGTTTCTTACTGTTTTATTAAAACTGAGCCCAAGGTATCGTATTTGATCGAAGATGGGGGTTAAGACTATTCGTTCCCCATTCTCGCCAAGCTTGATATGTTTAGGGTACGTTCGTGCTCGTCCAAATACAATACACTCGGTTTTCTGCTTATTACAAGCATGCCCCCACCGATCATCGAAGTCAAATATTTCTTCCAAAGCTCACTTATGAAAAAACTAGAGTGAATTTTCATAGTTAGTTTGCATGATACTAATGTATTCCTCCATCATAAATCGATCCATAATTAAATTTCCGGAAATCTAAATAATACATGCACAATATAAAATTTCTGCATCAATCTTTGAAAAATGGGATTCAAAATTATCAAAGTCCTCATTGGGACACCCTTTACATTTATCCTATATCCAAGTTTATAGTTTACCATGCTATAAAACAGTATGAACCCAACTAGATCTGATCTAATTATATCCCTTTAAGACCCAATTTTTCTCCCATGTAAGGTACACACTCGTTATTGGGAGTCACATGCTATCCATTTTTCGTTTTTGTTTTCATTAGGATTAGAAAATTAACATAAATATTTATTGGATTAAGTTGAAAAACACTTTTTAGTAACACTTCGCCTTTTTTATAGTTTGTATAAGGCCAGATTATTATTAGTATTTTCACACATTTTAAATTCAACATTGTTTCTGTTTCAGGTAACATTCCAGATGATTATAATTACCAGTGCCTTATTGTTCATAGTTCTTGGTGTGCCTCTATTATACTGCCTTATAGCTATTCCTATTGTAATTTTTGGTAAGAGACATAATACTTATTTAAAAATTGGCAGGGTTTTACTGGAAAATATTTTAATAAAGATATTTATAGGAACATACATTTTAATCTATGGCACAGTTTTAATGAAAGTAGCACAGCTTTTGTATGAAAAGAAGGAGCTAAAATGCTGGGTAGCAGAAGCTTATGAACCTTTATTTTTCACAAAAAATCCAAAGGGATGTTGGTACAAGATATTGACATCAGAGGAATTCCAAAATCAAGAGAAACCTGAATCATGTAGGAAAAAAGTAGGTAAAACCACATAAACTATTAAAATACATGCTATTCAGACAACAGAACTGATGAATTTCTACCAGCTTTACCACTTTTAATTTCAAGCGCCAGAAACCACCGAAAATATGTTTTCTTTTCAGATTGTAGGAACAGTTTCAATAATGAAACATTTCCAAAGAGAAGATTGGGCATGGCTGTTCAGATTAGCTGTTGACAAAAGGTACTTGGAAAGAGTATTATTGAAAGAAACTAAAACAAATTATATGTTTTTAGTTATAGAAGAAAAGGTATTGCGTTAAAACTAGTAAAAGTTGTACAAGAGTGGTGTAGTGATAATCAATTCAACAATATTGAGCTAGTCATGACAGAATGCCAAGAGGGTGCTAGACAACTATTTGATGATGCAGGGTATGTATGAACCTTCTTGGTGTCAACTTATATGTCATTCCTTGTTCTAATACTGGGACACCACACCTTCAAGAGCGATCTATGTCTCCAAGGATAAAAGTTCTATACACTTGAATCATACTTGAATAATCATAATCCATGCTCTTTCTTCTTTTTATCTATCATTTTCTTGATTTCAGATTTGAAATAAAACAACTATATCACAAAAAACTATTTACGAGTGCTGTCACATTGCAAATGTTTCAACTGAGATGTACAGTTCGACGAATATTTTAGACCAAGCATTTTATGTATGTGTTCCTAATTTTATCGATTCATAGATCTTTACTCAAATACCGATTAAGTATTATTTACTAATATACCTATTAATCAATTCATTAAAGCTTTCATACAAGTACATTGATTTGAATATAAAAAGTGTGTATGACCACATCAGACGGTAAGTTATGAGATCATTTTTCTCAGACAATGGGATATAATTTCGATATACACACACACACAGATGTAGATTTCAATCTCACAAGATATAATCACATATTGTTTAAAAGTTTGGACGTTTCAGACACAATTACGTTTGAAAGAACAAAGCTAATGTACGCTAAAACAGCAGCAAAAACGTAAAAAAAAATGAAAAAAGCACTCAATATTCATATGATCAGGAATTGCAAGTGCTGCCATGTCTGTTTTGTTCAGAAATACTGTTGAAGTTGTCGCCATTTGATCACAGGCAGTAGTTTCTTAACTTCTTCATAAATCTGCAACATTTGTTGTTAACGACTTCTTCTACCGTATCTACCTCAACCGTCTTTACACGATGTAAAAAAACCAGCTCGAAACGGAATACACTCGCAAAGTATCAGTAGAATCTTGAAGACAATCGGCGTAAACTAACACCAAATCGATAGCTCCGTTATTGCTATAAAAATGGCGTCAGGTAGGTTGACTCGTCTGCACTTCCCACACAACGCCCTTATCAGTAAAATGAATATGTAGCATAAACTAGTCCCTCTGAGAAAAAAGTCAGTCAAACAGATACATACAATTAGTCTATAGACATTGTTTCCCTGTCCCTACAGTAGTCCATCTGGAAACGTCGCCCCTCCCGATACCTAACTCGGGCAGGCGTGGTAGCGCAGTGAGAGCATAGAAAACGCTATGCTGTTCCGTGTGATTCCATATCAAAACACTCATCACGGTACTATAGGTACGCGATCCGTCTCCTGAGGATATTATTCAACGTTTTCAGGGCTAATCTACCGAGAAATCTATGATATGTGAAATATATAATAGAAGGTGCGTAGGATTGCCAATGCTGGGAGCATATGAATATGCCAGCATTAAAAAACTAAGTTTGAACGATTTTTACTTTTTTCGTTTTAGGCCTTTTTCCCTGCCGCCACTGGACCGATTTTCAAAAACTGCATTCATCCAAAAACATATCTTATTGTCTAAAATTTTCGCGTTTACAATACCTCCAGAGAAGTAAAAATGATCCAATTTTGGTTTCTCAAATCCAATTGTAATTAAGCTAGGTTGATCCACACCGCGCGATTTGGATACTGACGTAGTCGTACCACAAAGCAACATACCTTGTGATTTGGGATGCAGGGTCGGACTCAACTCCTCCGTGTTTTTCTGAACTTAATGTGTTACTACTTATTGCTGCCTAACCTACACGTCCTCTAAAGTCCCAACTTTAAGGATACCCTGTATATTTATTATAGTTTGAAATTAAAATTTACACATACCCCACTGACGAATCGAGAGCTTGAAGTTTAAAGTGAGGACAAAAATTTCATACTTAGCAAAATGTTGGAAAACAACGTATTTACAAACATATGTGATCACAATGCCTAGCACAGCATAATCATAGCAGCAATTAAAAAAATCAACTTACCTATAGGATGGTTCGGCAATGAGAAATACATTTCCTAACTTATGGAAGGCACAAGAGATGGCTGGAATGCATAAGAGTAGGTAAATCCTACGTTGATATTTTCCAAAGTCCCCAAGAAGTGGAATGACGTCATCATACCCCATTGTATCGACAAAGCTTGGCCCAACTTAACTGGAAATAAACATTTTTGATGACAACCAATTAACCACTGTTTAGTTTAACATAAAAGATGCCTAAATGCTTGTGAAATATTATGCTTTCTCCAAAAGGATGTGGTAGGAGTAAAACTGCAAATGCTTGTTACGGTAATGCGGGAAAAATACTAAGTCGATCTTCTTAACGATTTAAAAAAAGCAAGTAAGTTTTAAAGAAATACAACCAGACTGCGTTGACTGAAAATAACGAAGATTCAGTTATGATATCAACAGAAGTGTGTTAATGTTTATTTATTTTACTGTCCCATGTTTCTGCTTGAGTGTTTATATTTATTATACTGTCCCGCATTTTTGCGGCTGTGTCAATGTCCCTATTTATTTCACTGTTGTGTGTTATAGTTTATTGGACTTTAATTTTAATTGTTTTCTAAATGCCTAGACATTAATCTTCAACAAGTACTCCTTTGATATGACTAAACACATTTGTGGAGTAATACAAATAAATTATTATTATTAAATTTAGAGATATTAAAATCCATCAAGCCTTTAAACTGTTGCTTTTTTATTAAAATCCGCTAATTTGCTTTTATACGTTTTTAATAGAGCCAGTCTCACTCGTACTGCTAAGACGAATCCAACAACACAGATGTCAAAATCCATCATTGGAAATATAGCCCGTGAAATAGATTTTTTGCCCACATTCATAGAAACGAAAATGTGGAGAAACCTGCTTTGGACCATTCTCGCTTAAAAACTAAAAAAAACCTCATCGAACTTTGTGCAGAGATGTTTTATAAATGTTACTACAGAGTCCGTCGAAAAGAACGCATCTTTTTCGAATGGGTACTACATCAAGTGGGCTGGTCCCGTGTCGGTGGGAAGGACGTGTTAGATAGTGGGAGAAGTGCCGTTTCAGTTGGCAAGACTACGTCGGTACTTTCAAAATGGCGAGTCTGTCGTTCGAACGCAACGTGAGTTTCGCGATCACTTTCATGTTCCACGTCGTGGGACAGAAGCAGACCGTAACACCATTTTTATATGGGTGGAGGCATTCAACACAACAGGTAATATGAAAAAAAAAACCGCCAGGGCGAAACCGTACTATTAGAACCCCTGAAAACGTAGACAGAGTGATAGTTGACACGCTGCAAAGCCCGAATCGTTCCGTACCGTAGGGATCCTCGCGTCCTCTATACGTCGCATCTTGAAGAAAGATTTAGTGTTCCATCTTTACAAAATCCAGGTTTGTCAACAACTGTTGCCAGGGATTATGCAGTGTTAATTTTGCACAGCTCATGATTAAACAGTTGGATAACAATGACATGACGTTGTTTATGAGTGATGAAGCACATTTTCATTTACATGGATACGTCAATAAACAAAATTGTCGATATGTGTCTCCAGTGAACCCCCAACAGTTGCATGAGCACCAACTGCACACCCAGAAAGTTACAGTTTGGTGTGCAGTAGGCCCAACGATGATTATTGGCCTTGTTTTTGAAGGATGATGGAGAAACAACTACTGTGAATTCAGAGCGTTACATCCGCATGCTACAACTTTTTTCCGGAACTTCGACGTCGACGTGTCCGTCTCAGAACAGTGTGGTTCCAACAAGACGGGGTAACAACTCACACAGCTCGCACTTTCATAGAACTTCTTCTCCAGGACGTCTCATTTCACGTCATGGCGATATTTCATGGCTGGGGCTACCTGAAATTAAAAGTTTACCAAAGCAAGGAGGAAATAACCCAAATTCCTGTACGGATGCTGGCCGACTCAATGAGCTCGTTTCAGGAGAGGCTTGATTCCTGCATTTGTCAAGGGCGCCATATGGCCGACATAGTTTTTAGAACGTAAATTTTGTTTTACTCAAAATATGGCATATATTTTGATATAATAAAATATTTTCCCATACTTATTTTGACTGTACTACTCATTTAAAAGACATGCGTTATTTCTGACGGACCCTGTATATTATCTAAAACGAGCATTTCTGGCTTATTGTTCTGGTCTAAGCATCGGCCTTTTGACAATAGACAAATATAGTTCTAATTGACCGCACTTGAAAAATATAATCATAACGTTTTACAAAATCCAGGTTTGTCAACAACTGTTGCCAGGGATTATGCACGTGTTAATTTTGCACAGCTCATGATTAAACAGTTGGATAACAATGACATGACGTTGTTTATGAGTGATGAAGCACATTTTCATTTACATGGATACGTCAATAAACAAAATTGTCGATATGTGTCTCCAGTGAACCCCCAACAGTTGCATGAGCACCAACTGCACACCCAGAAAGTTACAGTTTGGTGTGCAGTAGGCCCAACGATGATTATTGGCCTTGTTTTTGAAGGATGATGGAGAAACAACTACTGTGAATTCAGAGCGTTACATCCGCATGCTACAACTTTTTTCCGGAACTTCGACGTCGACGTGTCCGTCTCAGAACAGTGTGGTTCCAACAAGACGGGGTAACAACTCACACAGCTCGCACTTTCATAGAACTTCTTCTCCAGGACGTCTCATTTCACGTCATGGCGATATTTCATGGCTGGGGCTACCTGAAATTAAAAGTTTACCAAAGCAAGGAGGAAATAACCCAAATTCCTGTACGGATGCTGGCCGACTCAATGAGCTCGTTTCAGGAGAGGCTTGATTCCTGCATTTGTCAAGGGCGCCATATGGCCGACATAGTTTTTAGAACGTAAATTTTGTTTTACTCAAAATATGGCATATATTTTGATATAATAAAATATTTTCCCATACTTATTTTGACTGTACTACTCATTTAAAAGACATGCGTTATTTCTGACGGACCCTGTATATTATCTAAAACGAGCATTTCTGGCTTATTGTTCTGGTCTAAGCATCGGCCTTTTGACAATAGACAAATATAGTTCTAATTGACCGCACTTGAAAAATATAATCATAACGTTTTACAAAATCCAGGTTTGTCAACAACTGTTGCCAGGGATTATGCACGTGTTAATTTTGCACAGCTCATGATTAAACAGTTGGATAACAATGACATGACGTTGTTTATGAGTGATGAAGCACATTTTCATTTACATGGATACGTCAATAAACAAAATTGTCGATATGTGTCTCCAGTGAACCCCCAACAGTTGCATGAGCACCAACTGCACACCCAGAAAGTTACAGTTTGGTGTGCAGTAGGCCCAACGATGATTATTGGCCTTGTTTTTGAAGGATGATGGAGAAACAACTACTGTGAATTCAGAGCGTTACATCCGCATGCTACAACTTTTTTCCGGAACTTCGACGTCGACGTGTCCGTCTCAGAACAGTGTGGTTCCAACAAGACGGGGTAACAACTCACACAGCTCGCACTTTCATAGAACTTCTTCTCCAGGACGTCTCATTTCACGTCATGGCGATATTTCATGGCTGGGGCTACCTGAAATTAAAAGTTTACCAAAGCAAGGAGGAAATAACCCAAATTCCTGTACGGATGCTGGCCGACTCAATGAGCTCGTTTCAGGAGAGGCTTGATTCCTGCATTTGTCAAGGGCGCCATATGGCCGACATAGTTTTTAGAACGTAAATTTTGTTTTACTCAAAATATGGCATATATTTTGATATAATAAAATATTTTCCCATACTTATTTTGACTGTACTACTCATTTAAAAGACATGCGTTATTTCTGACGGACCCTGTATATTATCTAAAACGAGCATTTCTGGCTTATTGTTCTGGTCTAAGCATCGGCCTTTTGACAATAGACAAATATAGTTCTAATTGACCGCACTTGAAAAATATAATCATAACGTTTTACTGTTATGTGAGATTAAGCAGATGATTATAGAACTGTCGGACTGCTCTGGTTGAACACTCTGTAAATAAGTTTTAGCGCGTTTAAGTTGCAGATGAATGGTCCAATGTTTTCTTTGTGTTGGAAAAAACACATTGAACAATACATAATAATAGCACGCTTGATAAAAAGGAAGTTGGTGTTAGTCTTAATATAACCCGCGAATTGGGCGAAGGTTTCGATGGGCAAATTCCGCCACATCAGCATATGAAGATATAAAAAATATTTTTTGCCTATTGAGTATTATTTGAGTAATTCTAAAATGAAGAGAAACGACAACGTAGAGGAATGCCCTGACCATGTTAGATACAAACATAAAGCAAAATTTGCAGCTAAAATCCTTGTCTGGTGCGCAATGCCTAACAGGGGTGTATCCCAACCTTTTGTGGAAGAGTGTGAGGGGTGAAGCTTTGAATAGTCAGAGCAATATTGATAACTGACCATATCATGTTTTGGTCAGACCTAGCATTATGACATTACTCAAGAGATACCCAAAACTGGCTTCGACAACACAACATATATTTTGTTCCCAAAAACGATAATCCTCCAAAGTTGCGTCTGGTAGAGCAGAATGGACCACTCCACATAATTCGATAATGTAGTGCAGTTAAATATTGAGTTGTAATTTATGATAACTAGTTGGTGTTTGAATAAATTTGTTCATTAAAAAATCCGATAAATATTTTGTGCCAAAACTTTTAGGACATACGTTAGATTAGACGATTTATGGCTGCCTAAGCAGATGACGATCAACTGACTTGCAGTCTCATTCCTTATTAGCTCTTTTGTGCAGACTTGTATGACTGTTACTTTAGCCTGATATATTGTTACTATATACCTAGATTTATAGAAATCTCGATTTTCGGCATTGACCCATAAATCCCTGCTCCAGCTCCGTCTTCAGTTTTCGAGCCGTTTGTGTACCAGTAGCTTTAGGCATGTATAGAGGGTCCTTTCTCACACTCCTTTTCTTCTTGTGCTGAAGGATGATTTTATGCTCATTGCGCGTGTATTTTCTCCATCAATAAATACTGTTAAATACTTGAATGAAAGTTGTCAAAACCCTCAAAACTACGGGCGTTGGATATGGAAATCAAACGACGAAAAACATTCCAGTGTACAACTTCAGCAATTCAATATCAAAATATTATTCGATATTGAGATACATTTATAAGTAAACAAGGTCATATCTGGCTTGTGGTTAAGACTATTTATAATTATATAAAAAATACTCTAAATACGGAAATAGTAAGTAGATAATATATTCGCTTGTTTTATGCCATGCAAACAGATAATATATATTCGCAGACAAATAATACGTAGGTGCATCAAAAAGTGTACCGACTAAGGCTGAGCTTACTAACAAACGGTGGCTCAAGGCTAGGCCTGCTGTATAAATCAGCTGAAAACGTCACAAACTAGTGAGCGACGTTTCCTCATCGCGTTTGTTTTACAAGAAATTTATTTAGTGTTTTTGTGCTCGCTTCATTTCCTCTGCTGGCGACTTCATCATAAGCGAAATGCCTACGAGCCCCTTCCCACTTCAATTACAAAACTTAAAAACTAAACATGACGAAACTATTTACTTATAAAACAATTTATTTTCACAAAAACATTTTAGATACACTCTAGTCATAAAAAAATACATATTTGAAATCACTTAGACCTATAACTATTAGAACATCTGAACAAATAAACAATGTGCGAATAAATGCGCGAAGTTAAGAAAGCACATTGAAAGATTACCATTGGGTAACATCACCTTTATTTTTTATTACGGCTGAAACTCTTTGGGGCATAGTGTTGACCAAGTTTTGGCAAAAATTTGGTGTAAAACAATCCCATACTTCTTGAAGCTTTTGTGTCAGATCGGTGATTGTACGAGCACGATGTTGTCATAGAACCTTTTTCATCTCGTGCCACAAAGATGCAATAAGTGACAGATCTGGACTGCTAGAAACCCATTTCAAAAGTGGTACATTATTTTCTTCCATCCATTTTATAGCCTTTTTTGAGGTATGGCACGTTGCACCATCTTGCTGAAAAACAAAATCTTGGCCAGATGTCAAACATTCTACCATCACTGGTAAAAGCGATTCTTCTAAAATTGCCAAATATTTGTTTGTATCCACATTTCCATCAATAAAATGAAGTTTTCCTACTCCTTTTGATGACATACAGCCCCAGACCATAATGGATGCTGGAAATTTCACTTTTCTCTTCAGACAGTCAACATGGACTGCTTCATTTTTTTGCGAATAACTCTACTGCGACTGTCACCAACACAAACTTCGAATCGGGTCTCATCACTCCATTGTATTGCACACCATTGTTGAGGTGTCCATTGTCTATGTTCTTTAGCCCATCTAAACCGATTTTTCTTTTGCAGTGGAGTTAATAGTGGCTTTTCTTTGGCCTATAAACAAATTGTGCAACTTTAGGGTTTTTACTTCACTTTTTTTTATAAGAAAACTTACCTTGCAAGTGCTAAATCCCAGTTTGTGGGCCTCTCTATGAGTGGTAGACCTCGATCGACTTAATTGTAAATAATTGGCATGCCTGTTTTTCACGATTATTCTTCTTAATGCTCTTCGGTCGGCATTTGTTATATTACTTTTTTTCACTTATCGTGGCTTAATATTAACTGAACCAGTTATATCTTCTAACAATATTTCTCACACTGTACCGCGATAAGTCTAACAAAGTTGCAATTTCTGAGTTTGATTTCGCGGAATTAAAAAAATTAATTATCAGTAACCGAATTTTCTCACTAATAACCTTTCCTCTACCCATTTTGAAAACCTTAACTACCCAAAACTATTTTAAACGTATTCTGACAGCTGTGATTAATAAAAACAATTGTCATGGCTT